TTATAGGTTGTCAATTCAAGAATTTTGACTTTGCATTTGCTGGAAAAAGGTAACAGTGTTTTATGCATTTATTTGTGTATTTATTTGTGAATTTATTTGTGTATTAGGTGTGACAAGCCTCTGATTTGTAGCCGGGGAAACTCTGAGAAAAATCACTTCGACCAGTTTCAAATAACGGGTTTACTAATTCGATATTCTTAAACGATAAGGTAATTCCTTCGATAGTGTACAGTATAAATACATAGTACAAATCCTATAGAACGAAATCGGTTACCAACGATAGCAATGAAGGAGACAGAGAGCGCAATATTCCGAACTTTATTCTTAAACAAAACAGTTGTGAAACGAATCGAAAATCTCCCCTCATTTTGTCAGTCAACGAACACTTCCTCGGTGGCAACTCTCGAGAATTTACCGCATTTATCTTGCACAGTACTATCATGTTAGTCTTTGGCAGGTAGGTACTGTAATTTCATGGATAGGTAAAACCCGATCTGGTAACCATATAAACCAATTCAACGCAAAAAGCAGAAAAACCAAAGTCACGATTTTAATTGGTATCTAAACACCACAGTCCTGATGTTAGAGTATATTTGTTTTGGACTCTCTTCCTATCAAAGAAGAAGCATGAATTTTACTATCAGTCCAATCTGAAACACCTCATATTTTCCTTGGTTGGAGTAGGGATAATTTCGCTTTTTGTATCCATTAAATCAGTTACTGAGACTCTCAAATATGATCTTTTTATATGTGTGTTAAACGTAAATGCCATTTTCAATGCCACAAATACAAGTATTTCATGTTAGTTATTTTCTCTCATTTTTTACTTTGAGTGAGAGTTTAAATTTGTCTTGTTTAAGACCATCCTCGCATAATGACAGCGACAAAATTTAGCTTGCTGGAATAATTTACCTGTAATGTTAATTTAACAGACCAGGAGTTAACAAGTCGTACCGCCTCTGGCAATCATTAAAAAATAAATATCCAGAATCAAACTTTGGCGTCAGTTACTGGTGCAAAATTGTTTCTCATCATCCGTTATTGTATAGTTAATTTCGTCTAAATATATCGGCAGCTTTGTATGGTTAATCGTAGATTAGACTTTTTCTCGTGTATGAAGTCGGACAAATTATTACTGCCGGGGTAGATTTGGGTAAAACTTTTGTATCACATTTGAGATATTATGAATGTACTATTATTTTGATCACGTTTCTAAATGACAGCTGAGTGATGGGCTCCTGTGTATGACTTATACATCCTTATATTTTTTCAGAAACCTCATTTTTCCCATTTTGGTTAGGTTTTGTATATATATTTTTTTTCGCTGAGATACATTTTCGTCTAAATAAAGGGGGTAGGTTTCTAAGTTTCTAAAGAAACTGTGGTGCTGCTCGGTGGAAGAGTATAGCAGGTGATTTAGTGTTTACAACTGAGTTAAAAGGCTGACGTTTCGAGCGTTAGCCCTTCGTTAGAGCGATTGACGAAGGGGCTAACGCTCGAAATGTTAGCCTTTCTAATTTGTGATGTACCATTAAAATACGAAAGTACATTTCAAAGTTAATCCTTTTTAAACACAAAAACATTCAAAGATCCTATTAAAACAGTTAAATGGTCACATTTTAATATCATTTTCATCACTAAAATCCCTGTTTGTTTTCTACGTCATGCAATGGTTTAAATTTAGAACACTCGTGATAAAATAGTGTTCAACTTACAGCCGGTCGTGAAGAGCGAATGTTTCATGCAGCATTTGAGGAAAATTCTATCGATTTTAACTTCGCGAGTGTCATTGAAAAAGCGCGAGCACTTGTTCCACACACTAAAATATCTCAACCACTCATCACATATCACACATGGCGCGCCATATGGATCACGTAACACGAATCACGCTTTGATACTGATGATCTTATCACAATTTGATCTTATCGAAACTCGTAAAACGTGTTGAGGAATAATGAACGGTCCTGCGATCGGAATGTTCTGGGGGTTTCCGCGGCTATCTTTAGAATCTCAATCGCATTAAACTGCACTTGAGGAAGTACATAATTCTCAACAAATTTCGATATACTTGCTCGGCGTGCAGTTGAATTCAAGGTCAGCATGTAACGAATATGAAGCTGTGAAACCTAAAAAGCAGGAATGTACAAATGTAAGGTAAGCTCATATCAATAACATTTGGCACTGATCTTAGAGAGCAGCTTTGTCGGGAAACGAACATCATTGTTGTCTACATAGCGAAATTCAAATAGTCGTCGTACAGTGCACAAATACTAGTACAAATCATGAAAATAACTTTCAAAAACATTTGACAGAAAGTTGATTTCTTTTTCCCTTCTATGGCTATTCATATTTCACAACATTTTCGTGCTTTGCTAAGTTTCAGAAAGTTCTCCGGTTTAATTTAATAATCAGCTCAGAATAATGAACGAATAACCAAGTGTTACGTGATATTCGATCATTTTACCATAAATGCATCGAGATGCAACTATTTTTATAAATTGTCGTTGCTGAGTAATCAGTCAACCGAACGCGATTTCCTGTCACGAACTATCATTATTTCTTGCCACAGCCACACAAAAGGGTCCCTTGCTTTGTATTTTTCACGTTCTGTGGGTGAGAAACAGAACACGAGCTTTATCCTTAGGGGAGGAATCTCCTTGTTTGAATTGGAGAGAAAGGTCTACACAAAACGAGAGAAATTAGTTAACGCTGGAGGGGAACAAGTTGTACCTGTAATGGCTCGACAAAATGCGTAGACTGTCTGGCGTCGCGTCATATCTTTGGAACGAGTGTAAGGTTTGCTCCGAACTTAAGCCAAAAATTAAACTACCTTTTTTTTTTCGTAGAGTGGGTATTAAATGGCTTAACTAATTCAATTTAAGTATGAGCAAACTCTTATTTTTACACATCTAAAACCAAAACAAAGAAAATGGCTTGATTGAAGCAAAGATGCTACCCCACTTTTACATTCCCCGAAGCTAGAAGCGGGCCCCCTAAATCGTGACGTAATAAGCACTTAAAGTCAAACGCGTGCCCGTAGTGAAGCAGAGCAAACTAGTGACTACTCAGGAAGCAAGTTTGTCCATGAAGTTGAGACTTCTGTTATTTTCCGAGAGTTGTTCTTGGAGCTAAAATCTCCTTGTCAAATGTATCTACTGAGCTATGTCATGGCCCAAGTTATTTCGTAACATTTGTTCTTCTGTCAGGGTAAGTCACACCGTATCAAGATAAGCGACTGTGCTACCAGTTTGCTGAGAGAACTTCATACCTAAGGGTGACCGACATACAGTGCGTTATTCATCACTACTGCATATTAGTGGAAACGATCGCTAAGATAAAATACAACTCTCCTTAGGCAGCTACCCGTGTGAAATTAAAGATGATCAGATAAACTGTCGGGATATTTTTCCCCGACTCCTTCGCATTAAAAAAAAAATGGCTATTGCAGATCAATAATCTTTATTTGATATAGAAAACTTCACTTAGTCTAACATCACTTGAAATTACGGTTGTAGTATAATTTGAATTCAGCACTAACCCTCTGAATTTGGTATAAAAATTTTGTTCCACGACAAAGTTGCGCTGAGTTCGACTCATCGGCTTGAATCTCAATTATCAGGTACTGGCGCGTATCATCGATATTTGATGATATCAGACACGTATATTTGATGATTAATATTTTCTGTAACGAAAATAGTTACATAGAGGTGACATTTTGTGGTTATTTGTTTTTTTTTTACCCAGCATAACAAAGAATAAGTGAGAAATGGCAACTGTGATAGGATTTTCTTCTTTTCTTATAACCTTTTACCAAACAGTGAAGAATAAAACTACAAGCGTGCAAGTTTTGGTCAGGAAGCAGCTATAATTCATATATCACACGATTTCGTCTTATCGAAGCATTCGAGCTTGTCGCCCTTTCTCTTCGCCAAAGGATGAAGTTCCTTTGGCACAAGAGAAGGAACCATCGCGGGCCAGCGCATAATTTCTGCAGCAAGCGCAAGAAACCAGTTTCTAATACCCACTGAACAAAGTACCTTCTTTCCAAGACACAAAACATTTTCTTTTAAAAACCTGCAGGGGCTAAGTGGCGGCCGAGCGTGAATTACGATGAAATTCTCAGCAAATATGATCGATCATAAGTGACTAATAGTAATCCCGCGCAAAATCTTGCTACCCACAGTTGAGGAGTTGATACCACGATAAAATGTTTTCCGAAAAGGAGGGGGCAACGGGCGGAATGAACTATCTTCAAGCAGCTCATTCCTCCTACAGACAATAATATTGTCTCATTGTTTTCAGGCTCTCCTGTCTCTCTCATTTCTTCCTTTGTCTAACCCCTTCAGTTTTTCGCTTGCGCACTCTTTTGCTTCCTTCCACCATTGAGCGCCTGGCCAACGGATTAGAGCAGGAGAAACCCTGAATGTTATTTACACTCAGGCCTCCTTCGGAGCGCTCTAGTAAATTTTTCACTCTGTATAAAGAGGACAGAGGCATGCACCCTCCCCTTGGCTTCGCCTTTGTTTGAATGAATCACCGTTAATTGCAACCCACCTGCTCAACTTTGCGGTTTCAGAGATGGGCAATCATGAATATCCAAACCTTCATAGATATTCTTATGTCCAAGTAGTTGTGTGTTCCCACGAAATGAACCAACTTCAGCCTTTACTTCTTAAAACAGATTTTGAAAACGGTTCACAATTATTTCCTATGTTTTGCAGGTCACCATTATTAGCCTGTGCTTGGTTGATCGGGAAAAGTCAGTGTAAAGACAAAAACAACAACATGTAAGGTTATCGAGTCAACAAAGAGGGAGATTAGTAAAACAAAAGCTGACATACATTAAAGGCTTCGTTTGCGAAACACAAAAGCCGAAAATACCTCAAAGGCTTTTGGAATACTGCGAGACAAAAAGTGTTTTGTATAGAAAAAAAGAAATATTAACACTTAAAGTTTTTACATATACTGATTTGAAGTAATTAGAGAGCAAGAGAAACGAGATGGCGTCGTTTCAACCTACAAACGTGAACATTTCCAGAGACGAAAGTATTTTAAATTTTACAAAGTCCAGGAACACGGAGCCGACAAGGGAAGTTTTGACAGTGATTCAAATAACTTGTTATTCCATCATTATTGTAATCGGAACGATAGGAAACGTGATGCTAGTATTCGATTTGGCTGCCAAACATTACCTCAAAACCAGCCAGTATTTCATTTTGAATCTGGCTACAGTAGATCTCTTAACTTGTGCACTGAGTATACCGTTTGATATTAGCCTGGTCGTGCTGGGTGGTTGGCCATTTGGTCCGGTAATGTGCAGGATCGTTTATCCTCTTCAAACAATCCTCATAGCTGTTTCAGTGTTTACGTTGCTGTGTATGGCAGTGGAGCGCCACCGTGCTATTCTACACCCACTAAAGCCTAAGATACCCGGGAAAGTTATAATGTTGGTGATTCTGCTTAACTGGGTTATAGCTACTGGTCTGGTGTCACCATATGCCGCCGCCCTTACGATAAAGGACGGTCACTGTGCTGAAAATTGGCCTAATAACGATCCAAGATACCCCAAAGCCTTCAGTTTATGTGTGTTCCTTATATTGTACTTGAGCCCGTTGTGCGTCATTACAGCCGCATACACTTGCGTGGGGATAAGACTTCGTGCTAACAGTCACAAGGCGGAGCTTCTCGTTGGAACTTTAAGCTGCAAGAGCCGCTTGGCCAAGTCTCGAACACAGAGAAACATCAGGATCGTAAAATTCTTTGTTTTAGCAGTGGTGGCTTTTGCTCTTTGTCTGCTGCCTTTTCAGGTCATGTGGATGTGGAGTGACTTTGGAAACGGCCAAGACTGGTCACATTTCAATGAAGTTCTTACGTTCGCTAACGTAATGGCTTACGCAAACAGCGCGGTTAACCCGTACATATTTGGTGCTCTTGGCAGTAGGTACAACTCCTACAACTGTCTTCGTCAGAAAAATCGCAAAGGGCGTTACTTTGCACGTAATACATTTCCATTTCATAGCTTCATCAGGAAAAGACGTTCTACAGGAAACAAAAAGTTATTAAAGTCGCCTGAGATAAGTGTTATAAAACGAAACAGTCCAACCCCTAATGAAAACCGAAGTAGAGGAAACAGCAATCTTACCAATGCCTTATTCGAATCATCAGTTTAAGATCAAAAGTTCATGGTTGGCCTAACATACCTCTGTTTCGATCCTGTAGAGAGTCATCAGACTCTTGGCTGACTAGATTGCATTACGTTTTAAGTCCCACCGGAGTCGATAAGTGTATCGTTTTAGGCATTTTCACTAAGTATTTTCACGAGTTATGCCAGAATAACAGTCAAGTCGCCCACGCCAACTCGCCTACACTTAAAATTACTTTTCGATTGCCGTCTAAGTAGTGTTTATTACTGCGAAGATCCTTCTTATATCCAGTTACTTATGCGCAGTTCATATATGATTTCCATATAATCACAGATATTAACAAACCGAAGTGTTTGGCAACCAGCATGTACCGTTAAATACGAAAACTTTGATGCTGAGATCTAAATCCCCGAACAGTCGCTTTGATTCTTTCAGGGCTCACGATATAACACAACATACAAAAAATAAAGCAAAAGCTTTCTCACTGAAGAACCGAACAATTCCCTAGTGTAATAAGTGTCGGAAAGGTGTTGGAAAGCGTCCATAGCATCAAAGCATTCTGATGTGATGGTTGCCGATCCTTCGGTTTGTATTGCAAGGGTTTAAAGAACGCATCTTATATTACAACAACTGAAGTTTTTTGACTGATTGAAGATAAACATGTGCGGCAATGAACTACAGAAGTTTTATTTTGTTAGAAAAGCACAGGATTGTTCTCTTCCGCTTCCGATCGATCAAGACAGTTGAATTTAATCATGGTCCTTGTTTTACATCACATCATAAACAATCGAAGCGATTTGCAGTATTAGGCTTACGCCTGAACTCGATCAATTTTTGTTCACTTGGAAGGTGATACCTTAAGCAACGATGTTACTACAAACTGTAACAAAGCCTCTCTATCGTTTCATACCCGGTTACTACTCCAAAAGGGTTTCGTGCTCGGGCAAGATCGGGACGACTTTTACCACTGGGGTCTACATCTTAGTGAGTGAATGAGTGACTCATTTGCATATCGGAGTCCCCATAAAAAATCATTTGCACGAGTTAAAAACGGGTAATAATACTCAGCATGTTATATATTACCTAGCTGCTTCATTTCATGCGCATTTCTGAATATAAATATAATTTTTTTTACCGTATAAAATAACTAACTCTCCAAATATCGCGTGATATTTGTACTCGATTCACGCGTTGTTTTCATTCTGCTTAGTGCAGTTGGATGAAAAAAGGCTAGATTGTCACCTGGCGAGACTTCAACACCATGTTTGATGACGTAACTGAAGGTCTCTAATGAAGGTCTCTAGCGTTAGGTCTCTATATTGTCATTTAGGTTAACACTGCCTGACAGAGGCGAGCACGCACTGACTGATCACTCAATGTGCAACTAATTAAAAACAGCTCCAAAGAGCTGAAACTGATATCTTAGATTTATTACTTTGAAGTATTTGTTAAAAAGAAACAAACGACCAATAAATTAATTGATTAACCACTCGACCAAACGACACATGAAATAATACGAAGTGTTGGACAGAAACAGTTCCGCCCTCCCTGTTGAATTTACAACAGATACACTCTAAAGCTCCAAGGGCCGTAAATGGAAAGACTACATGGCGAGTTACCAGTCGTTTTGTGCCCAGCTGGGTAGATTCGTACCCATACTATTAAAGTATGTTTTCCATGTTAAATATGCTTAAAGTATGAATGGAAGGGACGAATGAACGAATTTATAAGTATAAATAACAAAGGGAGAAAAAAAACTTTCAGTCACCCTAGCTGTTACTGTCAAGGTCACAAGTATAAACACTCAAATGCTCCATTTAAAACATCACACTTGCTTCCACTAGGCAATAATTTAGTTGTTTTTGTTAAGGTCACAAGTTTTCACTACAGAATTTTGTTCGCATCTTACTCGCTTGACTCTACAAACTTGTCGTACTCATTAATCGACATCTTTTCACGTGCTCGCGCATGATATTTCGCAGGAATGTATACTGGGATGGATACGAAACGACTGGATAACACGGTGTGTCACTAATGAGGATACAACTTTACATCAAGATGAATTTGATTCAGATGGCACGAGAGAAAATGGTCTAATGTCCTCATGTTGACGATGAAAATGGCTTGGTGTAAAAACTGATTCGAGCTCAAAGCATATTTTTTAGCAGCTTGCGTATCAGTCTTCTCCTTTCTTTACGCGAAACGGGAGAGGTGTAAGCTAAGCAGGAGTTTACTTTACTTTCCTTCCCCTGCTCTCAATTTTTTTCTTTTCCTTTCACCGTATGCCTCGAGCTCCTTGTGAGTCCTGAAATCGGCAGAGGCAATTACAAGTTAAGCGTTTAAATCCTTGAGTTTAAAGGCGCTCGGCTTTAGGCAATTGGCGAAAACAGTATTTGGGACTGACTCAAACATTCGCACATTTAAGACGATTTGTGTTTGTCCTTTCCAATAGTTTTGACGCTTTGTTATATCCCTTCACTGCCATTTCTCTACCAACGTGAAGAGTCGTCGAGCCAACCCGAAGCTCATAAATACATTCGAGTTGGTAAAGTTCACCCGAATGTTTCCGACAGCAGCAAAAAAGGCGTGCCAACGAAAACTTTCTCAAAGAACCAAAAATGAATGGATTAGACGCACTATTAGCGTACATAAGTATATTACTGAATATGAGCACATCTTGGAAATACTTGCTGTCCCAGCCGTGCCCAAAATCGTGCCAGATCCACGAGGCGTGTGTGGGCAGCATGCACACTAAGAATGCGCTCACTGCTACTATGAACACTTTGGTGATCCTCATTTTCTGTAGAGTGCGTTTCTTTTTGTATTGAACCTGTGACCTGTGACTGTCGACTACATGTTCAAGCCTGTCCAGTTCTTTACGTATCTTACGCCCGGCGCGAACATACGAAGACGCGATGACTGTTAGCGGAACCACATAGAAGATGGCGAAGTTAGTTAGAGTGAAAACCTTAACATACCAATCCTCGGGCCATTTCTCCATACATTGCTTTCCTTCGAGCCGTAGAACCAAAGCATAAGGTATTATTACCAGAGAGGGTATGAGCCATGACACCCCAATGACAAACTTCGCTGTTCTAGGGAGCACTCTCGGACGCATAGGTGTCATGACAACCCTGTGTCGCTCCAAGCTCATGGACAATAATGTTATCACAGACACAGCCATTAACACAGTTTGAAACGGGTAGATCATATAGCAAAGTATTGAACCAAATGGAAAACCACCTGAGAGTCGCTCAGCTAGATCGAGAGGAATGCTTATGGCACAAGTGGCGAAGTCCGTGATGGCCAGGTTTAAAATGAGGTATTCTCCAACTCTTCGCGTCTGTCGGCCAAGTAGTGTGACCACGATCATTGTGTTACCCACTAAGCCAACTAAAATAATCGCAAAATAAAGCACCAATTGCACAATCTCGATCGCTGAAAATCCAGCGGTTTCTTCATAATCCGTGGCGTTTCCCGAAGTTTTGTAAAACGCGGTCATTTTTACGACGGCGGTGATATTCTTCAGCGATTATATATATAGTGTTTGCTTCTTTCTGTAGAGAAAACAGAGGGCGTAACCCCGTCAAAATCAAAGAAGATATTATCCACCTCACACACCTTTAAATCTATTCAGAAAAAGTAGCTTCGCGGAAGATTGAAGAAAAAAAAGATATTTAAAAAGTCATGGAACAAAAAAGCATGGGCTGACAAATTTGATAAAACGAAGGCTTACAAAGCAATCCAGGAATCCCTCCCAGGGAATTATAAAGGGGAGATATATTGGAATTCAAGATAAGGTACATTGAAACCTCAGCATAAAATAGAGGAAATAATGCATGATCGTATAATTTTGGTCACTAATACAGATTTGGTCGTGTTCCAAGATCCTTCGCGTAAGAGAAGAATTGAAAAGTATTGTTGTCTGTGATACGGACTAACTTTGCGGAAGTCATCGTCCGAGTCAAGTGAGGAGTTGTTCGTCTGTTGACTGTCATCCAACTCTGGCTTAAGAAACGAAACTAAATGATCAGTTAGTGTTTCAGTCAAATGTGCGGTGAAACAGGATCAATAGGCATAGCTCTTGAATGTTATAAGGGTGACAAATAAAACAAAACAAAACAAAAAACAGTGCACCCCAGTTTTAACCCCTAGTTGAAGTTTTACATAAGACTGTAAGATTCATTTGAAAGATCATTTAAACAGTAAATTCCTTTCACACCACCAGCTTAGTGCAAGAAAACAGGCAAGCGTACAGGAAAGCTTTGATCAATTCCTAATTATCATTTATCAGTATCTCAAACTGCCCAACTCCGACTTCCTATGTCTGACGAATAAAAGAATCTACAATCTGTTGCGTCCTTTCTACTCCCTAATTAAAACGCAAGTTCAACATTTCAACTATCTCTACTCGTTTCATTTTACCGTTTTAACTTCTCACGTACAGTGAGACGCAATACAATAGTGGAATTAGCTTCTGTATCACTAATCATTAGTGGTGGCCTAAGAGGTTTCCGTGAACCGTCACTTTTGATATGTATTATGATAAGCAGTTGTAAATCCTTCCTATGAATATATAAGCAATTAATTTATGGAAGAAATATTCAGCTGATTTTTCATGTCTGCGAAATTAACTCTAGGGAGGCCTCGTTGTCTGCAATATGTATAAAAATCAGGTTGTTAAATAGATAATACTATCAATAACTTAGACATCGGAAAAGAATCTCGTAATTCGACTTTGGTTAAATTAGCCTGCTGCTACAACCCTGAGCACAATTACTGAAACATTTCTTCCCGGCTTTCCATTTGAAAACGTCAACAGGCTCAATATACCTTCGCTCTCCGCTTTCTCGCAGTCTGGGGTAATGTTTCTCTTAACCTCATCCCAGCCCTAGCATTTTATTTTTTGAAAACTAATCACTTGTAAGTTTAAATCCTTACTACATGGGCCAATTGTGAAAAAAAGAAACAAAAAAAAAACGATCGAACCACAACAGAATGTGTCCGTAGACAACAAACAACCTTCGAAAGTCTTCTTGTCTTTACCGGAGATAATTTTCAGAAAGAGTAAAAATCACAATAAGTAAAGTATTTGTGCGCATACACATCAACGCCTGGCCGCTTAAATGACTAAGAAGTAGGCTGTTCTATATGAATTCTGCACAAGGTATAGAATTAACAGTAATTAAATATTTTTCGTTCGAACAGCTGTTGGCAAGTTTAACTACTATTTGTGTCCAGTTTCCTCCTCCACCTCTTCCATACCTTGAACTGTAAGGTATGACCCAGTGGGAACGATTGAGTTTTAAATAGAGAACTGCATTGCAGGAATTAATTTCAGGGCTCAGCTAAATTAATAGTAACACATCGATCAGACCTTGGCTAAAGTTATTAAAAAGACAAAGCCCTCTCGACTTATGAATATCTCAATGTCTTTCTTGGAAGTTCAGTAAATTAGAAAAAGACAAAGGAATTGAAATGTATGTAAGGCTGATCACTTTAGAACAGTTCTGGCGGTCTCGGTAGAGCAACCGTGACGGCTTCACAGCGTAGGCAAACGGTACAAGTCAGATTTGACTTACTTTCTTCACAACAGAATAGCTTAATACGATCGAGAGAAAGCTTCTCACATCTTCCTGCGTTCTTCAAGAGTTATTGATAGAAAAATTGAACCATTTTTAAAAATGAGGGAAATGACCAGTGGCACAAAGCTTAAAGAAGTGAAATTAAACTAGTTATATTAAAGAAGTGAAATTAAACTAGTTATAAAAGTAATCTGGCCGACTTATAAGCAAACGGAAAATTTCGACCAATTATTTCGACGCAGCAACATAATTAAAGATTCTTATTAAATTTTGTATGGTAAGAATACATACGTATCCACCAAGGACTTCGAATCGAGCTTTTTTTTTGGCCCTGTCGGTAGTTAGAAGCTTTTTTTTTGCTGTTAGAGTGGGAGTGACTTTTCAACGGATACTCTTAGGAGCTGTTCCCAACTTTACTCCATTCTCAGTTCCATTTGCCAAGTTCGCTGTTGATGTATTTAATGAGCTATAGCTAGCGGCAGCTGTGCGTCTACAATAAACAAATTTCCCAACGTAGAAAAAAAATTAATCTATCACAGTTGTGTATTTATGCATTTGGCAGTCTTGGCGCCACCGCATGACGGAGTTTCGGAGGAGTGAACAATTATGGCACCTTGTTGAGAACGCCAACGGATTATATTGAAAAGTTGAACCTTGTAAATAATTTAAATCAAAGCGAAGCTAAACAAATCCCTATTTACATTTTCATGAGTTAGTTAGGGTGGCCATGGGTGGCATTTTAGGCAAATAAATTTGCCGCGGAAATTATTCTCCCTCACGTCAAACAGTGTGCATCACGTTTCTACTTCTCGAACAAACTGAAGATGAAAAGGAAAAAGATCTCTGCAAGCAAACTCTTTTGTTCAACTTTGCTATGAAAATAAACCCTAGATTAAAAAAAAAATGAAGGTAAAAAAATGAGATGGTTTAATCAATGCCTTTAGGGAGAGGCACACTGAATATGTAAAACCAACATCAAAGCGGCCGGTACATAAAGTTGCTCCTTTCTTTTCGAGATAAATTAACCAAAAGACTTGTGTTAAAAATGGAAGCGTAAAATTCTATATTCAGAAAAAAATTCAACATGGCAAATTAAAAGCAAAGTACCTTTTAAATAGTCGGGAAAAAGCTAGCAAATTTGTATTCCCTGCTGGTCTTTACTGAAAATGTTTTTTTTAATAGTTTTGCATAAACTTAAAGGAGAACACTCTGCATTTGATTCTTTATGCCTTACATTTCATGTCCGGTTGTCATTTTCTTTTCGTCTTCATAGGGGCCGTGTCTCTCTTTTAAATTGGCTTCATGTCAAAGTAATAGAATACATATCCGAAAGTACCGGTTGCGCTCCTTCCTCAAAAAAAATAAAAAAAGTCATGATTAAAAAAATGAAAAAAATTTGTTTCATAATAGAAAAAAGTGCGTTACCCTTTCTGGAGCTTCATTTATTTTCTTTGTAACTCACAGAGATACTGATAAACAAATGAATAAAAAAGTAAGTACCGTACTGAGCTAAAGTACTAAAGCTTGCAACAATTCGTTGAGCTCGCATATCTCAGCCAAATATTTTTGAAGTAGCAAATTTTGAACTCTTTATTCCGGATCTGCGTGGCTTTAAATAGACATGTTAATTTGTCATCCATTGTTTTACTGTCGAACTTTCGCGGGCGAAAAATTTTTAAATTATAGATGGCCGAAGGAAATTGTATTTCATTAAAAAAAAGGTGATATAACTGCAGCATCGTGAAATCTCTTCACTCGGTTGAAAAGCAATTCTTAACTCTTACGCTTCATGAGAAAAAAATAGTAACTAGACTAATAAAAAACTACAGATAAACACATACATCTCCATTATAAACAGTTCATTGTTAGAGGAACCTCTTAAAGCAGATCTCTAGAGTTTGGTCTCGAGGACTACACTATTACCAATTTCGAACTCGCACCGGCAAAAACGACCGCATCAAATGGGCTATAACTGACCTCCAACTAAATCATAAACAAAATAGAATGTAAATTTCAAAGGCCAAGAATTCCGACAACAATAAGTATTTAAAACAGTCCATTCATATTAAACGACTGATAACCCTTGCCTGACTACAGACAAACCTTCTTGGCCAGTAAAACTTTTCCCAACATCAAACATCTCGTTCAAATACGTAAACGTTTATACCTACTGGTGTAAACCTTCGCTTGAGAGCCTTGAAGATTACATCTATAGCAAAAAGAGGCAGTATAGGAAAACTGCGACATAAAACCTTGCAGGCGAATACACCAGCCCAGCTGCCCTTAATAAACATGTGGGTATAAAACAATATACCCTTTCAACCGGTAATCGACGCCGACTAGTATGGACTTACGTTCATCTGAATGGTTAGCATGGCAACCTTGTTAAGTGTTGCAATTTGAGGAATTGTTTTAGACTTGCACTTATAAAAATCAACTCGTTCTGCTCAATCAACCCTTTAAAGAATTACGCGAATTTTAAGCGATTTTCGCACCAAACTGAAATAAACCGCTTAACATGGTTCTTTTAAAAAACAGAGTTATCTTTCAACTTCAAGTGAAATTTGACATAGCAATTGATAGATTTTGATAATCATCTTGCCTTCGTGCGAGACTGCTGGGAACAAACGTGCGAGGAAATTAATTATTCATTGTTGAAATATTACAAATATATTTATTGAGTTGACATAGAGATTCTCTCTATGATACGCCTACAATACATCGGGTTTGTGAAGGTTCTGCCTCCTACCATATATACAATCAACAAATGATTCATCATTTTTCAAGGGATTGACAAATGCTGTGGTCCAGCTACAGTGAGAGCGCAGTAATTATTTATTTGTAATTGGTTCATTTTCAAAAGGTGATCTCCGTCCGCGAAATATATCCACTCCATCGTTTTTTGCTTTATCTTTCGATTCAAAATGTAAACCTCTGTTGCTTTTCAAAGATAATTGGTGTCGGCTCAGTCTCCCTTCAATTGAGCCCACTATTTAAGTTTCATTTTGCTTGTATGACTTTTTCGAGGCTAACGGATTATTTTAACACTCTTTTTTTTATACTGAATAATTTATTTTAAGAAAGTATTTCGGAACCGCCTGCTGGGGCATAACGCAACACTGCTCCTTATTGTCAACGTGGTATGATAAATTACTCTTGTTCCGAGTGATTCACGAGGTGAACACAGGGAATCAAACAAAACAAAACGAGGACTGGAATAAGTGAAAATGGGAAATATTTCTTTATTCTTCATCGCCTCTGTCGATTGCTTAAAGATTCTCGTATCAGAGGACAATCAGTTTTCCTTTTCCAACCATTAGATCAAGGATGTATTTTTCTAATGGTATGGTTATTAAGGTGCACAGCATATGTTATAGTCAAGTTTGAGCTTTATATTTCCTTACTAGAAATAACAACATCAGCAATAATAACAAAAAAAATAACGAAACTTACATTTCTGTTGTGGGTGTTCTCATGTTTCCGTGCTAATGCTTATTCTTCAGCGAAAAGAAATCTTACATTGTTTTTCAAAGTCTCGTTCGCAAGAGAACGCTGTTCCACCTTTTAATGGAAAATCCAGCACTCTTTTGAGAGTCTCATATGTCATACAATCTGGAGAAAATGGCCAACTTAGCGAAGCACTTCTGACGATACCAGGTCATGCGGTCATTTGCATGCCCATGAGTAGAAAAATAATTTAAACCCAATTCTTCAAATCGCAAAAACGTCCACCAGCACAGAAAATGACTTTGAAATTAGAGCACACCCCAAAGCAGCCAGTGTGTCTAGAATAATGGTCTGGCTCGAGGGAAATAGTGCATTTTAAGACACAGTAAACAGTCTCTTTACGAAAAGTGAACTCTCCTTACCTGGGAAACGCTGTGGGCCCTTATTCTCTCACTTGCCTCAATCCCTACGGTGTTTTTAGAGACGTGCTTTGTCGAGTTGAGCTCTATCAGATAAGCGAGTTTTATCTTACAGCACTTCCATTACCTTCGCTGTCTCTCTGAGTTCCGAACAAACACATGATCCATTCAGAAACTAAACCAAAAACACTCTATACATCCCAATGACGCACCTTTAAATACACTTTGGTACATTAAGTCGACGAGCATCAACCACTTTCGCTGTTCGGTTTACAAAATTGCGTGGGAGGTGAAATTCCGTGTCCTTCAAATTCACTAATCGAAATTATGAAGTTTACAGCCGGGAGAAAAGTTCAAAAGTAATAAAGGTTTAAAAAAATCACTTATTGACTAATTCTAGGAAGCCGAGATGAATAAATTAGGTAAAAACACGTATGATAAAGTCGGTCACGTTCATCTCTGAGAAGAAAAGAAAGTTTCATAATCAAAACCAGATAGACGTATGTAGACGATTAATAATAGAATATATATAAATTTAAACTTATCAATTTATGAATCCAATTTTACACAATTAATTGGTAAATGACTTCCTTTAAATTTTTCGACAGGTGGTTGAAAAGATGAGTCAGTAGTTTTTAAGAAATAGAAAATCTGAATAAACCAAGCTAAGACAAGTCGAACAATTTTCTCTCGGGAAATGTAGATTTTCAATTTTTCTTTTTGGGTTTTCCAACTAAATTAGTACCAGAGAACGTGTCACGAAGAAAAGTTAATTTAAGAGGCCATCTTTTTCAGTTCGTGGGGTTGTTTAGGACACAACTGAGGCCGTTAATCTTCAATTTAATAGAGGCCGTGGGATTAATTACATAAGTAAAGTTGAAGCCATATTTGGGTGTTTTTTGCATGAGATATTTCCGATGACGCATACTTTCTTCACGCGGGTTCACGTCATTTAGTAACGTAAATACAATTGATTAATTTTGCGACAGTGTTACGCTCTCGGTGACGGCAACAATTAAAGGTTGCATTCCCGTTAGAAAGGAACAACAAATACATTTATATCCCACAACGGAAGACAAGTTTTAGATTCGTTGACGTAAGTTAGCTACGCTTGATGTTTGCGGGGAATTCTCAGTAAAAACACCAAAACATGAAAAATTGACGGTGAAGTGTTCAAGACACATGGGCAGCATTATGGCTTGTCCGTTTGCTAGTCTAACTGGTCTTCTAATAACAAAACTGTTATTATAAAATGTCCATAATGGATAGAAATAGTTCAATAACACAATGCATGTGCGTAGAAGTGAAATACACCTAAGTGGACGTTAAATGGAAATCATAAAACTTTGTTGGGTACTGGTGTTTGACTGGATGCTAGGCAGTGATAAGAAACAAAAGAAGAGCCTTTTTCAGTTCTGCTCCCACTTCCCGTCCTCCAATAGGTCCCGGTTTCCGCCCTCTCCCGTCCCCTGTTCTCCCGGGCTTCCGCCCTCCACATCATAAGCATGTGATCGTATCTATGCTTATCAAGTCTGAAGGACATCTTTAGAAACAATCAGTAAACAGGTCGAGGTACATTCCTCGTTCCTGTTTGAGGTCCAAGTCTTGGTCTTGGTCTTGGCAAAGTTCCGATCTTTTTATCCCTACCACAAGATGTACCAGTGTGAAGATAACTTTTTATTGTACTTAACTGCCATTTAGATGTAGAAAACTGATCTAGATTCCTTTCGAAGTTTGAGTTATATTCTCAACTTCCAAAAAGCAATAAATTTCCTCTTATTCTTGATGTATTATAGTATGTGGTCGGTGGTCGGTCACGCGAATATTACGTTGAAAAACTAAAATTCTGAGTTCAATCACAGCGAACTTTGTTGCAATTTTGTATTTTTTGAAAAGCCGCCCGATTAACGAAAAAGTTGTCTCTCTAGTGAGGTAAGCGATAAAGAAAACCGTTTTTTGCTCGTCATCCGTTAGGAGAGGCCATTATTCATTGAATTTAAGACGGCCATTTTGTATTCTCTCTTCGGAGCCATCTCACGAAGTCATCAGACGTACAAATGACATCAACAGACTCATAGGAAAGATTTAAGACCTTCAAGATGCCACCCATGATCAGCAAACTGTAAGCACTGCCTATATCTCTGGAACTCCTGGATGTGGAAAAACTCGACTCGGCCAAGAGTTCTTTGCAACAAAGCGCGACATTGACGGCCTTACATTTGTAGCGACACTGAATACAGAAGGCATCGAGACTATTGCTACATCTTACATCACCCTCGGTAAACATCAGGGAATCACCAGATATTCCCTGAAGAAGCTTGAAACCTCACGCAGAGAAAGTCCGTCGGAGAAAATTCAGTATCTCAAGCTTTTAATCTTGAAAAAGGTTAGGAAGTTTTCAAAATGGCTAATAATAGCTGACAACGTTATCGCATTAAGTGTTGTTCGCAGTTTCCTTCCCCAAACCTCCAGCGAGGAATGGGGTCACGGTCAAGTGTTGTTCACCACTCTAAATGGAAGTTCCATTCCCTGTAATACTAAACATACCTATCATGAGTCATTCAGCCAAGGAATGGAGGAAGATGAAGCAGTTAACCTTTTGAAATGCATATAGCAAATTTCTGATGAGGAGAAAGCAAAACAAGTTGTTAAATTAAAGTCCTTGCGTATCAGTCTCTGGCGTTATCTGCTGCCTTTATTTCCAAACTGTTGTAGTGACTAGATCTCCTGATTACAGTTGGGCAGACTAGTACACCGTTTTGATGCAAGGAACGAGGAACTTCTAGCGAAGGCGAGCCCAGCCTGACCCCCAAAAATGACAACTGCCATAAGGATGGCTTTGAAAAAAGCGATTGAAAATGACAGAGTTCTTCGCCAAACATTTATTTTCCTTTCACTCGGTGCCCCAGGATCTATACCAGCTGAATCTGCTGTGGAATTTGTCAGCAGTCATATTGTGGAGTTACCAGTGGAGTCAATCGAGTCAAAGATTTCTCGATCTTCTGTTTCTTTTCTCAACCAACGGTCAAGGTACCAAATATATGAGGTTACATAACACTGTAAATAACATACTTACAGAACGTTCGATTTTAAATCTGGAATCGGCAGAAATCTATCGAAACATCGACACAGCTAAAAAAATTTTTCACGATCTAATTCGATCAGAAAATAAGCAACAACATGACGAGGGGTACACCTATGCCCTTCTAAATAAAGTGAAATCTCACTGTAAGGCACTAATTCATTACGCGGCATCTCAGTTCACCTCGCTGGAAGGTGCTTTTCAGGAGGAATCGGTTTGCCATAGTGGATGCGCTCTTCTGCAAGGATTTGCGAACCTGCACATTCTGGCCAAAATCTGAGGCAAAGAATATGTTTAAGTAGTAGATACGTATTTCCTGTTAGCAAATGCAAGCACTCATAATAAAGAATATGAGACAGCCAAAGAGCTTCACGCTAAAGCACTTGAGGAGCAGAGGAAGATAAGTGGTGTAGAACATGTTGGTCTTGCCTATAGTTATGACGGCCTCAGGGACGTCAAATATAGCTTGGACCAAAACGACACAGCCAAAGAGCTGCACGAGAAGGCGTTAATGATTCAGAAGAAATCATCGGTGAAGAGAACGCCAATGTACCAACAACTTATAGCAAGCTAACGAAAAAGCAATAAACGATACTGAAAAACATTTTCGGCGAGGAGCATCGTGATGTAGCGACGGGCTATTACAATTTAACAAACGTGTACCAAGAAATTGGGGAATACAAAGAAGCCATATAGAACTATACGAAAATTCATTTGTTAGCTAGAGGAAAATCTACCATAACTGCATTTAATAGCCTTTCTCCTTTGCTATCTTTCCTAAGTTTGTGTGCTTTTAGTTCTTAGGAATTTCTAAAACTATTGTCACATTTACTGCATATAAAAGGCCGATCCCAGCTGCTCCGTACTTCCTGGCACTCGAGTGGTAAGGTTGCTCTTCCGTGTGAATCGTTTTCCATATCCAATACATTTGCGAGGTTTCTCTCCTGTATGTGTTCTTCTCACAGTAAGTACATATATATAACTTTTCCATGACAACCCCTGGTTCATGGCGAGATCTTTTCCCCTGAATCCTGACAAGAGCCTCTTAATGGCATTCTGTCTTTCGCTTTACCATCTAGTTTGAATTTGGCATTTTATGTTCGTGATACATTTAACAGTTTAAATGTTCACTTTGTTTTCTTCTTGTGGTGTTTAACTTCATTTCAAATGGAAGAAAAAATTGCCATCAGTATTAACCCTTTGTAGCATGAGATCAGTATGTTTATTCTCTATGCTTTTCTTTGAACATTTCCCTTGATACTGACAGGAGAATTTGTATATTAAACAAAAGCTTTGTTTTGTAGGTGATCATTTCCTTTATTCTAGCGACCTTAATATTTTATTCAGTAACAATACTGTAAGGAGATGTTTGATGCTAGACACTCCTATCCTGGGGGTTAAAGGGCAAAATAATCTTGAGTTAAGAGCAGAGAGAACTGCAATTCTTTCAGCTGCAATCTTCCTAAGCATACAATGCGTTTATTAGTATTTCTCTTGAGTATCACCCTACTCCAGTTCAAAGTAGTGTACAAATAGTCTGGCTTAAGGTCAAATTAATACCTTGGTACATGGTACCTATATTCCTCATCTTTGAACTACCACATGACAAGTTTTGTGAAACAGTTTGAGAGGTTGTTATCCTAAAGGCTGTGAAAACACTGATCCCACCACAAAAGTGGTGTAATGAGCATAGTAAAAACAACTTGGAAAGTTCTGTGGGTTATCAGTATGAGCCTATGCATTTTCAAATGGAAGCAAGAGTTTCACCAATGTATTCAATGTAAAAAGATAGGGATGAGGGATGCAGATTTATTGAAACAGTTCAACCTTATTCTCAAAATGTTGTTCAAGTTAACCCTTTAAACCCTAAGAGTGACTAACATCTAATCTCTCCTTACTATATCACCCCTAAATCAAACATGAAAGTCATGAGAATAAAGGGGATGATCACAAACTAATGCAGTTCTTGATTGTTAAACAAATTCTCCTTGTCAGCCTCTTTGGAAATGTATGGAGAACAGTATGGAGAATATGCATACTGATGTAAGGGTGTGAAGGATGAATTTCCAAAAGCCCGAAAGATTGGGAAGATGTAATAATTCATAAATGAGGGCGAGTATTTCATCAAGGTTTCCAACATGAGAAAACTGATGAAAGCACTGAGCCTTTGGCCTCGTGCTTTTGTTTTTGAGTGTTTGGAAACCCTAATGAAACACGAAGCTCGAGTTTATGAAATGGCTTCTCAAAAGGGCCTAATTCATTAACAATAAACACAAAAACAGAAAGACCATTTAAATAGTCAGTTTTTGCTTTCTTTTGTAACTTCAGCTTTTTAATTAAAAGCAGTCTCACTTTGCATCGGCATCCTCATTTGTAATTTTGAGAAATGGAAGAGGCAGCTACGGAAAGGTCTTCCCGGTTTTGACTGCTGAAAAATTTGGAAAGAGGAAGTTTCTTCGCTTGCATGTTCAAAGCCAAAAAGTACACAGTACAAAGATAAGTGAGCTGTTGATGTTTTCCGAAATTAGCAAGCTGTGTTTGAGAAAAAATTTCCTTTCCTTGAGCTGAGGAGTGTGTTCAAAGATAATGATGTTCACCATGTGCAAAGTCTTGAAAAAAGGTTGGAAGACCTGGACAGCCTTTCCTGAACTTCTGGCTAACAAAGTTTGTCCTGGAAGTGGCTAATAAGACAGAATTGATTTCCAAACACACATGTTTGGATACCCTAATGCTTGTGTTTGAATATCTAATCACACGTATTTAGATCTGTTCTTTACCGAGTATCAATGGGCATCCATGTGACCCAAATGAGGCCACACAATTGGTTAATAACCTCTAGCATTATTAATGAGTTTGAGAAGTATAAATCTAAAACAATGGAAGTACTATTTACAAAAAATCCTGTTCTCTTTAAGAAGGTATCCATTTTAGCCTACATCTACAGGGAGCATTTTGGCTTGTAAATAGCATAGGTGTACAAGTAACACATGTAAGCTGCAAATCAGGGTGAACAAATTCTGAGTGCTCCCCTTACTTTCACAAATTTGCTTCACCACATTTAATCAAATAATCCAAATAATCATTGGAAGGGAAATAAACACAATTTAGTGCGAAATTTGCTCATGGGCATATTTGTCCCAGGACAGTGTCTGCTCCTCAGAGTTTACATTCCCTAAAGCTTTGTTCTTGGAACAAAAAACCCCATTCTGCTTTAAAAAGGGTGGTGAAATGAAAGGAATTTACTCTTGAACAAGGCCAGAGTTTTTGAAAAGGCTCCTGTAACATAATTTACCCTAAGTGTTCTTCCCACCCCATATTTTAAAGACTTTGGTAGAAGACAATTCAAGTTTAACAATAACTATAAGTAATTGGACAATTTTTCATAATCATCAGTTAATGTTAGAAAGTTTTGAAATATGTGGCTCGTTTGTTTTATGTTCGAGTCTAACACACCTAAGATGGTTTGTGAAATGGTAGAATAAGGGCATCCCTCGTAATTTGAAATTAGGTACATGATAGTTCATACGTACATGCTCTCAAGCAAGCGTCCAACCAACCTACAGTATTGGCAATAATTTCTGGTTTGACACTAGTTTCTAAACACTTAACCTAACAGGGAAACAAAACGCTACAAGCTGTCCAGCTTATTGAACTACACTTAAAATGGAAAATCTCACACGTATAAAGCACAACGGCCATAACAAAAACATTTCATGTTTTCTCCTCCAAGTCAAATACGAGCTAGCAAAGTAGCTGATGCAAACTCACCACAAACACACATATCATAAGAAAGTATAACAATTGCCGAAATGGTTGAGGTTCTTATGGTTCAATTTCAAAAGAAACAAAGACAAAGTACTTACCACCTTTACACGCACATTCGCGCGGAAATCGCTCAAATGTATTTACGCTGCGACGCAGAAGTCTGGGTACCAACTCTTTATCCGCCCCAATCTCACCTCGATCATACGGCTGACAGTACAGAGAATTAATAATAGGGTCTTGGGAGTGAAAGGGTTAATAATTCTGAAGCTATTTGGTGGATCTTTTGTTGAGTTAAAAAAACCCCCACACACAAACCTTCGAAAAAAAAAACAATAAAACCTAAAATGTTGGAAGTTTATTTGGAAAGAGAAAAATAAAGACGAGGCACATAAAAACTTAAAAAGGCAGATTCAGTTCGTGTTTAGCGAGATAAAGTAACCGATAGCTTAAGTACTAGATTCGTGGTTTTCTTCAAAGCCAATAAATACTGATCACCGTAACAATGCCATTAGAGATAAGTTAACTGGATTCATCAAGAAAGGAAAACAACCGAGCACAAGTATACGCCTTCTGACAGATTTCTAGGCGCATTTGATCATAAATTTGTCAGTGTTCACAGGCTATTGCGAAGTGTGATAACACCACTTTTTGCTGTTAGTTTTTATTCAAAAGGCTTCAGCACCTTGGAGCCTCATTATCAAAACAATTATAATAAAAAAAAGGAACAAAATCATGTCCTCTAGATAAGGCAGAGTCACCGAGAAAAATACAAAGATAAAGCAATGTCAACAGAACTTAAATAAATTCATAATAACAGCGCCGATCTCACATGGCTATCATATGCAATTAAGTCTCATACTTATATTTATAAAGCCAGTCATCTGGATCTTTTGGCACCTATTTGTGCCATTTTCATTTTACGTTTATCCTTTTTGAGTGTGAATAATTACTATATAACCTACAAATGCATGAATGCCATGGTTTCAAATTATCTAATAAGCTATTCTTTTAAAAATAAGGAGCTTCTGTTGTTATCTAATTTCTTTTTCTGTACACGTTAGTTTTGTTCCTTCGTTTACGACGGCATCTGAAGTGACAATATCGAGCGCTCAAGCATTCCTTTTTACACTGCAGTTTCGTAATCTTCAGCTGCTATAATTTGAAGGTGTTCTTGCGCTGAAACAAAACAAAAAGTAAGTTGATATGATATGCAACAAGTTTTAGAAGAGTAGTTTGCTTTAGAAACCACTTGATTTTACGTTCGTCATTTTTAAGTAAAGGCAAGTAAATGCTACTAGCACAATGAAAGGAGCCTGAAGAGAGAGATACTTACTTTCAAGATATTTGGCAAGTTCCTTATCTTGAGCTTTCAAAGCTTGAATTCTTGGTGTATTACCCTTAATTAGGGAAGAATAGCATCACTTTTAGTCAGGTTTTCAAGCAACCTTAGTGGCTGGCGTACTAGATAGCAACGTTACGAAAGTTTTTTGTGGGAAGCTCGAAGGTCTTCCTACAAGGTCTTGTTTGCAAATTTACCTATTTGTTGAACAACTGTAGACTCTGCAGGAACCTAATTTAAACCACTGACAACTAAAAATTAATAAAAGAGTCGGTAGGTTAGCCTGGTGACTTACATCATAATCTGTTCTTGTGAGTGAAGCGCCGGCTTGAACCAACAGCGAGCAAATTGTCCGCCGTTCATAGAGGGCTGCTTTATGAAGGGCTGACTGGCCTCTGAGGAGGAAACAACAAATGAGTCATGTCTGAATAGACCATGCGACTATGTAGAGAAAGAAAAATGGATTGGTAGCTCTTGTAATAGCTTCACTTACTTTTCTTCCTCGACAAGATCCAGAACGCAACGGGGAACTGAGGAGAAGACCACAATGATACCATTACTATTTTACAAGACGTTGACAGCATGTACAAAAGTAACCTGTGAAGCACTCAAATTAAGAAGAAAAGAAGGCATGTTTTCCCCCTCTTTAGTTGCGATCTCGACGTCCCTGTAATACTAAAAACTATCCTGACGTTTCATGTCGTCAAATGTCCTCTGGTCGGTTAAGGTAATAGCTTCGCAAGGCGTTCCTTTCCACCAATTGCACTAAGCATTCTAAAACATTTTTGAAGTAGTTATGTTTCAGAAATTTCGATGATCTTGGGTTCTACTTACAAAAATTTGCTCAATTGGGTTTCCAGTCCAATTATTAGTTCCATCATTATAACTTCATCGGCTAATATCGATTGTATGTTTTCACAGTAAGACATGCAGTAATAATTTCCAAGCTCAGCAAACCAAACATGTGTATAGTTTACTTAATTTGGCTGGTCTGCAGTTGGCCAGATTAGAAATCAATGCTTGCAGCTGTCAGTACTTGTTGTTAGCTGGCACAATCTTGCGTTGCTGGGAATAACGACGCAGGACAACCACGTAGCCTACGGTAGGTTCCTCCCGTAAGCGTGGATCGCTCAATCTTTACTCCCTTTTTACGCCTGCAAGCAGGTTTGTATGTCGACGTAGAAAGGAAAAACATGTCTAAGGTATCAGTCACTGTATCAACTTACCATTGGAGATGATATATCTGACCACCTCCTTGTGTCCGTGACGGGCGGCGTAATGTAACGGCCTCCAGCCTCGGCGATCGCCAGCTGACAGACTGACACCGTTACGGTGCAACTCAATAACCTTAACACCATAAAAAAAAAAAATAATAATAAAATAGAAAAAGGAGCGGAAAAACTCAGTGAATCTGTCGAATAAATTAAGTGCGGCAGTTAATATAGCCAGGGGGGCGTTGTTATTGAATGAGTGTCATTTGCAAGTCAAAAGACATGCGCTCTAACAGTGGTTTGCTTCACTACGCTCAGTGATTCAGTAAGTCTTCAAATCACGCGCCATCCCATTAACAAATCGGATGGAAAACTACGACCAATCGCACCTTGATTACTCCATTTTCACGCCGCACTCAGAAAGTTCGTTTGAGCTTGCACTGACTCCTCATGCCGGATATTTTTCTACGTATCGATTATCGTTGTAATCTTTTTTTTAGCTCTGGCTTCAAACAAAATGTGCTCTGAGCTCAGCAGAAACATTCTTCTGAATTCGCAACTTGCGTAGTATCCTATCCTACTGTGCGATAAGAACGTTGTTCACTATGGACATATAATTTGCTGATTAATAGACAAGACTGGATAATACTCCTTCACCAAGCAACTCAAAAGCGAGTCAAAGCCAGTTTATACTGCGATATTTTACAAACAGTTATCCATTTGAAGAAAACGCCTAATTACCTTGTCTAGGTCTCCGTTTTTCGAAGCCTCAATCATGCCTTAAAAAAAAAGAAGTTATTTTAGTTACAAATTGTACATTGCTTATGATTCTTGGAAATCGACTTTGACTGAGGAGAGACTACATAGATAGAACAAGCGAACGACAAACAAGCCACAGTGACAATAGTAACGCAGCTCAACACTTACTACTTTCGTTACGCTTCATGATTTCATTCTTCACCCTACAATGAACAGAAAAATTACATCACGAGTCGATAAAGTACTTTACGACAGGTGAGTAATTCTTAGAACATGGGACAGGGTGAAAATGTGCTCAAGGTACGCATGGATTAATAGCGTAAGGCAATAAGACTGTTTCCTTTGTTAAGGTTCATTCAAGGTGACTATTCTTATTCTACTCACCAAATAGTGTCCGCGTCATCTCCATCGGGGGAAGGTAACTTGAATTCTTGATTACTAAAGATGGCAAGAAAACAACAACCGTGAATATGATTTACTCTGACGGGTGACTGAAACATTCTTAATTGGACTTATCACGTTAGAAAACGCTCTGGATCGCTCTTTTTATAAATTTCAAACATTGTGACTGGGTGCGTTGTGAAGCACACGTATGTCCAAGAACTCATTCATTAGTCTTCTTGTCTTCTTTGTCCATTTTTCAGTTTTCGGCCTTAGCTAAAGGCAACTGCAGTGCAGGTAAAGGAGCCCCTGAGATTGTATTGATTACCGTCACTTCCAGCGAGTCAACTTGGGGTCACACCGTTAAGCACTTTGAATATTTCCTTAGCTTTGGAATTTGCTCGTAGAGTGTCTAATGTTTCCTAACCTAAGGCACTGAGAGCCTCTGGCGCATGAGTATTGTTGCTCATATATATTATGAGTCTAGCAGATCTATTTTTGGAAAACTTTTGAAGCCTATCAGAGTGGCCTTTTCCAAGGGTGTCCCTGACCTGACTTTAGAAACTGAAATAGGGTTGCATTTATGCATTAGAGATATTAACTAGAGTGGCTCCGTCTACTTAACCCCGAACGAGACTTAAGGCTCCGATTCCTGAACTGCCTTTCTAGGCCACCTTTTCAATTTGGTTACCCCAAGAGATGTGATGGTCCACCTCAACACCAAAAGCCCAAATTGCAAGATTTGATTTAGGCTTTTGTCATCAATTTTAATTAACGGCTGAGATGGAAAGATTCTTAGAATGTAAAGAGAGAAAATAAACATGAATTCGGTTTCTGCGACATTGACGGTCAATTTATTTTTTGGTCAGATTTGTGTCGTCTGCGAATTAACACGGAGTTGCCTGCCCAATGCACCCTGGTAGGTCGTGTATGTAATGGAGGATAAAAAAAAAAAACAACAGGGCGTTCCCAGTGTTAACATATAATTCTAGCTTGCGACAGAGGATCTCGACATTAACAGTATCAAAGGCCTTTTTTCAATCTTAGAACACTACCTTATTAAACAATTTCCTAACCAAATTTATGTACCAGCTATTTGTGCTGTTCAAAAAAGCTGAAGCAGTAGAATGCCGTCTTTGGAAGCCAAATCGATGCTTGGAAAGCAAACTAGTTCAAGGTTTCGACGCAAACTCGTGTCTTTAAGACAAAGAGGAAACTGTACTGACAAAACCTGTTCAAACGGATACTAGAAATTGCCAGTTTAGTTAACTTACGTGTGAAATGGTGTCATGATAGTTGTTTCCACAATATCCTCCACACTCTCCGATGGACTGGATCCAAGTGAGCTGTTATGCCTCCGAGGAGGGGGCAGAGTAACTGGTGACCGATTGATAAGACTGGGAGCCCTGGGAACAGGACCCCCAGGGACGGACAGTGGTCTCTTGACTCGAGAGGATGTGTTAGGAACACCGGTCTTGTTATTTTGCTGTGTTCTGGAAGCAGATCAAGTGGTCTCTATGAAAATCACTAGGCACGTAAACTTCCTCTGTTTACTTTTCCTTCTCAATACAAATTTAACTACGAAACGCAAGGAGACGGAAGCATGCAGAGCTGCCAACGCATGTAAGAATCTTTAACATTGAAAGCCCTCTTAATTCGAGACCAAGGTTTCATTTGACGTTTTGTTTTTGACTGTTTAGAGGCGTCACAACCCTCTACTAAGCAGCCGTGATTTACCTCAAAAATGAAAGCTTGATGAAAAGCTGCGTGACATTTCAATCACTGACTATGCAGCGTTGCTTAAATCATACTTCGAATGAGAACTGAACACAATTAATTGATGCGATATAATTTGAAGGAAACTGTTCGGCGATCGGGCGTTCCTTTTTTAACAGCGTGAAAAAGGCGCAAAAAGCATGCTACAGACAGCAGACGTTCTGTTTTTCCCTTTTTAAGGGGCTGAAAGAAAGGAAATCGAGACTGTAGATCGTAAAAAAATAAAATTATCAGGAAGTTCTCACTTCACAAGGTCATCCTTGAGGTCGACGATGAATATTCCATCCTCGAGAATGTCCACTACATTGTATATTTTTTCCTAGAAGGTAAGAAAATCACCCCAATCGTAAGAAACCAAAAACATAATCAAAAACGGAAAAAGAAGGAGAAATGAGGTAGGTGCACGAGTAACACTGTTTACCTGGGCGACATCGACACGATAAACCCTGTCAGGATATGTTGCTACAAAGAAGAAAAAAATTACCCATTCAGTTTTTGAATAATAGCTATTTCATACTGTTGTTGATACGGTCTTTCGATGAGCACCGGTAAAAGTAGAAGTATACTAGACAGGAACCTCAGCCAGTACTACATACAGTACATACAAGTCCCTTGAGAACCTCTCTAAGCAGTCCGCGACTGGGAATATGATACAGAGAAACCAGCAAAGAGATGGCTCAAATCATAACTCAACAAAAACAATCTCAAAAAGGAACCAAAGAAAGAGATGAAAACAGTAGGTCAAACCAAGCTGAATTTACACCTACAGTCTTCAGTGAAAGTTCAATATTTCTAAAGCATTCTGTGCTATCCGAATTGCATTTTTTGATTATGAACCCTATGCGATTAAAATAAAGACACAATAGAGGCTTACTGTCCAAGAAACACCACTCATCTGACAAGGTTGCTTTCTGAAAGACGAAAAAGAAAAAGAATGTTTGTACAACAGTCAAAGGTATTTACACTAATTTGTTTTCACAAAAAGGTAATTTCATTCTAATTGCTCTCAAAAACCATTTTTCTTAACTTTCTGGTACCTCTTCCTCCTCGTCCTCTTTAAACCGCTCGATCCAAGCTCTCATTTGCTCTAAGTCAGCGTCGGGTTCTATCGCAGTCGTCGCCAAAAGCGTCGCTGTAAAACATAAAACGAGTAATCAACATGACTGTTTCTGCGCTCATGGTAGGTTAAAGTATTGGAGGAAGAATTTAAAGAATACAATCCAACTCCTCTCCAAAGAGATATTAATGCTGACTAATCGCCACAATTTTGTCATCACAGGAGTTTTTTAATGGGAGTGAGTTACTGTAAAATTATACAGTATTTGAAAGCCGGTTTTAGTTTCCGTTTGAAACAGGGATGCAAACCTTAAAGGATATTCATTACAGCTGGGCGAGATTTTGTAAGATATAATTGTGCCTCTCAGATGGTTTTTAATAAGCTATTTTCTCCGATTAGCCTCCGTAACCAGTAAGTCTCTCATCTAGATGTCCCTCTCTCCGATAAGCCCTCCAAAAAGCGCACCTAATTATTAGACCCTCAACAGGATGTCCCTCTCTTCAATAAGCTCCCCTTCCCCAATCTTTTCCGATCCCCGGGAATTAAAAAGCTTAACCTAGGTCGCGATTCAACATTTCGTACTCACAAGTTTCCCTTAGCTGTAATACATCGCAACAGTGCTTCTCATAATCACTGAATGCCACTCGAAATATCTGTAATTTCACTGGTTCAGGACATGGAATAGGCCTACACAAAGAAACAAAGAAACAAATTGCCTTGTAATTCCACTGGTTTTCAACCTGAAACATGAGGAAACAATGAACTAAAACTAAGAGATACCAAGGAGTTAGAACGGCATAATTGAGAGAATTCATACCCTGCATTCGAATTGGAACGTTCTGTCCGACTCTGTAGAGAGAAGGAAAGAAAGTGTTTTTTGAAAAGGCCCATTCAGTTGGTTATACACGCTACATATGAAAATGACAAGAAAGTTAATGGTAGGCGCCACACTGCATAGCAGGATCACTAAATATCATGAAAACGGCGTCTTTTACAAATCAGCTTCTTTTCATTTACAATAAATCAATAATCATATTCATGCACACTTTTGGGAAAAAGGTAGCCTCCGGTTGATATGCTAGGTTCCGGATCCAACAGTTCAAGGTTGAGTCCTGGCTGCTGTCCCCGCGGTGTATTTTGGGGCAGGACAGTTAATTCTTGTAACGTCTCTCTGGGAATTTTGGTGGACAATACATCGCCAAGAATAACCCAGAGACCTGACGAAGTACGAAGGATAACCTACGATGATTGGTGTTTTATTCAGAGGAAGATAGAAGAAGGTTCGACTTACTAAGTCCTGTTAATACCATTCGAATTTCAGTTCATACATTTATCAGTCTTTGCAATGATTTATCTAGTTTAATTTATCGCTCCTGTTACACCAGTAGTTTTAAATCAAAGTAAAACATCGAGGTTAAAACACTAACCTTCACTTTTTGTAACATGTTGGCCTGGTTTCTCCTACTAATTCTTATTCTGGATGGGCATAACCTACAGGGTTCTTAAGAAGAGAACAAAAATGGATTTGCAAAGATATAAGTAAAAACCCTTTACTAACTCCGAGTTCTAATCAGCTTGTTCTTATCACAAATGTGTTGCTTTAACGAAAATCAAGTGAACTGTGCGATTGGAACGGTTGCAGAGCGATTTGCTCCTTTTCATCATTAAGAAAACGTAAAACACGGTATTAATAAATTGTTTGTTTGGGGCGTGTCTTTCTGAGAGAAGTGGGCACTGGTCCAAGAGGTGAAAATTGGCACGATCCATTCGTTTGTCATTAGTTTGGGTATCGGAGCCTTCTTTTAATTGCAAGATAATTCTTTAAAAGAAGCCTGAGTGATCAGAAACGATGACAAAGACAACAAGAAGTGTTAAGATATGGGGACAAAGACAGGAATGTTTTACGTTTACTGACCTCCATCCACTTGCATGGGAAGAGATTTACTGGTTACAAGAACAGCCTCTTTACATTGTGCTATCCTCTCACCATGACCTCCAACTCGTGTCGTCGCCTAAAGAAGAGAAGTCATCCTATCACGTTATTCACTTGAGTCAATAAAAAGCCTTAATGCTCTCCTCCGAGCCCCTTTACGAGATCCTCGCACTGAATTACAATTCGATTTCCGTTTTGTTTTCGTTTTCCTTTTTATTAAAAGAACGAAAGCATTGATAACAAATTTAAAACGGTGTCTTTTTTAAGGCACTCAACCGTTAAGGACTGCCGCTATAACAGGAAAACTGGTGTCGGTCTTAAAGGTGCCAGCTGAAACGGCAGTTAAGTTAATCATTACCGAGAGCTTAGCTTTTTAATCAGCCAGCTGGATCTAACAACAACTATTAAAAGTCTCAAACATGACCCTACTGTGGCTGTGGCTTACCAGCGTGGCTGAAGTGAGTCCAATCACCTCCAAATAACCATCGTCAAGTCTTTGAGACTGAAACTCCTACAAAAATACCAAACAATTAATGACTGAAACACAGAAACTTACGACTTGCTAAAAATATTCCTAAATGATGGCATCCGGTTGTGTCTAGCGTCCCAGGAGGCAGCGTCAAACAAGGCGACAGACGATTACTAGCACTAGGGTACAGTAACCTTCTTTACTTGTGGTTTTCCACCAACGTAGGCTTTGAGGATTCATTGGTTCGTTTTCTTTACTCTACATGGTTTACTTACGCTGTCTTTTCCCGGGTGTCCCCAAGGTGACGTACCGGCACTATATCTAAAAGATAAAGAAATATGGGTATGAATAGAAAAAGCAAGGGAATATACAAGTTTGATACCCTGTCCTCATTGGGTTGTCACGCGTTCCACCGCATAAAGACTGCGTGACGAGTCTGAGAAAGTTTATCAGTTGTGTATGTGAGAAAGCTGGTGAGTCATAACGAATAATTTTATTTGTCTCTAGAGTTTGAAGAGACACACTCCCTTGCAGCGAAGGTGGGTGGAGATAGGGGAGACAATAAATGCAAAGGAAACGACAGAGGAAGAAGTTTCTGGGCTTCCCTCTTCCTGTGCCCTTAAAATTCCCCTCAACAACTCATCAACCCCGGACCAATTTCAAACACCCCGGGTAAATGGGGTAAAACAGCTGTTACAAAAACATCAAAGATGAGATTTCTTCTTGGATAATATTTTCATTTTGCAAAGCGTAACGGATTCACCATTGACATATCAAATTTAAGTGACACAACTTACGATGGGATATTGACAAATAAGAGGCACAAAGGTTTGGTTTCTTGAAGCTTATCAGTGAGATCAACTCCATCGCACTGCAACACAACAACACAAGTGTAAATTTAAAAAAACTTGTTGGCTTTAAGATATTCTTAATGTCGAGAGGGATAGTAGTTTGATCACATACACCACTAATTCACACGCTAAAAGGACAAGATTAGGTAAAAGACTGTGAATATTTGAAATCAGCGCGCAAGAAAATTGAAAAAGGGGCTACTTATCAAAGCGTCTTCGTACATTCCTTAACCCAATAACAGCTGTCCAGTAGCCAACGTATTTTTCTTATATTCCCGTCAAATTAAACTTAAAATGTAACCAATCAAATAACTACACAGAAAATCTCAAAATTACATGGAGAAATTGAGAGAACAAACCTCTATAGTGGTATATTTGAAGAAGGAACGAGCTTTCCTCTGAAGGAAAGTTGCACTACTAGCCTGCAAATTGAAGACTGATGAGTTATCATGCTAACTTGGGAGAAGATTCACTACATCAGTTCCGTTACTATGTATTTCAAACTGAACGCGGTTTAAGTATTAACAGCAATCATACTGTATTACAGTTACACCCTTAACCGAGTAATTTTAGTTAGCTTGCCACGTTTTTGATATACTGTAGCTCAAATGATTGTGTTATCAAAGAGTACTTACCTTTCCATAAAATACTAAATTTTTAAATCTACTGTTGAATTTATCTGGATTGGCCTCTAGAAGGGAAGGAAGAGATAGGAAGAAATGATTGAGCATGAATACGCAAATAAAGTGTTGGTCAGTCTATCAAAATGGGACGAACTGCGAGTGGGTTTTGCATTGTTGTATTTTTTTGTTCGTCATTTTTTTCTTCTAACGACGTAAGAAATTGATTTTAAACTACGAACTGTTTGCATGGCGTACATACCTCTTGATTCATGAAATTCTAAACACACTTCAGCATCAAATCCCAGACTGAAATAGTTGTTCATGACATTCAAGGGAAGCTAAAGGCGAGGAAAAACAACAGGTTAGATTACTCCAGACCATAAACCAAATGAAACACATGAAAATTCAAATTAATGAATCAACAGTTAGCACTCTACGACACAGATTCACATGGGAAGGAAGAATCTTGAGCAAAAGCAGACTGCCACCTTTCTGATAGCTTCAAAACTATCCTCACAGTTGAAACCCGCTATGCTTAAAATCAACCTCTGTACAAAACTATCGAGAAGAAAAAATAAATATCCAGCGGTAATTATTCACCTTGTCAACCGCTTCATCAGAGGAATCATTTTCACCTGCTTCATTAAATGTTACTTCCAGATTCCATCTAGGAAAATAAACTTACAAGTGTTAAATGTGGAATAATCATTTTGAGTGACGACGAAAAAAAACACATGTTACAAGTTAAAATGCATCATGCCTAACCTGTCGAGCTGAACAATACTTCCTTCATGAATGTGTGTTAAAATTCTTGACAAAGGTTCATCTGTGTAACCCTTCAAAAGAAAGAGCACACATCACGGAATATGCCTTGACGATGACTATACCCATGAGTGGGCTCAGTTTTCAGGAAAACTCCACACGAAATATTATGGGGTAACCTGTGACGCACGGACATCTTGTCCACGAGGAGTAACAAACAAGCACAGGCAGCATGTGAGTCAGGATAAATATCTTACAAATCTAACAAGCAGTCACAACTTTGGTTCTTTCAAATGATATCTAGCAGATTTGCTTGTCCAGGCATAGAGATCTGTGAAACTTTAGTTTTGCAATGATTGTGAGAGATTTAATTGGGATTTGTGAGATATGAGCGCCCATCTTCTGATGATGCTTGGACAGGAGCAAAAGTTTGCTTTTTACGGTTCCATCTGACTGAAAAAAAAAAAATCCAAATTTCCAAATATGATGTAGTGATCTTTGAAAAAGGATAGGAGAATTTGACATTGTAGCCCCTATTCCTTATCTCCTGGCAAAATTTCAAAGCAATACTCCTTACCCCTCCCCAGTTGAGAACTCTCGACAAGTCATTTCCTGTCCCCAGTGGAAGTACAGCCACAGGGGGTGGGGGTGTAATTTTTTGTTTATCAAGTTCAGACAGGACCCAGCCAACCTGGAAAAAAAAGGGAAATGTTAATAGTGTTACAACAAGGCCAGCCAAATTGTAACATGGTACCAATACTAATACTATAAATTACCTACAGAAATAACACAAGAAATCATGTCAGAAATTATTTGGTCTCAATGAGACCCAAAGTATACTGTGAGTGGAGAAGGGACTTAGTAACTGTTTAGAGTAAGGGTATATTAGTGATTTAGAGATGCACAGCTCTTTTGGCCACTCAAGCTCACCATGTACATCACCTTTGAAATCTCAAGAAAAAAAGGTTCAGTTAATGTAAAAATGTGAATTCTAAAAATATAAATAACTTACTGTTCCATCTCCACCACAGGCTAGGATTTGAAGATTGGGGACCTTTCGGTACAATTCCAGACTATTGTCACAGACAAATTTAGAATAAGAACAACAGCTGTACTCAGACTTATCATGACTGAACAGTTATTAGAGTTTCAGTTGATTTCAAGTAAAAGATCTCTTGTGAAATCCAAGTGAACCGCCACAGAATAGATTTTGACCATGTCAAGTACACAGACGATCATTTCAATCTAGGATCATTGGGCACCCATTTTGAGGGAATCTACTGTGTTTGGGACTCCTGCTTTGCAGTCATTGGACTCCACTTAGTCCTATTATCATTATAGATCTGCAATGTTTCAAAGGAATCTATTGCTAACTCATGTATACCAGGAAGCAACTGCACAAACTTCTCTTCCCCAACCACACAAATAGGTAATTTTTGGGTCTTACATTTTCATTAATTCTCAACAGATACTTATTCACTGTACTCTGCATGGGTAAATATGTGCATGTGAATTAAAAACCTTGAAAACACTAACGAACCACCATCAGGGAACTGCCACATTACAAACTCAAACTTTGAAAAGTCTTTTGCACATACCCTAATCGTGGACCCCCTCTGGACAGATCAAACACCTGCCTTGGGTTCAATAGCCACTGGAACTTGTGCATGATTTTGGCTCCCTGAGACAAGGAAATACAAACAGATGTAGGGAAAATCAAATTGTGGGGAACTCTTTATCCAGTTCTGAAATTACATTTAAACAAATATTGAATATTAAAAATAAAGATGTGAGGTAAATTACCTGATTTCCACCACTCTTTGGGTTAATAAACACTAGTAGGGGCTTACGTTGTGCTGATCCAGAAGGCTTAATCTATGAAATATGGAGACCATTAGTTATATAAAACTTATGAATGACCTTGAAAAATAATTCCTAAATCCTTGAACATCCAAGCCAAGCAACTGTGACAACATTGTTAGATATGCACTGACTTGGTTGGAACAATGTTATTCAGATATGTGGTAACATCATCTTGTCAACCACATGGCCCATCCACCCAGATTGTTGGTTTACCATTAGCAATGGTGTCAGGCTCCACTCAGAGTTTACTATTATTGATGTTTAGTCCTGAGTGAGGAGAGTTACCAGGGGTAAGTTCGAGTTTTCAACCAGTACTTACCCTTTTTGACCAAAATATGATGTGGGTTGGTTAGCAATTGAGCAAATGATATTCTAGCAAACAAACATTGGAGGGAAAGTAAAAGAAGGAGGCAAATGTATAATTATTCACAGACACAATTATTTCTTTAATGTGACTTCACATTTCATGTGACACTTCTTTATCTAACATTTGGTATGAATTCATTCCCCTTGAAAATGGAGTCATGCCTTTTTTGTCACTGATGAATGACTGCAACTGCTGGATATATTGCTGTTCCAAACAAGAAACATTATAATGTAATAGTTCTATCACCTTCCGATTAACTGAGACAGTAGTTCAAATAAGATGAACTAATGCTTACCACGAAAGGTTTCCTTTCCTAGAAGAGAGAAAACAGAGATACCGGTTACACCATTTACATGTAAGTATGTCAAGATAAACTACACCAGATGTTGGCTTATTAATCATATTCCAACAAAATGGACTGGTCAGGCCACCAGAACATGCTTCTCTATTCTTTAAATTTTGATTTTAAAATATGGCTTCAGGCCCATTAAGTTATCAGGACTTTTTAGAAACAGGCCTAAGACCAAAAAGCATCACAGAACTTGTGCTGATTGTGACATCAATGATATCAACTTTTCAGGGAAAAAAAGGTGAAATGTTAATTATTTAATTTTAGACTATAAAAGAATTCAATTCACCGGGCAAGAATTCAATACTGTTGCGTGGCTATATTTACAGTCTGTAGCAAATAATTAAATTTTCCTAGTTGCCGATGTTTAGTGCATGGTTTAGCTTATTGGATTAAAAAAAAAACAGTAAGAAAGCACCATTACAATGAAATAATAAACAAAATGACTGTTCAGATGACATGTCTTAAAGTTATTGAAAGTTAAGCTGTTTATTTTTATGTTTGCATCATAAGTGCTTGCCAGAATTAGGTCTATCATCATTTAGAGCAGCTATTAAAAAATGTAAAACTTTATTACTAAAAGTGATTTTAATAATTCAACACCAAAAAAGGTTAGCAAAAGTAATAAATGAGAATTAAATGTTTAAAGCAGAAATGCAGAATATGTTAAAATGTTACTTTATGTCTTTCTCTAAGACCTTACATTAATAGCAAAAGTGTTGAGCTCAAGAAACCATTGAATGTTGATCACATCATCATCTTCATCACTGTTGCTACTTCCATCGCTCTGTTGCAAGAGTTTATTAGATGTTGCATGAGCAAGGGAAATATTTTATTTGGGCTTAATTTTAAAGGCAACAGTCACGATTAAAAGAGGATTTACCTTTACTGAACATATCTTAGGGGTAGTAGGCAATAGAATCAATTTACTAGTTAACAATACCTGTAGGTAACAGTGACAAACTTCTCTATAACATAAAAGGTTTCACCTTGATTTATTGAACTAATCTTTGATGTGCTTTTTCAGGTACTGTAGAAACTTTTTAACTTATGAAGTTTTGCTATAATTAAATCCTAGATTGTGTCGTGTTTATTAAAATGCCGCCACAAGTGGGCCACCAATGATTATAAGGGGCATAACTGCAATTTAAAAATCCTCCAATTGTAAGAACTACATCTGCAAACCTTTGTTGATTTTCTTTTCAGCGATTTCTTTTTAAAACTATTCCGTTTCATGGATGAGCTTCTCACCTACAAAAGATGAAGATTTCACATGAAGGAAATTAACACTTGATGAAATTAATGTATTTTTGGACTCATATCATGGGTATTTTGAAGGTAATATTATGCCTTTATGTTTATTAACTTCAGTTTCTGTGTCATTAATCAAGAGCCTCATGAATGTATAATTACTCAGCCTAAATTTCCACTACTTTGTACCCCAAATACTCAATATACACCAGGAATTTCTTTAATTCTCAGAAATATTAACAATGACAATAGTAACCTATCATGTGATTAACTAATTGGCATATTCTTTGAAAAATTTTGTCATGATTGTTATTTTTTTAATCCTTTAAATCCCAGAAGTGATTCACATGAAATTTCTCCCTATAATATCCAGAAATTATCCAGAAAAGAGGTACTGAGAATACTCAGACTTATCAGTTAGAAGTTGTTATCTTGATCTAATGCCAAATTCTAAAAACAAATCACAGGAAATTGTAGCAGCTAAAGGGGAGAATTAACTATCAGATCTTGAGAGTTATAAGGTTCACCCAAAATAAAAAATTGTAATAATAAGGTGCACAGATTTTGTTTAGCTCTTAAAACACAAACTAACTAAAGGAAAACTTACATGCATTCTTTTTGGAGGGAGCCTGACAACCCAAGATGGTGGGACGATGAGATTTGCATGAGCTCCTAAATCACAAATTTCATCTATTTTGTTCATCTTAAAACACTCCACTTTATTGTGATACTGCAAAAAGAATTAGTCATATTAGAAAAGATATCAACAAAAAAGTTAAAATTAATACCTTGTGGACGTACTCAGTACAATGAAAAATAAAGAGGAACAATCAAATCTCAGGCACTGGAAATGTACAATAACCTGGCCTCTATAACTAGAAAAAAGTTAAAATTGTGGCAACCTTCAAACTGGGAGGTCCAGAATTTGAGAAGATAAAATTAGTTTAACAACATGCTGTACTTACTGCAGCTTTGCACCATGAACAGCTGATTGCAATAATATCCTGTTAAAAAAATAATACTTACTACATGAATATTAAATAAATAAATAAATGAATAAGTAAGTAAAAATCAAATCAAACAAATGCATAGATAAATAGATGATATAGCACTGAGACAATTGAAGTCTCTGTCATCAATCTGTCCTAAAGTTTTCCTGCAAACATTCATTATATGCATTTTACAGTTGTAAATGTATGTACATGTAAAATATAAATGAACAGATAGTGATTAGAGTAGTTCTTCACTCCAAAAAAAAAAAAAAAAAAAAAAAAAGACTGGTTAGTTACTATTTTTCACCTTCTAATGCATACACTAACTAAAAGTTAAAATAACAATTGAAAGTAAAATACCTTTGTCTGAAAGGATAGCATATGCTGGAATGACTGTACAGTAGAAAAAGAAAAATTTATAATAACAGAACATCAATTACATCTTTCAGAAAACAAAGCAAATCATTAGGGCATAGCTATTAAATATCAAACTTTGGCTGGTTTGAAAGCCACTTGATTTTTATTTTCCTTTGTTTGTATTCATCCAAAACATACTACTGCGATGTTTTAAGAAAGGAAGTACACTATTTCTCTTATGTAAGTAGTAATTTATTACCTTGCCACAGTGATAGCACTTTCCTTCTTGTTTGCGGCGATGAACCCAGTGATGACGAACGTTACTCTAAAACATAGATATATACCTGTATATAACTCTTACTAACCAAATACAAGGTCTTTTCTACAGGTTATGGACCAAACTCTTTTTCTGTAATTAATGGCTCAAATAAAAAATGAATGAGCCATAATTGAGAGGGGAAATGTTATTTATAACTTGCTGTATAGATGGAGAGGGTGACATTAGGAGGTTGGTAAGATAGAGAGCAATGCCGCATGGAGCATTAAGAATATCCTTCTTCTGAGTATGCTTGTATCACTAATAAAATGAAAAATCTCAATTTTCAAACATATGATATGCAATGTTATATAACCAAATTGGAATAGGCTTTCAATCATAATGGTGAGAGAACAACACTTCTAGAACACTATTGAAAAATGTTTTTTACATCATCACATGTCATGTGATGATCTAAAAGGTTACAATACATGGGAAAGTACCTCATGTGTAGACTTTGGATGGATTTCCCTGAATGTTGGTTTGCATTTGAAGTTTATCTGAAACGAACACCACATGAGAGATATTACTGACAAGTGCCACTGAGCAAAATGGTGTTCAATGATTTGAACTACATACAGAGAAAAAACAGTTAATGTACATTTGACATGTTTATTGTATGTAATACAACTTCATGACTAGTTTTATCAACCTATAAAGAGAGTTCTGTCAACAGTAACTAAGTCTAACTTTACTTTTTTATCAATACTCACCCTATACAGCTGTTCTATGCACTTTGCATGGACAATGATTTTACAAGCTGTGGGGTATATCAAATAGAAATCCACCATCAGAATTATTGTCAATATTGGTATTAATAATACTGAAACATTAAAGTCAAAAGCTTTAACACAAGATACAGCTAGCTCCTGTTTGAATAATGGCAAGTTCATGTTGATATTGTTTTCAAACAGTTCCTAACTTACTTGAAATCTACTTAACCCTTAACTACCAGAAGTGATAAACACACAACCTCTCTGACTGGCAATAATATCTGTGCATTCCCCAAGAAACAGGCAATGAAAATTAATTTCAACTCCATCAGGTACAGTAGAAGTTTTCATCAAGTGATCTAACCCAAATTCTCCCAACTAAGTTACAAGGAAACCTCTAGCAGCAAGGGGAGAATTAATCATTGAATAACTAAGAGTAAAAGGGTTAAGGAACAAAAAATGGTTTTACTGTATGATCCAATATCAACCTACATGTATGAAAAAACTTAAATTTCAGTAAAAGTGCCTTATTTTTTACTTGTGATGTACTCATACCGAGACAGAATGAACGCACACTGATCACCCCCATGTCCCCTTTCAGGAGTGTATTTTGTGCAGTTATCTCTATCTGCCCCCTAACCCTTCCCTCCCAATCACAACATAGTAATTTTCTCCTAGACACCAAAAGTATGGTCCCTTAGGTACTTTGCATTCATAAAACAAAGAAAAAACAATCATTCTGTACTTTCACAATAAGCGAGCCTGCAAAGAAGGCATAATTTTGGCAGGTGAGTGCTCAGTATTATCTTGGTGGAAAATTTTGCTGTAAACAATTGAAAAAAGGAGGGTAAGGGTGGGGCTGTGAATATTAGACCCGCCGAGGTCATTGTTGTTTTGGGAAGATCTACTTGCCCACAAAAGGAGTTCCTGCTTGGTGTGGCTTAGTTCTACAAGCCAATCTGCTTCATGTTATGCTTGTGGGAAAATTAAAGATGGAGTCAATTTTGATTTTGCTCTTGAAGAGAAGGCCTGCCTATAGCCTGAAAAAACTGATTTTTTGGGGAGCAGGAAGCAGCTGTAGACAAACTAGAACAATCTTTCAAGCGCTTATCAGACCATGGTGTGTCTTGCACACTACAAATACAGCAAATAGACGTAAATTCCACATTGGTCTCCGGAAAGGATCGCAGAGTGTTACCAACTGGTTTTAGGAAAAGCTGTACATTTCAGATGCTGGTTTGCATCACACAAATTATGGTGGGTAAAACTGTGAGTGCAGTTGTGTCTGCTTCAAAGTATTTGTGACCACAGAGGAGATTTCTTCAAAGCCATTTCCTGGCTGGAGAGAACAGCCTCACTGTTTCACTCATCCATTCAATGTATGTTTGTTTTTGTCAGAGTGCTTCTGCTTTTTAATTAAACTTTGGAAATGCAGTGATGCACAACTTATCAAGCTGTGTTTTGCTTTTGAACAACCTCTTCTGGCAGGTGTCTTTTTGTCATTCCTTGCCTCCTCCCTCTACCATCCACTCTAGCTCCAAATCAAATATGGCCAGTCAAATTTACAATCGCTTGCCTCTTACTGTTAAGTTGCCCTCATAAGATGCCTGCATTGTAGGCTAGTGAGCAGCCACAGACTTAAACAGCATTACTTTGAAGATAAATGGAGCTTTCCCAAAATTTAAAGTAAGTAAATGAAACACCTTAAGTAAAAAAATAATAAATTTCCATGTAGTGACAAGAAGTTGAGGAAAATGCAATCTCAAATGGTCAAAAACTGGAAAACATACATGTGCTACATGTAAACACTAACAAGAAGTAATTGTGAAGTACGCAGCCTAAAGTTTCTTTCCCTTTTTTCAAGGGAAATGTTATGATGAAATTGAAGTAGTCTCTGAAGGTATAGGGAAGCGCTCAACCATATTCAAGACATATAGCAAAGTAGCACTAATTTTTACCACTAAGGCCAAATGATAATCCATGCAAAAAAGTTACCTGCACACTTCTTTCTGGGTCCTGATTTCTACAAAATGATATAATGTGACAACAGTTTATTGAGCTTAATTGCACTGAAGGCAAGATTTTTATGCAGCAGTTAATCAAAGGGCTGTGTGAGAGCCAGATTTTAAGCATTGCTATATTTTGTTGCTCAACTTGCTGCTCTGCTAGCTTTGTTTCCTTCCTCTCCCAAATTAAATGGTAAGTATTCATTCTGCACAGTAGTTTGTCAGTGTTGTGGTGAGCATAATTGCATTTTTTAAAAAGGCAAATTTAAACTCCGACAATTAGCTTTGAGATTGCGTGGTAGGGACAGTTGGTTTTATTTAATGATCAGAAACAACTTTAGTAAGGTACCTTAAACTTATAAAGCACATAGTAATTCATTGCTAATAAACCAAAACCAAAGTTAAAAACAACTGGTGAAAATTAGAATTAAAGGAAAAAAACAAACAAACAAACACACACGTACGCACTGTCACAAGTCATAGTACTATTGGTTTAAGCTTTGCACCAATCGGTAAAGAATAAGGAAGAAGTTTTCTAGACCAATCAAAGAGTGGAGAGCAAAGCACAGGTAATTCCAAGTCATTTGCTTTAACACTAAGAATTGCATTATATGAAAGGATTAATTCCTACCAGAGATTCACAATCAGTCAAGTAACAGGAGTTCCCAGAGGCATCTGTGTCCATCCATAAGTGCTGCCCATTCATGGCACTTTCCTAAAGGTAAAATTTTACACAGTAGATGCAAGATGAGAGGGAAAAAAAGATCAAATAGATCTGCATTAGATTGCTCTTAAACTTTATAGCAAAGTTACCACATAGAACCAATAAAAAAGTTCATTTCACACACTTGTAGACACCTGCATGTAATAACAATGACAATGACTTTACTGAAAAAGTAACAAAAGTTAAAAGCCTACACTGTCTATGATATTAAAGAGAACAACTCTAAGTCTCACCCCACTTAAAAGAGTACCAGTTGAAATCCTAAAAGTTTTTTTTAAAACATTTTGAAAAAAATGAAAAGCAACCATGACTCTAGTTAAGCTAACATTGCTATTCAGATGTTCACACCACAGTTAGGATTATAGAACCTTTTCTTAAACATCACTTTCATTGCTTTGAATAATTCAATTTCATTCTTTGAATATAAACTGTATGTTAAGACTGTGAAAGAAATTGCACCTACAGTATCACAAAATGATAGGAGAGAGAGATGGCCAGTTGTGGAGAATAAAAGTTTTGACATAGTCATCAGTTAATTCCATTAACCCTTTAACCCTTAAGAGGGTCTGGCTTGCAATTTCTCCTTAAAGCATCATCCCCAAATCAAATGTGAAGGTCACGAGAATGAAGGAAATCATTTCCACTTCAAGAAACTCTTGATTGCCAAACAAACTCTCCTTGTCAGAACCATGGGAAATGTAAAGATGACAGTGAAGAGAATATGAATGCTAAGGTAAGGGTGGAGAGAGTGAAAAAAAAAAAAAAAATTGGGAAATTGTGGACATTGCAAAAATGCCTATAACTGATGTGAATCTAACCACTTACAGTCCATTCACAGACATCACTGTGATGCTCTAAGTCTGTAAGATGTGCAGAGCTAGTATTAGCCTCTGATACAGGCTCCAAATCATTCTGAAAAAATTCTGTTGTAGCACTTCCAGTTGGTTTGGACATTGCTTCTCTAAAAGTAAAAGAAGTGAAGTCAACTTGAATGGTTTCCATTATGTGGCTACTTTGGAACACTCACATAGAATGCCATTTGTATGTATCAAAACTAGTTCTTGTCTTAAACAATATTTAACAAGAAATTTTAAAACTTTCTACTCCCTGATAAAACTTTCTTATAATATATAAAACTTCCTGTCTTTTAATACTTCCATATTCTTTACTCAAAATACTGTATATTTAAATACATATTGAATTTCTTTCACAATAAAAACACCAAAAGCAATCCATTTCAAAATGTAAACTTATTGTTCGTAAAATAAATTAAAGTGTTATCTTGTATATTAAAAAAGAAAAAAAAGAGGGGATCAGAGGAAATGAACAAAATATGGTAAAGAATGTGCTGGCTATGAGTTGGGGTCAGACATGCTGCCAGTCTATTTTATGGACTAAGTATTACAACTTAGATTAAGTGAACATGGACAAAGTTCCAATTATGTGTCAATGAAAAAAATGGCCAATCAAATCACTCTTATGTAAATTTTGACCATGGAATGGTTCTGATTTAAAGCAAATGTTCCGCAAAAATCTTTTTAAGGGTTTGGTCACCAGCTGCTATGTTTTGCTGCAAACTTAAGTCCAATTCTCCATGGGTACACACAAGTCAAACCAGAAGTCAAGCTGAATTACATTATGCTCTCTACATATTTTTTAGACAAAAATACTGGCTGAGTGGCAAAGCTTAAAATTTTGTTCAGACCATGACAGGTATTACATTACTTTGTCTATTTCAACGGCTGAAAATTCAAAAACAAGTAACTGGAAAAAATGCTGGCCACCAGCATTTCTAGAGGGCACTGATTAGAGGCACATTTAAATAAAAAATTTAACCATTCAAAATATATTTCACTTTATAAGTTGCTGTAGTCTCACTCCATTAACTGATCTGTCTTATCAAACGCAAAAAAAAAAAAGCTTTACACCCTATACAGTTTATAGGTGAAAATTTCCTTTTAAGAGAAAAACACACAAACCCCTTACACTTGTGACTGTTGTAAGTGAAATGAAATTCTGACTAAGCTCTTAGAATCTTTAGAGATATAATATTCATGCAGTCAATACATGTATTGACATGCTACATTTACATTGATCCAGAAAAGAAATTTTTTTACAACCCAATTGCAAAGAAAATAGAAAATAAAAAGAAAGTAAAAACATGTTAGTTAAAATAATAACAGTTATTGTTCTAACGCAATTTCTATAAAGAATAGCAATACACATTCAAAGTTCGAAACTACCACGTCAGAAGAGAAGTTAGTCATGCAAATAAAGTTATGATCAGAATTGAAAAAACCATTAGGCGCAGCAAAAATAAGTTTTGATTTGCGTTTAGCATTAAAAGGTCACCTTAATTACAGACTCATTCATTTCCAAGTTTAAATTACGTCTTGAAAACACCAAAGCCGATCAAGCTGCTCGCTTTGTTTGCTAAACAAAAGTTAAATAAGGAAAATCTATCTCGTCGTGTAGCTGATGTATCTTCATAGAATTTAAAGCTTAGCTTGGCACAATACAATTTCATTTGAGAGCTTTACCTGTGAGTTAAGTAACAGATTTGCCGATATAAGTGATAAAAATCTGTAACCCACTTTGAATCGCGTTTATTTTTTAACTGATAGGAAGCAGTCAAAATATAAAAGAAGGAAATTACAAATGGAAGCATTACGGGCAAACAAATTCAAATGCATTCGGGTGCAAATAAATCATATCGTGACATGAATTCAGTTTGATATCAATTTTTTATGCATAACACTCGTTTTATTTTCAGTTTCTTGCGGTAAGAAATAGTTATCGAAATCCGCAACAATTTTTACTGAAGAAATCAATAAATCTGTAGTCAAATATCGGAAAAAGGAAACAAATCAAATTCAATAGCAGAAGCGGAACTCTCAGAGTTGGGGTCAACTACATTCGACATTTTCAATTCCAAAACAAATTTAAAAGCTCAGAGAACAAATTTCTGAATAAAAAATTAACACCAGCAAGCTCGTAATCGCACCCCATAACTTAAAGATGCGAAATTAAATATTTATTTACCCGTTAGTGAGTCGTTAAATTTGATGCGAAACCTGAAAATCTACACGTAATATATCAAGGGAAAAATACAGGCCGCTTAGTTTAACTAAAACGTTACGACTGAAAAGCACAGCATGTAGGCAAAATACCTAACTCGAAACAATCTCGAAAATGATTTCCTGTACCATCTGAGTATACATTCAAGCTTTTCTAATCATTTATAACTACCACAAACGACATGAAAGTGTTCAACCCAACCTGTAAGATCTGGACTTGGCTGCACGTCGATGCAACCTATTTTCTTCGGCTTTTCCTTCATCTCCTCCAAATCTGTTTAGCAAGCTCTTCGTGTCTCGCTTTCCGCGGTCACCAGCGGCGGCCATTTTACATCAGCCGGTCTTAGAGACCACTAGAAGTCAGCATGGTGAATGCGTCACGATTTCGCCATTCTAACCAGCAAAAGTGGAAAAGCCTCAAGTAAATACTATGCAAACTTGCGCCCTAAGATTGTTGACAAAGTCAAACCGAAATGTGTTGAGCGCTTGCAAAGTATTGTGGGTTGTGTGTGGGCGTTCAGAACAGAAGGGAGACCTGCTTGATTTTCACGAGTTTCCTTATTGGTAAGACACTTTAATACGAATGTTTCTAGGCCGGTAATGTATTAATTTTCAGTCTGCTAAAAAGATAAACAAACCTTTTTCTTTTTCTTTTTGAGATTTTTATAAACCTAAATCTGCAGATTATGAGAAGATGCGATGAACACTGAAATTTCCGTATCTTCAAAGTGGTTGATTTTTCCTATCGGTACTCTCAGTCACCAATATAAATTCCTTTTTAATTTTCAATAAACATGCAAGTTTTGAAAATTGGAATACATCTTTCACCCCTAATGTGCCCAATGAATTCGATTAAACTGAATACCTGGCAAAAACTCCATTGTTGAGGCGTGCAAAATATGATGAATTAATTTGGTTTCAATGAAATATTAACAACTGTACATATTGAGGGTCCTCGCATCATATTGATGGTAGTCAGTGCGGTAAATGTCGTCGCCACTGAATAACTACAATAGTTTGAATTCACACATTTCTACGAAATTTAACTTTTTATCAAGCCGGCATATGGAAAATTCGGAACCTTTCTCCTAGCATAAGCTAGAAGACTTGAAACAGTTTCTAGGACAGCTGAGAATGTCAGACAACATTTTTTTTCCAATTTACACAATTTTTTACGTTTTGAAGGTGAAAAGCAGATGTCCAACAAAATATCACGGGACTTGAAAACTCAATAAGAAGATTAACCATGTGTCCCTAATTTTTCTCGACAACCTATTTCATACGGTTATACTGTTATAACAAGGTAAATAACACGATTGACATTATCTTTGCGATATTTTCGTTCAGGAATTTCACAGAATTTGATTCTAAACTCTTAAAGAGCATGTGTATGGAAACAGGAGTTTTAGGTGGAGCAAGTTTTGTTTTACGGTCTTGAAGACTTATGGGATGTACATTTTGATAAAATTGAAGTCACTTGTCAATGAGTAGCAAAGAACTGAACGCACAATCTCAGTAATCTTTTTTTTTTTCAAAGACAGGCATCTCGGAGAAGACTATTGTTCACACCATACATAAATAACGAGTCTTCAAATTTCAGTTATATTGAGCTATTTTTCAAGAAACACATTGAATCAGACCTCCCAATATTAAAAGATTCCACTCCTTTTAAAAGAATGTCCAGGCTGTCAAGTGGCATGTCAACCACCTTAAAGGCTTCGTAGGCACCTCTCTGATATCTCCAGTTTTTGCACAAATCTAAGGCCACCACTAGTTCTAGATCTCACGAAACTTGACATGGAGGTTGCTTCATATAAGATAGAAGGCAATGTTCTTCACAGGACACGAAGCATGTGCCAAGTGGGTCTAATGAACGGATCTCTTCATCGCAATAAGTTCTTGAATTTCCACGTCTCTTTCATCAAAGCACTCGTTATTCTTCTTTGTAGGGAACCTAAGGACTTCTTTAGAAGCGTGGAGAATGGCAGTTTTTCGTGATCCCACGGTGTTTCGTTGCCTGGGAGGGAGCTTGGGTCTACAAACCTCCACTGTAGGCCTGCCTGGAAGTCAGCTTCCACTTCAGCTGACTTGAAACTACCAACCTTGAGCTTTTTCCTTCGGACCTCTCATTCCTTGGGTTTAGGTTTGAGGTGAAGCTTCAGTGCAGCGAACAAGGAGATGGTCGGGGTGACATTCAGTACTGGGCATCACCGGCTGGTGTGTAAGACATCTCTCAGATCCAGCTGTCGAACTCCTCATTCACAATCTTTCAACCGAGTGGCGAGGTATACTAGTTCGTCAGTTAGGGGAGGAGTTTGGTAATTTTAGTTCTCCGAGTCCCTATAATCTGGGTCTAGGATCGAGCCCTAGGGTGATTAGCAAAATGCTGATCATTCATCCTAGTTAGCTTTTACTGCTCAGTAATATTCAGCTTGCTAGACCATCGATAGAGGGCTGTACGATTGAGGATCGTAAAACTAAAGCCAAAGTAATACCAACTGCCGATCATAAGGAGCTTACGAAAACTCAAGGCAAAATCTAGCAAACTGCCTGGAGCGTGGGAAAAAGCGACTGATTTAGTTGCGATTGGTTTAAGTTTTGCATTTGATTGGTTCAGGGAATAGCTGGCGCGAGATTTCAGTAACAATCACATAGTGAAAGAAAGCCAATGCAATCCCTGATCACTCTCGATACTCAATTGAAAATGTCTCTACAACGTTCCAGTGGTACGCGTTCAGACCAGGGTCATTGAGAAAAAGCTAACATAATGTTGCATCCTTGCAAGATCTTAGTCACATGTACCTCTGACTACTTGCAACTTTAAAATAAATGCGGGGAATAAGCCTGCAAGGAAATGACATCTCATGCAAAAGGATTTGCAGCACCGAGTTCAGCAAGTCTCCTTTTGTTGTTGTTAATCGACTAGGAACGGAGTTAAGCCAGATGAACAAAGGAATATGGAGAACAAATGAAAAAAAAAAAAGGAGCAAACAAACAGAAAAACGAAAAAACAAGGAAACAAAGACTTAGAAGTGCAAGGCAAATTTTATTTTGTGTTGACACCATAAATATATCCGCATGCCTGATACTTGGTCTGTTTAAAAATAGATTAACGTGTAGAATATTTGGTCCTCTTTAAATAACAGACTATTAATAGTATATGCAATATAAAATGGGTTGCAAAGATAATTTTACATCCAAAAATGTTAACCACAGCGACAGCACATTCCTAAGCTACACTAACATTGTTCCAAACACGTATTTCTGTTGAGTTTGTCAACGCAAACACTTTATACTTTAAGACAAGAAAAGTCTGAAAAACTTTCAAAATGTTCATTTTGCTTGCCTCAGACTTCTCAGTAACAAGCCTTCCGTTTATTCGTATTTGCCGAGAGCTTCCTGCAGAGTGGCGACGTCACCTTTGATGTCATTGGCCAATTTCATTATCTGGTCCTTCGAGTCCAATACTTCCACAGACTGCGTGTACGGATTGTAACGGACGGAGAAGGGTCTGGGAACTTTAGCAGCAAACTCCCTGCAAACATGACGGATAAATGTCAATACCTGAGCAACTGCTCAACTACCCCTCCCCTAACCTAACGGCAGTCAACTGATAACAACTTAAGGATAATGTTGCTTTAGGGGAGGGGTCGGTGCGCAGTTGCTGAAAACTGCAATTGATGCAACATGGGATTTATGTCATGACCATGTGAAAAGCTTCAAAATGCCACTTTCTCTCTTCACCCAGAAAAACACAGTAGCGTTACCTTTCTCTTACTGTTAAGTTTAAAAAATAATTACATGAAAATAAAGAACTACAGCTGCGTGACCCAAACAACCTATATTTCGCTCTTTTTACAAAGGTTAGTTCAAAGAAAGTCCAATCTTTGGCCAAAATGAACTGATGCTACTTGTAGTCACATTCCAGCTGATAATAAAATTGACGGGGCCCGAAGTCAGTAACACCCATTTCTTGACGAGCCACTTTTTTTAAAAACTTTTTTCAAGCCTATTTTCCATGGCTCACACCGGGATGCACCGGGATGCGCAGGAAGAGGTTGGGTGATTGGAGCAGAGGGAGTGAAAATGTCAAGTAAAAGGTAAGGATCGAAATAAAAAATCCTACCTGACTTTTTCCTTTGCACTCTGGAAACTGTCGGCGACAAAGTATAACGGTTGATATTTGGTGATAGGATAGCTCTGAACCACCATCTTCTCAGGCTCAAACGGCCTCTTCTCTGGCTCATCTGTCAGACAATACTAAAAAGGAGAAAAACAGACGCATTTCCAATTTAAAATCAATTTTTTAAAAAAAGGAAACAACGAAGAAGCTCTCTTGTTTTGGTTCAGCTCTGATTCTCGATTTCTTACTTGAGTGAAAATCCTCGTTTAAAGATAAACCGTATACTACCCAACAACCTTTTTCCCAATAGAGTTTCCCCGTTGAAAGGAAAATCCGCTAAAATATCTTGATACCTATCGCGTGATGTAGGATATTCTCTGGAACACCAAACCATCACATGACACATATGAACCATTATTCTTAAGAAACTAGCTATCTTGAATGAGGAAATTCGAGAGGGCTGGCTCCTTTAAAATTACGCTTAGAGCACTTTTGGATTGGGTATCAGTAGAGCAAAACAGAACTTATCACGATGACCAATCAAAACACAGACAAATATAAAAATGATCTAGTGAGGGCTCGGAGCAGACAGACGGAGCTGGCTTCTCGCATGTGAAAATGTGAGTGACCTGGCCAAGATTGCATCTAATTGATTGAAAAGGTGGTGCCAGATTTCTTGGCCAATCACGACGTGTAAAACAGCAAACCAATGGTATCCCAAATGTTTAAATCTCTGTGCTTTTTTGCTGGGAAAGCAATCCAGACAATAACTGGATGTTGAAAATCCCACTGACCGAATTGCGAGACGACAGAGGGGGCACACGAGAGGAAGGAAATCAGCGCCTTACACTCATTGTTTACAGACACTCAGTAAAGAGTTCGTAAACGGTTGTTGTAGAGCCAAATAGAACTAACTTTGCAGCTGAAAAAAGAGGCTATGGGCTAACCTGAAGTTCTCCAAAGGAAGACAACAGTCCAGCTCCATAAGCCTTGACTTCTTCGTCTTGTTTACAGAGTCCAAACTCAATTGTGAACCAATAGAGCTGCAAGCAAAGAACAAGATCAATTCAACGCAATGATGTTTTGACACCTGCCAGTTCGTTAATTCACCAGTTCGAAAATGTACCTAAGTATTCATTCAAGAAGAAGAAAAGAATTGTTAAGAACTATTGATCTCATTCACTTTTCCCAATTACAAAGTTGTTTATCTTTTTTGGCATCTTCAAATTCTTAAGTTTCCTGAAATCACGTAACAAAGACAAAGAAGCAGATCATTCCAGACCTGTATTTTAATAGCCGTTTATTGCTTTAAACCACTCACTTATGAGAAAATTAGAAAAAAACTTTTTCCTTGAAATGATTATGTTACACAAACACAAGCCATTTTTAAAGCACCCACAAGGCAGATTGGCAACCGCATGACGTCATAAGTATGTCACAAAAATGTGTATGTTATCAAAAAATTAGAACCGTAAATACAGCCTGTGTATTCCTTACCGTTGCCAATTTTTCGATCCATTCATCTGGGGCCCCTAAAGATGCCAACCCAATCTCCTGCAGGAGAAAATCAGTAAGATCAAAGAGGTTTAAAACTATTCAGTAGTACCGCGAAGACACTGGACACCTTCACGTGCACTCAGCTCGCGCCAAAGCTATTTCAATCTCAGATATGAACTAAAGCAGGTTATTTGAATGATATTCTGTTTATCCCGTCACAAAAAAAGGCCCTGAAATTTATTGATGTTGGCACAGACGAAGCCCATCATTAAGGGCAAAAAACCATAGGATATATCCAATACCATGACGACACTGCTATCTTGATACGTGAAAAGTTTACATGGTATATTCACTTTATGCGGAGAAGAAATCACCATTAATATCTGTACATGTAGCAAACCGATATATCACCTGACTAAACTGAGCAAAATCAGGATCAGCGAAAAGTGGGACATGACCAATGAGCTCATGAATAATGTCTGGCTCAGGGGTGTACAAAGGGTTGGAACCATGTCTGATATACTGAGTAGCATGGAAGACTCGGAAGGCAAGTCCAGCAAGGAAGTCACGCGAGGAGATCAGGCCAGCAACTGGGCGAAGACTGAAGCCAGAGCATTCTAAGAGTTGGTATTCAAAGTAAACACGAATTATTGAAAAATAAAAGTGAAGTTCCACGGGGTTATTAAAGAGATGCTTCGTACTGTGGCAAGTACATAAGATGGAGTTTCCAGGTTCTGGCTTCCCTATCTATCTCCATCTGTCTAACTTTCTGTCAGAAAGTTGGTCCATTTGTTTGTTGATTCCACATTCTACTCGTTTTAAGCTTGTTAACAGACGGTCAGTGAAAAAGCTAGTCTAACGTCTCCATATCATATACGCTTGACTTTACATTAAGACAATATTTGACCCGAAAAAGAATTTGTGCTCCAAAGTTTCTTAACTTAACGGAGCGATTCACTTTGACTACGAGAAAAAAGGAAATTTTCAAAGAAAGGAACTAATGAACTTACCTTTCAAGAAATTTGACACCACATCTTGTTGCGGAATGTTACCCAGCCTATGAGAGCAAGTTAAGGTAAAATTAAACAACAGTAAAATCAGCTGTTAGCAGGGTCGGCCAGGGGGGGTAGTGGAATACCAATATACCCGAAAAAAAATCGACAAAATACCCCAAAATACCCCAAATTCCTCCAAATATACCCAAAAATAATCGAAGCTTTGAATACTCTATACCTGAAATTCAAAGAAAGTGATATACTGAATACCCATATTTAAGCTGCACTATACCGTATACCCGATTTAAAACGCCCCTGAATACCGAATACCCAAAAACCCTGGCCGACCCTGTGTTAGCAACGTCACCTTGGTATATATGGTTAGTGCTCAACATGGGATCTACTGTATGTTAAATCAATGATAGTCCAAACAACCAATCATCAAACAATCATTCAAACTCCTACGTTGTCACTTCTCTCTTAAAAGAGGGTTTGTAACCATTATAAGTATACAGGAAAGATACCTGTCAGCCAGATACCTTAATGACACGCATAATTTTTGGCATTTTTAGGGGGAGGGAGGCAAGTGCATGGTGAGTATCAAGAGAGCTTAGAGGGTGAGTCAATGGTGCTCCTTAATGGTGCTTGCCATCACTCTCCTAGAAACAAAGGGGGCGTATTCCTTATTAACAACACTAATCAAGACCCACTCTCACTAATCCATGGCTACATGCTCTTCACTTGCCAGCTACACACAGCATTTCCACCCAGTAAAGTCAAGTCAAGTCTTTGTTTATGAAAAACTCTACTAATCTTTTTTGCAACATAGCAAACATACCTATAGCCACAGTTTTGCACCAACAGAGGCCACACATAACCATGTTCACGGCATGCATGAGTAGGGTACAGCTTTGTTAACTCAGAAAACACCTTATCCCTGCAAACAGTAGTGCCATCAATTAAAATAGTATGAAGAATTGAATGATACCTTCAAAAATTGATTCAGAATGAAAAAGAAAAACATTATTTGATATACTAGGGTAAAATCATTGAATACTTTAACATTTTTTTTGATCAATTGATTAGTTGGTTTTTTCATAACAGATTTTTAATTCTTACAAACTGCTGTGAGGAGGAGGAGGAGCTAGGAAAATTATCTCAGTTCAACCTACACTGTACAATTCTTGGGGGGAGTCTGCACAAACCTTTCCCTAGCATTCATCATAATGATTACATAGTAATAATAAAAATAACAATTTTGCAAGAATTATGATAATGATAAAAATAACAATTTATTATATTGAAAAAAGCAATCTGTTTTTAATCTTAACTAAGATATAAATGTAAATCTCTTACCAGGTCTTGATCTCTTCAGCTGTGTACTTCACATGTGGGATTGGCTGACCACTGTCATCAACACAAAATTATTGATTAGTAATAATGGCAAGTATACAGATTATTTTAATTGAGGAACAATCAAAATTTGACATACTGCTTGTAGTTGATAGCAATATCTGCAAGTTCCATTCTGCGAGCCCTGTACACTGGATCAGTGAAGCCCTTAAAAACAAGCCCATTGTCAGTGAAATTCAAAATAAATTTGTAGAATCTCATTCCTAAAACAGAACTTCTGGTTCAATAGAGAACTGTCACCTAAGGGGTGGAGTAGGTGGTAAAAATCAGGGGTTAGATACATGTAGCAGCTCATAATCAGGTCTCTTACCCTTGGTGAGTAATCTTTATTTTACAAGTGTTACACAACTCTGATAATTTTCATTTTAATAACATTTTGCTCATTTTGATAACGTTCATTTAAACAACATTTTCTTTGCTGATGTTAGTATAAAGGTCAATTACCAGGTAAACTTCACAAATTAACAGAAACCATAATCACTGGTTTATTTTACTACACATTCTTTGAATTAACACAACAGTAAAATAAAAAGATGTGCTCTTACTGGATGGTCAGCATCAAGCTCTGCTCCATAACTCATTACTCTGTTTGCAAATTTGTCCAAATCTGCAATCTTGCGAGGAAACCATGGCACTAGATAGGGAGAGATCATTCATTATCAAATCTACGAATATTTTAATAAAAATAATATGTGTTATAATCATGGTATCTTTTTCAAGGGCCCTCTAAAGAAGCTATAGGTGGTGAGGGTCAAGTGACAATTTCCTACTGATAAATTGTACTGTTTATCATAGGATGACCTTGATTTCATATTTAATGCTGTAATTGATTTTAAATTCATTTTTCATGTGGTTCTGAAAGCTAAGCTTCCGTTTTTAGCATTGAAAGAGAGAAAAGATCAAAGTGCTCTGTGAGAAAACTCGTGAATTGACAGATGACTAACATGATTTTTTGGTTTAGGGAATTTTGTGGTTGATTGTCATATTTAGAGTATGAGCAGTTGTTCAGTGTTCGATAATGTAGCAAAGAAACAAAGTAACATTGGGATAAGATTGGCATTACAATTGAGATGATCATGCTATTACATTTGACAAGGGTGGATGATGTCATGTTTTTTAAACAGTCGTATATTGTTTTTGTTTCTGGTTCAAAAGAAAAGGTTGGAAGTAAATGTGGGTGAAAAGTGAAATTTACTGTCTATCATGATTGTAAATATTGGAAAATCAAGGCAATACTGTCTTAAATAATTCATCATACATGTACTTCTCTTGATGGCTGTTGTTACACATGGCTCTGAAGTACATTACACCAACCTGAGCCACCTGTCAGCTTAGTGGTCAAAAAGAGCCTCTAATAGGAAGTTGATCTGGGGCTACCCTCTGACAGCCCCCAACCCCAACCCCAACTCTGTAACTCTAAATGAACAGAATATCCTTAGGAGACAGAGGGAAGATCTGGGAGTCATTATATTATCTTAGAATTTTTAAACTTAGTTTATTCCTATATAATTATATATATGTGTATATTTCTTTCCCTTTTCCCCCTTTCTTTTAGCTTTTTAATAATCTTTAATGTACAGCACCATGGACAATTAGTGGATTTAGTGCTACATAAATATTTTCATTACTCATCATCATTATTATTACTGGTACTACACAACAAAAACATCAAGGGTGAGAATATGTGAAAAGTTTAAATTTAGTTACATTCATCTTCGGTACATTTTTATTGTGTAAGTAATTTAAAAAAAAACACTCAATGGCATACTCTAAATCAAAATGTTACCAACATGTCAGACATAAAATTCATGTGAACATAAGAGTCATCTTGGACCTCAATTTGAGACTGAAAATAAGGGCTTTATTTAGTTACCATTAACATACAAGTCCCTTAGCCTATGTTACACCCACATAATTGTGCAGATCATCTCTCTAGTAGTCTCATCATTCAAAACTATAATATACTTAAAGACAAGAGGGACGACAGGTAGGCTATCAAGAGTGGAGATATAACCCTAAAAATGTACAGCATGTAAATACTGAACTAACTGTAAGGGTTACAGGTTCTAAACAACCCCTTCAGTCCTCAACCTTCATGTCACACACTAATTTTATTGCTGCTATTCCACAACAACTACTCAAATCAAATAAATATTTTGCCAATTCTTATTCAATTATAAAGATCAATTGATTTGTATCTCATTGTTGGCACTTCCTGTCATAATAAGTTGGTAAAGTTTGGGTGTCATTCAGCATAAGTCTAGAAATCCTACCTACCCAATTTTTTTTTAATAAAAAAAAGTTAATTGTTGGAGAGCACAGTCGATTTGTAAAAATTAAGAGGTCAAGGTGATTCTTGAGAGCCAAGGTGGCAGTCATCCAGTGTGTTTCACTAAAATCAACTCATAATCATTAACTGTCACTCTTCCACTTACCCTCATCATGATCTGAAGAGTTGCAATGTAACCACCCCAACAGATTAGTAGTAAGCGGAAAAAAAAAAATCAAACAAATATCAGCAAATTAAATATCAGCTGCTAAAAAAGAAGTCATCACAAAAATTTTGACTCAAACAACCAACAGAAATGTTAAACATGACCAACAAGGTGACCGATGTGCAGGTGCCTTTTACTTGTGCTGGTTAACCGAATTAAAAGTGCATCATTTTATACTGGATGAACAAAAGACATTTAAATATTAAAAACCTTTGTTTATGTGATTTGCACGTACTTAAAAAAAACAACTACATGTATGTTTTGTAAACTCAAGGCAACACAAATGTCAAATACTTTTGATTGAAATTAATGTTGATTATAACAAGCCATTTCTGTCCTGATTACACTGAAGTTCTAGAAGATCTGCACATTATAACAATTATTATTAGTTACTTTGATCACCCTTTTACCTTTGTTTATACCACTTTGATAAAAATTAACTGTTTGATTGAAAGTTTTATAACATAGAAGAGAACTGTAAGTGTGGTTCAATTAATAAAAAATAAAACACTCAGTAGTAGAAGAGCTGTAAAACGGGCATCCTGTTCATGGAATCTGAGATTAACAGTAACATCATACAACACATTATCCTTAACAACTTAATCTCCAAAAGGCAATAGGCATACAGATGGGGTTACTCAACTGAACTCCTACTAATCCACCTAACACAAATGTGGAGAAAAGAGTTGGACTCTGGAAAGATTGTAGCAGCAGCATTTGTGGACTTCAACTTTCAACTGTGTTCCACATGAAACAGTAGTAAAAATGTTGGAATAACAATTTGCCATCACTAGATCACTGTTGGAGTGGCTGAAAGATTACTTGAATGAAAGGAAACAGTTTACAACCTTGAACGAGATGCAATCTGATCCAGCAGCAGTGCCTAATGGAATTCCACAGGGTTCAGTACTGGGCCTGACCCTTTTCACATTATTCACCAACAATCTACCATCTTCTATTTTTTCAGGTTTGTTATATATGTACACAGACAACACAATGATTTACTGTATTGGTGAGACAGCAGATGTGGTAGTCACACACTTAAACAAGGCATTAAATGAGGTCTACAAATGGTGTTTGAACAGCTGTTTATCCTGCCATCCAAGAAAAAGTGAGGTTATGCTGATATGCAAAAGAACTGTACATGGACCTCTGGCCCCTATGCGTCTTGGTGACTCAATTCTCAAGTGGGTTACAACTACATGACTGCTTGGCATGACAGTTGACGATAGATTCACCTGGGTACAACACACACTGGAACTTAAAAGGAGTTTTGCTAAAAGGCTAAAAGCCATAGTAACTAGATATAGGCAGAGTGATTTTGTATATTACTAATAATTTAAATGGAATTGGAATTGGAATATCATAAATTTTAAATTTTATTATTTTATCTTTAGGTAACTTTAACATATATTTTGATTATATATATTTAAATTTGATATTTTATATCTTGTTATATGTCTAAAAGTTTTATTATTTAACTTTGTAGTTATTTTATTTTATGCGCAACCCCACAAGCTACTAGCTTTAACTACTATCAAGATAAAATAAAGGTTTATTGTATCATAGCTTAAATTATGCAATATAATAAGACAATGATAGTTCACACTAACCCGAATTTTTCTAAGTGCAATTACAACTGCATATATTGTGCAGGTGCTCATGTTCATTGTGTGTTTTTTCAACTAAAGAGGGAATGATCATGAGAAATGTTCACAATAAAAAGACATCATCAAGTTATAGCATTACAAGGTGCAAGAAATAGGGAAAGTAGTAAAAAGTCATTGCCCAAGTATGGTTTGTAGGCTTGTAATGTACCCTTCACAGCACATCAAATGCAAGTTTGAATTGCGCAAAAAGAACTTAAATGTTTATAAACAAATTATTCTAGCCTGCCCAAGGGAAAATCATTGCCACGTCCCATTAATCAAAAGAAACATGTTGTGGTAACCCTAACCCTAAGCAAGAATGCTTTCCCTTGTGGGAAAGGGTTAGGCTACCTCTATCTGTGGTCTTTTCTTGAGATGATTATCAATTTCTTTCTAGGGGAGACTGGTATCCCAGGTATCAGGAATCTTAATTTCAAGGAAAAGCATCTCATGTAATTGTGTCAAGAAATCGAACAATAAAAGTGACCCTACTTGGACTTTCAGGTACATTAGCTTTCTTGCACCTGATGCCAAGCACTGTCTGGGGGAATTACAGCAGAAATATCAGTGAGATAACATGTTATATGTGTTGTCAGCAAGTTTTAAAACTGTCAGTTTGCCTTTACTTTGAAATATACTGCCCAAAACAAATTTTTGGCAGAAAAGAAAAGGCAAAGTAAAAGTGATTGTTATAAATGTGCCAAAAAAGGAACATTACATGTCAAAATATTATAGGGATTGATGGTATGGGATCACTTAACCATGCTGTGCTGTCTGAAAGACAATGCACAGATTAATATTACCTTTGTTCTCATTATGCCCAGTTTTTTTTGCAGACTGAGAGTAATGAGCAGGGTAGAAAAAGGTAATGAACAAGATAATTTTAATAAGAAAAATAAATTCAAATTTGCATAGAAAATCTAAAATTAAATGGTCAATTATTTATGTGTAACTGGCAAATACCTCCTCCTTCCTCTGAATGAAGCATGATTGACAAAGCATGACCCTTCAAGGCATCCATAAACTTTTCAAGCTTTGCCCCTTGAAGTTCTTCACAATCCACAATGAAATCATATTCTGACTTGGAACGCTTTGATGGCCTTGACTCAATGTGTGACATGTTCACCTTGTGATCCTGTGGACAATGAAATAGAATATTTTTGCCAATCAATAATATCTCTAATGACCATTAAACATACTAACATTGCAACGTAAACTGAGCATAGTCAGTTTGAACCCAAGTCAAGTTGATATTTTTCAGCTAAGTAAAGCCACCTTTAATTAACAGCTAAATCATGTCAGCCATATAATTTTTCTTAACTACTGATAACGAAATGAAGCTATGTGCAACTCAACTTTTGAACCCTTTCAGTTGGCGGGTGATTCTATAAATCTACTGGTGTGATAAATATCCTAGGAGAATTCTAGGCAGGAACACTAACAGCCTTTTCCTTTCTACAGGTTTATTTATGTAGTTATAAATGGCTCACATCATTCTGGAAGTTTTTGTAACTGTACATGAATGCTTCTGAAGAAATTTGAGAATTTTGGTTCATTACAAAAACTTTTAAAAAAGACCAAAGAAAAAGCCAAATAGAGAAGTTTTATCCTTCCAACCTCTTGTACACCCCTATATCTGCCCTTGACCATACAATTTCACATGCCTTTTAAACAGTTTTCTCTCATTGAAAGGTTAATAAAAAACATACCTGTATATGCAAAAATTTCAGTATATTCATTAGTTGAAAACACATCAGTTAATCCCAAAAATCTTGCAGCTTTCAGTCTTTTTTCACACAATGCTACACGGTTATCCCATAAATCCGGCAAATTTGCATAATGATTCTTTCTTGATTTCCGAAAGAGAGATTCTGACTAAAACTATAACTTCTTTCTTTGGTTGATTTAATTGTTCTTGTTTCGTTACAGCTTTTTTTCCCCAGATTTACTGAACACTTTGTTCCTCAAGAATGTTGATATTTGAGAAAACAACATCCTAACAGCTGCGTAGAAAGTGTTAATTGGGAAACAATTAGTTCAGACACAAGCTGTGCAATCATCGAATTAAGAAACACATTGATCATTTGGAGAGCACTCAAGAAGCTAGAGTTGCTCTCGACTACGCCTTGAGCAACTCTTTGCCATCTTTGATACTCTCTCAACTTCCCGCGGGATTCATATCTCGATGAAATACGCTGAGGTGAGATGTTTATTAAGTTTGGAGAGCAGTTTTGGTGTACTTTTCTTTTGCTGTTGCGAGAGGGTTTACCACATTTGGGTAGAATGTAAATTCTTGGATCTGGAAATGTGATAGCAATGATGAAGGTTCACTCGAAAAGCACAGCGAACAAGGTTTCATTTAGAGGCTCTTAGTAATGATTGCATAAGATAAAAAAAAAAAAAGACCGCATTAACTTTACGAGTAACTTGGGCCCGTTCTAACAACACTTTCGTCTCGGAAATTTCATCAGAAAATGCTGATTGGAAATTATACTTACAGAAACCGAATAACAGAGGATTTGACTTTAAACGAATCCTTAGATCACCCACTCTCCAAAAAATAACGCCTAAAGCACCTCCAAGCAGTATTCTAAATACAGGTAAATGAATGCAGTACCTCAAAAAGTTTGAGAGCTCGGGACAGCGACCCAACCTCTTCTTTTAATGAAAACACTATCGAAGTGTGTTTCTTTTCGTCATCCTCAGCTAGATACTTCTGCGAAAACAACAAAAAAAGCGAAAAAAACCTGTAGTAGATGTACATAATAATCAAAACAATGGACTACAACGAAGCACGTACGATCGACAAATACAATATTTGATCATCTTTTCTCTCTGTTTGTATGGAAAAACCAAGGGTAACTCGATACCACAAACTAGGAATGAACGTTCGTGATATGACAAAAAAAATTCACCTTTCGATTGGTTGTATCTTCGTCTAAATCGAAGTGTTTTCTTTTGCCCGCTACTCCAGCGTCCATGTTAATTCCTGAATCAAAGAGCAGAATTGCGTGGACTTCGTCACGTGGCCACATCTATTATTCTTAATAGAGATAGGTGTGTATGAAGGAGGGGCAAAGGTGGGGCAAGGGTAATCTCGTACCCAGATTTTACCGTGTAACTGTACCTAAACCACTTCGTCGTGAAAAGACGTCTGGGTTTGATACTAGGGCAAGTGATGCAAAGACGATAGGTAATTACGTAACTAGTTAGCTTCCAAGCCTGTCCAGTACCACCAATCAGGGTTGTCTAAAAGATTTTGAGTAACCGCACTAAGATACAAAGTTGGCGACACTAAGAGTCGTCAACGTCATGCTTCCATGCTGAAAATTTAGCCATAAGCATTCGGAATAGCTGGCCCGTTTTTCGGAGTGGACGGAGAAATGAGCTAGTTGTTGGCTAGAAGATTCAATTGTGAATCTTTTTCATTCAGTGTCACTTTTTCGGGAAAGTTGTCTTTATCTGTATAATCTTGTAACTCCCATTTCAGATTTTTTTCATAGACAAGTTCGAATAAACATGAATGAATGCGTGTAAATATAACCTTCGGCTTTTAGGTGTTGTAAAACCAAAAAGATCTGAGTCCCAAAAAAATTCTTCAATCACCACACCGAGCCTAAATGCTGTTTTCATAAGGCGTATGATTGTTATTAGGGATATTGCCAATTGCTCAGCTATATTCACCATTTAGTGATGGCAGTGACTGCATTCTCAACGTTTCTGGCATATGAAGACTTTGCACTGTTTCACACAAAAACTTCTAACGGTTCTTGCTCAAAGCGATCATTCTTTGAACATAATTCTCTTGCGTTGACCGCCTCTGGGTCTTGCTGTGGTTGCAATTATCATTTAAAACATTGTTATACGGGCTACCAAATGTCTCCTTATTATTTAGAGTGGTTAAATGTATGTAACTAAAACAAGCGTGGTTAAGTAAAAAACCACATTATGGTTTGGTTTTATCTAAGTACCCAAAATTAGTTTCATGTTCCGACTCGAAAAATAAGGGAAAGTTTTTATGGTAGAGTCTTTTATTTTGTGATCCCACGTGTGCCCGTCTATCGGGTCCTATTTAGTTGAAACAAAATTGTGGAAAGTTTCAGCACTAAGAGGTCATAATTATGATAAAATGCTCATTGACTGAGTTTGGTCGGGCTGAACGGGAAATCACTAGGCTCTGGGTCATGACATATGCACCTCTCTGCGCTCGCCCGGACCCTTTGTCATGACTTCGAGCCAAATATTTTCCCCTTCGGCTCTCCTCTTGGTCAATAAGTACCATATTGCATTTTGGCCACTTAACCGATATCCACATTTATGTTTTGAGTATTTATTAATTAAGGGATTCGGTAATTTGGTATGGAGGTTATTTAGGGATCTTGATATTGCCAAGGTTGTATTGGTTTTTAGAATTGTTTCAGACGATGAGATATTGCATAAACATTATTATTATGTCTGACATTTTAAATTTTATGTGTTCTGACATAATTTCCTGAAACTTTTATGTAATATTGATTTCCGGCACTTGAAAGAACCATCCTGAGCCTTAAAATTAAATTAAATTGTCCAACTGTCTGACAAAGGACTGTCACCTGGCAAAAATATTTATTTACGAATGACGAAATTCGCATTTTGGTTATGAACGAGGTTACATTGTTTTTGATAGTTTTTCCAGATGATTAGATACTGCCAAAACATTAAATTTATGTCCGAAATATTAATTTTTTTTAAGAGCAAATATAAATTTCGTGCAACTTTTATGTAATATTGATTTTATATCACTTTGTGCTCGGGGCAGGTTGCTTTCAAGCACTTAAAAGAGCCATTCTGAGCCTTAAAATTAAAGTTTCTGTCTGTCGTACAAATAACTGTCATGTGGCAAAAAAATTATTTACAAATAATCAATTTCGCACTTAGAATAAATTTTAAGCTGAGTCTGAATGTTCTTATTTTTTTGCAATTTGAGCCTGAAAATGTTCTTCACATGATCTGAAAGTTGTGTGGCATAGTATTTCACTAGATAAATTAAGTTCGAGTACAATCTCGGTTATTCTTCAATGTAAGTAATAAGAAAACGCATTAAAGTGACTACATCGTGAGAAAAACGGAAAACTTAGCTTTTATTGTTATTCACCACGATGACTAACCACAAATTTTTTAGAAAACGCATTGTTAACGTTAAAACATGTCTCTAAGTATTTGAGTTAATTGTCCTGCTAGACCACAGTTTTACATTTTTTTTACCTTTATTTACTCTTCTCACAAAAAATGAGCGAAATAAAGACGGACTTGACTGACTCTCAGCCTAAGTATGTTCTTAGTATGTTCTGAAAATTTTGGTTAATCTCAGCCCGAACATCATCCTACACAAACAAATCTTATTAAAAAAAAAAGAATACAACTTATTTCGCATTTGGTTACCTAGAAACAACCAAGCTGCAATGTGGTTAATAATATATAACCACGCCTATTTTGGTTGCTTAATCGAATAGATCGCTTTTTCTATTGGTTTATCGGCATAATAACCCACGCAGGATATTGGAAGATTACGGGAAAAGTTTGTAAACGTGACTAGCCGTAAGCGGTTATTTACAGATTTTTTAGAAAGAGGATGTTTTAATGTTTTCTGACGTCACTGACTTTTCAGGATAAGAAACAGTTGACTTCCCCTGAAAATTCAGACTCTCTTTCTACGATGGAGCAATCAGTATCTTCAAAACTACAAGATGAGGTATATTTGACGAACCATTCCCGGATAATCAGTGATTCTAAACTGTTCCTGGGGCTTACAGTTGCCGGTTTTTCGCTTTCTTTAATAACAACAGTGGGAAACACGGTCTTGCTGGTGACAACATTTAAGGAAAGCCGTCGCTTACTCGATAAACCTGCGCATATGCTCATCACAAATCTCTGTGTTTCTGATCTTGTTATTGGATTGCTAGCAGGGAATCTCGCTTCAGTATTAGCTCTATACCACTACCAGAGTTGGCTGATTCCTGCCAAACTAGATCTTGTTGTTCGATTTGTTCTGATTTTTTTGTTGTTCGTAAGAAGTGGGACAATAGTAACGTTGTCGTTTGATCGCTACTTTGTCGTAGCACACACTTTTAAATACACATGGATGATTACAAAGTCGAAATACAAGATTGCTATCGCCTTCATGTGGGCAGTCGGCTTTATTTTATCCTCTCTTCAGTTGACAAGCATTCCAGAAAAAATTGTCATAATTCTCTACACTCACACTCACGTTTCGGTTCCTGCAGTATTGCTAACAGTCATTTACTTTAACGTTTCCCGTGTCCTAATGAAGAGAAAACGACACTTACGAAACGTCGGGATGACAAATAAGCAAGTTTGGGATAACCAAAGACGCATGGCAGTGACAACTTTTTTGGTATTGACTTTGTTTTACGGCACTGTGTTACCCGAGTTTATAGTTGTTCATCTTCGCTACTTCTGCCAGCCATGTGCGCAGTCCTCAACATTTAAGAAGCTGGAAGTCATATTTGCAGGACTTCTCTTTCTAACGTCTGCGGCGAATCCCTTTGTCTACGCTTGGAGGGTATCAAAGTACCGTCGGGCATTTAAAGCGTGTTTTGCCTCTCACCTGCAGAGAATAGCACTGAGACCAAACCCATGGCAATATAACAACCGTGTTACAACGGGAACAACTGTCCAGGCCATTAGTTTAAAAACATTTCAGCGAAATTGATGGTGAGACAAGAAACTTTAACACTTTTATTGATGGTGATCGGTTTTCGGTGAAGGCCATTTGTCAAGCTTACTGACTTGGGATGAAAGAGCTGAAAGGGAATATTGAATATTGTCTAAATCTTAAAGGAGTTAGACAATATTCAATCTCTCATATTGTACATAATCAATATGCCAAACACTTATGTTGGGCATATTGCCAAAACCCCAATCGAATATTTCAAGGAGGATGAAACCACAATTTTCTTCACCCTTTACCCGTATGCTTATTCTGTACACTGCTTTCTATATATTTCCCACGCTGCTAACAAGGAGAATCTGTTTAGCAGTCAAAAGCTTCTTTAGTTTGTGATCATTTCCTTTGTTCTCGTGACACTACTATGCGATTCGGTGAATGATATTGTACGGAGAAATTATATGCTCGTCACTCGTAGGGGTTTAAAGGTTAATGAGCGTAAAGAGGTAACGACTGTAAGTAGTATTCAGTCCCAGCTATTGAGTTGTCTATCGAAGTTTCATTCATAATCGGCTTTGAAGGTGAATAGGAGTAAATAACTAAATAAATAAATACATTTATATCATCATTGCGCAAAAGCATCACATATCGACATTCCTATCCTAGCAGCGTGCAGCAAGTTTGTCACCATGGACCTACAACACATCCTTATTATAGCAGTGTGCAGGAAGGTCGTCACCATGGGCCTACAATCGGCGACAAAATTTTTCCCCTCCCCCCCAAACAATATGATGTTGCTTTGTGATTCCATGAACCTCTAACTACATAGAGGCAACACTGAATGGGAGAGGGAGGCCTTGTCAATGATTTAGGGTGCATGTGTTATCAACAGGAGTGTTATTCTTCACATTGATAGGACTCTTAAAACATGATGTGTCATCTAATTTCGACACTGATTGTGGCTAAGCGCTGCTCGGTGGTATAGAGCATCCGAATGACTAACTGGAAGGTCGTGGGTCCGACTCCTATTGGGGGCACTGGGAGCTCTGTTTTACTCCGGTATGACTGAATCATTAACTGAATAACATCTTCTTTCAACCACAGTATTATCAACATAGAATCACAAAATTTACCCCAACCTTTATTTCAATTTCAAAACATATCAAAATGGAATTGTTTCCAATAAATAATTAATAATAAATTAAACAAAGTTTTATTTCTTATCAGAAAATTACGTAGCTTTGGCAAGACCTTAATAAAATTGCCAAGGAGATTTCATATTCCTTACAGGGGCCTTTCACCCTCTTTGTTACCTGGGTAACCTTTTCCTTGGAAATGAGGTTATAATAGTGCCAGCCTGCGTGAAGGGTTACAGACGGTACGCGCGCGAGAAGTGTTGCTGTAAGTCACGCGCGACTTCTTAACCTTAACCTTAAACCTCCCCTAGCACCTGTCTAGGTAATCAGAGGTGTAATTTGCAGTCTAAGATTACTTAAAAATTAAGCTGCTAGTAAATGCGCAGGTCTTCAGAGGAAAAACTTCTTTGTTTGACTGAACAAATTGACATTTTTGTTTTACTCTACCAATCAATACAAAATTGTCTGTCACTTAGAAAACCTTCATTAACCATTGTCTTTAAACCTTCGATTAACCTAAAGATCAATAAGTTAATCTATTTACACATGCATTTACATTTATTATAAGTAAAAAAAATTATTTTCGCCCAATTTGATTTCGGCATTGATGTTTATCTTACAAAATACGAAAAAATGTTGTGTACAAAAGCAACCCTTTCTCTCCATGAGGCCAATGTTGGTTACTATACAGAAAGTACTTTAAATATTGCATGCAAGTCTCCGCTCACCGCGTTCGGTTTGATGGCAAGTTAATCAAGCGCATTTAAATCTTATGCTTGGATATATTAACAAAGAGAATAGCAGACGAACGAATTTTAAAAGCGCGCATTGGCATTCCGGCCGTTTTCAGATAGCCAGCTGCACACGCTTTGCATTTTAGCGTCACCACACAGACCGACCCGATTAAGAGATTCTGGTCTATACTCCTTCTGCAGCTGGTATTCGAAAGCTCAAAAATGACTATGAACGATCTAAGAGATTGCTGTCTAAAAGAAAGTTTCCAATCTTTATTGTGTCAAGAGATTCCTTTCAGAAGCGAGGCTTCCAGTGTGATGTTGAATTCAACTAAAGTCTGAAGTAACTCCACCAAAAACTGCATTAGACCACTGTCTCTGAAGAATGAAGGCGTGTCGTACATGTTGGTTGTTGCAGGACACGTGGATAGCAGTTCGAACCAGTTGTGAAGCAAATGGTCTCTGAGGGAAGGGAAGGACAAAAATGTTAGGAGAGTAACGTAGGACGGGAACTGAAAGGCGCAAAAAAATAAAAATGCTAGTGAAAGATTAAAGAAGCAGTTGCAGCTATTTCCTATCGAAGCTGACTGAAAAACATGCCTTGGTCTTTTGGCTGCGACAAAAAGATTGCAATTTTTTTTACTTAGCAGTTGGCGAAAACTGGCGCTACCATCTAATTTAATTTGATCACCACAAACTACTAGACAATTAGCTCTTTAAAAAAATATATATATAATCATTGGAAAATGATACTTACCGCGCACCGAGGCACACAAAGGACTGGAACTGCAAGAAAACAAGGAAATGCTTGCACTCTTTTCATATTTCACATTTTTAATTTTCTAGTTCAAATAACACCACTGCTACCTTTAATTTAATAGTTGTTTCATGATATTAGTAATTAATTTGTCGACAAAAATAGCAGACCCCTCTTTCTAAAATGGTTTCTAGAATTGGTGGAAACATTTGGGACAACATTTGGGATAACTTCTTCATGTGGTGAAAACGCTTATCACATGTAAATTGAATGATGTCAACCTATTAAAGTACGAAATTCAGAATCCAAGGAAGACTAAGCTCTAAAAGCAGACGCACCTTGCCGTCTTTGCCGATGGTGTGTGACGCATTATTTATTCGCGTTATTACGCTACAGTAAGTTCTTCGCGGTCTTTTCATTGGATCGACTTGATCCGAGTCCTCCTCTGCGGACGAAAGATACTGCTGACCTTTTTCTGTAAACATTAGAGACGGGAAAAAGAAGAAAAACAAACCACAAACTCAGATACCTCAAAGTTTTATTCTGAAACCTATTTTGAAAATTCACAAACATTTTACCAGGAAAAAGATTTCGCATTATGGTGTAATCTAAGCTAATGACGTTTGTCTTTGGATATGGCGATTCTAAATGAGATTGATTTGCTCGGGCATTCAACTAAGCTCGCAAGTCGGACTCACTTCATTCGACCTTCCTGATTTGTGTAATAAGCCCTTGAGTAAAAGCTACGACGCGATTTCTTAAGGACACGGGTAAAAAGAAGGAAATGCACGAGGAGAATGCGCGTTTTCCTCTCTTAGGCGAGACTTTCACTCTCTTTACCCAAATGGTAACGCAGACTCCGAGCCCCGCTGACTGATCGCGTGCGACGCACGTCCTCTTCACTCGAGCGCTTTTCATGCCTAAAAAATGATGTGGTGCAGTGCTACAAGTTTCCAGGTTTTCCGTGCCGTGCGTGCGCACCCTGTCTTCGCTTGTCAATGTGCTGTAACTTTTACATAAGAAAGCAGCACTTACCCAAAATATCCCAGATGAAGAAATTGTTACGGAAAAGTCGGAATGACTTAAAACCACACTGAAATACCTACAGACAAAAAAATTACGTCCTTTCCTCAATTCTTCACCATATGAAATTATATTTTCGGAAACTTGCAAAGACAACAAGGGCAACAGCCAAAAAAGAACCCGCGCAGAATTTAACGCTAAATCCTTTTCCCTCACATAAAGGGTGTATCAGAGGTTCTTGACCGCTGCTTACAACATCAGGGCATATGGACCGTCTTCAAGTCTGACACAACACTTAGGTCTCACTTAATACGACCTTAAGACGTCCTGGAACCAACAAAACAAGACGGTGTCGTTTACAAGATCCAATGTGAATGCGGCAAAGTGTATATCGGTGAAACAGGGAGATCAATGCGAGAAAAGATAAAAAGAACATGACAGAGACATTGGCTTTGCTCGTACTCAAGACCTCTGCGGTTTCGGAGCACGCTAACGAAACGGGGTATATTCCTATTTGGAGCAAGGTTAAGTTTATTGATCGTGACCCCCACTGGTACACACGTAGGGTCAAACAGGCTATCCATATAAGACTTCATCCCGACAACATCAATAGGAATAATGGAATCGGAATTCCCGAAGCTTGGATACCCACGATCAAACAACACAACAGCTGATCAGTGAGGACCTATGAGGGAACATCATCTTACAACCGGAATAATAGTGAGGATCGAAAAGCACCGATAGCAGCGAACCAATGTGCTACAAATAGCGACACGTAAACAATCGACCTCATCGCCTGATGAACACTAGCAGTATTGCAGTCGAAACGTCGCGATCAACATCAAAAGTGGCTCTATCGTGAGACAAACGAATAAAGTTTATCTCCTATCTTAAATCACGATGAACAATAACAACATATTTTATTACAAAATTATATTGTTATCGACAAGGAGAGTGTCCTATAATAAACAAAAATGCTTGGATTTTACCTGCTCCAATGCTTGACAGAGACCTCCATCACCACATAATAAATAGGTTAGGTTTCCTCTCTGAAACAGAATGATTTACTTGAGGTTTACACAGTTTTACCCGATGAAAGAGCGAAAAAAAGAATCCAGCACCCGAAACTAAAGTTTTAAAAAGGCAAAACGTGAAATAGTGCTACTTGACCGTCACCTCTTTCTCAGGCTTGTAGAAATGTTTCACGATGTTGTTAACGGCATCAGCAACACGTTCTTGCACTTCCGGGATACGAATCCCTGAAAAAGGAAAAGAAATGATTTAAAGGTCCAAATAATTGATACCTCCGACCGCTTCCTTAGAATTCAGAATCTAGGGGAGGGAGACGGTACAACCAGGTACTCCTCAAAACAAGCGAAGTTTCTAAAATTGCACAAGTCAAGCTACATATTTGTATGGATAATAAGAAAGATTTCGATTAAACTATCGGATTCTGGATACTGGATGACAGATATTAGTTCGTGCCAACCTAATGGTATTACTGAGCAAACTGAAGCGTGCAAACATTGAGTGGTGGGTAAGTCATCCATTTAAGATAGATGAACTGTTTACAACAAATTAGGTACGTAAGGTGTTAAAGAATGAGCAAAATCATGTCACGATATTGGTTGCGCATTCACACGAAAACTGTGCAGGTTGATAAGAAAGTGATGGAGTATAAAGTACTCGGGGTTTTGTTTCTCCGGTTTCAGGAACAAGGGTGTCCGTCTTTACTTAGCCTCTCTTTCCGGTAAAATCTCTTTGCGCCTTGACAGACAAAATTTACCGCATTCCATAAGCACGCACCCAACTGCAAGATCATTTCGATTAAACTATCGGATTCTGGATACTGGATGACAGATATTAGTTCGTGCCAACCTAATGGTTTTACTGAGCAAACTTTAGCGTGCAAACATTGAGTGGTGGGTAAGTTTTCAGAGAGCAAAAGTTCTATCCACTTTCTTCAAACTTTGAAAGGCGAACCAACCGCCAGTTTTTTTTGAGATGCATTATAAAATATCAACGGTCGTAATTGATCGAAGAAAAAAAATGGGTTAAGGCCCTCCGTGGACCAAGGACGTACAAAAAGTTAAGATCGTGGCAAAAAAGGAACTTTGCGATTTGGACAGAACATAGAAACTTACTTTCGCGGTTTTTCCTTGAGAGTACAGGGGATCTTCTCTGTGGAGACAAGCGACAAACTTCTGCTAGGTTTCCATCTGATAATCAAAAAATAAAAAATTGTGATGGTGAGAAACAATGAGAGTTGTAAGTCCAAAGCAGTATAAACTCTTAACGAACAAATGAGGGCGGGATGAACTCAAAGTGACCGCAGAAAGATAAGTTGGACCGAAAAAAAAAGTTTTCTAATTGAAGCTTAACGTTTGCAGCCCACAGAATCCGGAATTCATCTGTTGGGTAACGTAAAAGACAAACTCTGCAAGGTGCATTATCCTTTGTCAATAAAAGTAACATAAACAAATGAACTGAAACACAACGGCGTATAGAATCTGGAGGCCCCTAGGGACAGGTCACGGTCTTCCAAAATCTAGATGCTTACATAGTTGGCGATTTTGTGTGCGGTTTATGAGAGGTTTGAGACGGAAGTGGTAAAGGTCATAAACGCTCACGGCTTCGCCTCTCGTTGCTTTAAAGCACACAAAAAAATCAAACGCCACGCAAGTTTAAGTCTCGGAAGTTCCAACTTCTGGCTCTTTTGAGATTTTCAAGGTAAACCTGAAAGTGATGCAATGTTACGAGTGCAAGCTGCAGGTGGCATAAGACAACAGGAAGACTTAGAATTTGGACGCAGACTTATTTGAGACAAAGAGAATAGAAAAGAGAAATCCTTCAGGTTTACCACTGTAATCCAACGTATTACAATTCAAAGAGCATTACAGCAAAGATACAAAAAAATTGTTGTGCTCAATATAAACAGAAATTGGTGATATTTTTAGATACTGGTTGTATTTCTCCAAAAATTCCCTTTAGGCCATATTAGATGGGTGTGTCAGGCGATATGTACTTCCGCACACCTCCATGTCCCAAAATAGCACCATTGTTTAGTCAACCATCCAGTTTGCGCCACCCCGTCATTTCTGCTTTTGGAAATTGGTGGTGAAGTGATCAAGCTTTGAGTAAAGACCAGCATTGCTTTGTCTGACGTGGGTCAGACGAGGGGAACGACAAGAAAATCCTGAAGTTGCCATCTGTTTTAATTTCAAATCGTAACTGTCAGAAAGGATTATGCCGCACGAATCCCGTTAAAAAATATATTATTTGTGCCTGAGAGTTCAGAATATACGCTGAATGAAATGCAGTATTTTATCTAGCTATGAAAAAACATAAATCATCAACTTTAAGAATAAAAAACGTAACTTATTTTCTGAGTTCAAGTTTTTTTCAGTTATCACTCTCTCAACCCCAGAAGGGACGAAAAAGAGCCTGGTTTTTGAGAGGTAAATGTATGAGGCTGTTTTAGACATAATGAATAAAACATCATTTCACTTCATTTTCCTACACGTTTACTTCGCCATAAGGTCATATGTTTTGCATTACTGGTGTGTGAATAGCACACCAAATTTCATTTGATTATAGACTTTTTCCTGGTTTAAATTTAATTGCAGAAGCACTTGCCTCTAAGTACAGTTTTTCTCCAACTACTTTCAGGTGATGCAATATCAAATACTGATATTATTAAGTGATGTGGCACACGCATTACATCATCACATAAATATTTATGGTAAGTGTTGGCTAAATACATCACTTGGCGATTATGCTGATTTGCAAAATAACCTCATTTTTTGACGGTGCATTACTGTGCCAAACCGGAAGTCATAACATTGTAATGTTGACTGAACTAATAAAGGTTTTTTTTTTTTTTTCTTTTTTTTAAGGCAGCTTGTCTACTTAAATAATCAGGTATTTGTTTTCAAAAATAACATCACTTCACTCCAAGTGGAAGATTACCGGAGCAATATCGCATCCGTGGATAAGAGGGTCGGCTTGACTCATGTGATTCGAATGTTACAAAACTTTGTTGCATTACTTTATCAAAGTCTAATTGCTCTGTAACGACCAACACGTTTTAAATCAGATTGGGTGTGAGAGAATTCCCCACAACGCTGATCACTGTGTGACAAAAAAGGCATGACCCAGACGAAAATGCGTTACTAGCCTTTTCTGCAATGGCACAACAGACAAGACCAGTCACGCATTCTTTAATCTGTTTAGAAAAATAGAATGATGGTGTAACTGACAATCATCTCTGAAGTTACAAGGAATCCCAGAAAACGTTAAGATTGATGCAAAAGTAGACCGTATAAAGCAGTAGGATTTTTCTCAAAAAGCCACTTTACATCTTTCCGACCTCGTACGATAGCGCAGAGTCTATCATCAAACCTCGCTTTCGGATAAGAGAAGTTTTAATTCACTGCATTGGAATGATTGCTTCGAAATCTTCTCAGATATCACAATCATTCCTAAGCACTTCCTGAAAGAACAGCCCTCTATTCTTCCTAGCCCACACGAAAAAGAAGAATTGATCGAGGGCTATTGCAGATGAATGTTCTTTATCTAGTTAATAAACTGTCAGAGAAAATAGAAATCGAAAGTCCTCCTTTACTCCCAAAAAAAAATTTAAAAGTCGCCTGTAACACTTAATAAACCCAGTAATGTAACCTTAAATTTCAAACATTCTTAAGTTAAAACTCGGCTAAAAAAAAAACAATTCATGTTTAAACACTTCTACGTTCTGAATGCATGATGCTATGGTAATTCAGATTTGAACCTTGCATGTGAACAGGATCGGAAATAAAAGGGAAAAGTAGTAAGAACGACGAAAACTGTACACTCTACACAAAATTTGACCTTGAATAATTTATTTTTTTGGTGAGATCTTTATAATTACAATGTTGTATCACTTAAATTAATCTGTACAAGTAATTTTCATTTTTACAGCTATTTACAAGGCATTCAATTGAAGTGAACACAGATCCTCTACATGACTAAGTATTTTCAAGGAGTTACATGCTTTAGGAAATCTGTAATCTTCATAACTGCAAATACGCTGACTTGTCAAGTAATACCAGACCATATCACGAGCCATGAATAACTTACTTACTTACTCAGCAGCGCGTGACACCGGAAACTGCCACGTGATAAAATTTTATGGCACTATCTTTCTTTATTGGTATAATGTTTTAAGGATGTCGTTTAAAGAATATTTTGTCTTTTTTCCTCATTCTTGATTCATTTCTTCATGTCTATTTACAAATTAGTTCATAGCATTTCAAATAAGTTAAATTCTGAGCACGAGATTCTAAGCAAATTGCGCGCATAACCGTGGAAAGGGCGCACATGACCATGGAAAAGTGGACATTTGCTATGCCCTTAAGGCGTTGCGCAACATTGTAGCAACTCTTTGCAATAATATGTCAAGTTCAACACGAAAATGTCATGTCATGAGCGGAGACGGATATCTAATTTTATGTATTGAGCCTTTAGTCCATATACCAAACCACAAGTTCCTAACTGAAATTCCGTTTCCTCGCATTCAGTCAAATCAGGAAACTACACTTCGCTTCTTCCTTGGTCTCTCGTTCGATATACTTTGACTATTGGCTAATGCAACTTGCGCCAATAAGGCAGTGAAGACACCGCTAACGTTCACGTTGTACTTAGCCGAAGTTTCCGCCAAAATACAGTTTTTTCCGCGAGTGAGCGTAGACGCGATGGCATGACTCACAAGCCGTTTGTCTGTTCCTGAGTTCAGATCGCACTTGTTACCAACAAACACCATGGGTACATCTTCTGTGCCTTTGGCCTCGTAGATTTCTTGCTGCAGTTTCACTGCCTCGTCAAGTGAAGCAGGATCGACAACTGAATACACAATAATGAACGCTTCTCCGTACTGAAGTGTCAGTCTTTTCATGGCAGGAAATTGATAAGAACCCGCCGTATCTAGCACTTGCAAAACTGCACTGACACCTTTTCTCAACTCAATGGGCCTCTCGTACAAATCTTCCACTGTTGGATTGTAGCGATCTGAAAATTCATTCTTGACGAAACGCGTAACAAGCGACGTTTTTCCTACGCCTCCCGCACCGAGGACAACCACGTTGAAAACGTTCCGTGGAAGCGGCAACGTGTCAACCGAATTTTGCCACTTTTCACCTTGCTTCTTGATTTTTGCCTTCATCTTTGTGGGCGTAATTAAACCAAATAAAGAGGCCACGATTGATAAGAACCAAACTCTCTTAGAATTCCCTCTCTTCTGATCACTCTTGTGTTTACTCGGTGATGTCCTTAACTATCTGAGATGAATTTACGCGACCTGTATTTATAGGGTCATCCATTCTAATCTCCGCCTGTCATCTCTGTATTTTTAGCGTGGGTGAGTAATACGAGGACGGGGAAAAACGCTGAATGGCTTTGAAGCGATTTATAACCCCAGAGGGAATTAAAACAGACCGCAAGGATAACATCGTAATCCGAGACACAAAATAATGAGACTCCAGACGATAGATTTACAAATAAATATGAACTTCCCTGCATAGTTTAAAGCCGATGAGAAGGCATCAAAGTAATGTAGGTGCTATTCACACACCAATAATGCAAAACATATGACCTTATGGCGAAGTAAACGTGCAGGAAAATGAAGTGAAATGAGGTTTTTATTCATTATTTCTAAAACAGCCTCAGACATTTACCTCTCAAAAACCAGGCACTTGGCTAGGCTTTTTTCCGCTTTAATGACGTAAATGTGACGTTCGTTCACTACTTAATCGGGCATGTTTATTCAGAATTTCCACCCTTGTGGCCTATCCGCACAAAACACGACTTCGATGAGAAACATCCATTTAAGACAGACGAACTGTTTACAATAAGATAGGTATGTAAGGTGTTAAAGAATGAGCAAAATCATGTAACGATATTGGTTGCGCATTCACGCGAAAACTGTGCAGGTTGATAAGAAACTGATTGAGTATAAAGCAGTCGGGGTTTTGTTTCTCCGGTTTCAGGAACAAGGGTTTCCGTCTTTACTTAGTCTCTTTCTCCGGTAAAATCCCTCCACGCTCGGAGAGACAAAATTTACCGCATTCCATAAGCACGCACCCAACAGCAAGATCAAGCAAGCGCGAGGAAAAAAATGAGAACCAATTCTAATCTTAACCAGGTGTTTTCCCTTGAAAGCGATCAACCTTGGATGTAATGGACTTTTGAACTTTTCTTAATTTTGAAGGTGAGAACAAGAAATCAGTTCATGAAGAACGAAAAACCAATCAAACAAACAACAAAAAAAAAAAAAAAAAAAGAAGAGAAAAGAAAAGAAAAGGAAACCAACGATATAACAAGACCAAAAGGGTAAAAGAAAACAAGAATGATTCATGACGAGAAGATTAAGAGGAGCTACGAATGGCGAACGTAAAATTCCACGAGGATTTTTAAAAAAATGTTTTTTTCATTGTTTTCTTAAATTGTTTTTTTGGGATCAACAAACCGTGACGTGAAGGACTTCATTAACTCGCATCCTACTTCCTTACTCTGCAGCGATAAGCTTGTGACTATTTTTCCTCGCATTATTCGTTTGAAGATGAAAAGATATAAATACGATAACCATGTAGGATATCGAGACTCCTCTTAAAAACGTCAGACTAGAAACTACATTTCATTTTTAAAACCCAGATGGCTTAAACACCATACACTTTCGGGCAAAAGTGACCCACAAGGCTAACTATGATAGTCACCCACTATGAAAACCACTTACCATAAAAAAAAAAAAACCTACAACAACACTGGCCCATCTTATTTGAGGAATGATGATGTAGACTTGAAAAATGACAATTACTCTTAAACAGTGTCCACAACTATGTTATCACACTCAAAACCTGGAATAAATATTCATGACATATTTGGTATGTCCCGCGCAAGTAAACTTGAACTACGTTGAGTTATTCTGGCATTTTTTTGCTAACATTGTTCAGTTTAAAATTTATTGCACAATCTGGTTCTCTTGGTTGTCAAAAGCCAACCACGTAGGATTTCTGAGTCACTGGACAGAAGATCTGAGCCGTTAAAAAGTCGAGTTGCGGGTTCCTGAACTCAAATCTAGTTTATTTTCCGACTCTTTACACGTTTTACATGGACAAGAAATAGCATCACGTATCACTATTCCTTGCACCCTTATTAGAATTGTTTAAAAAATACCATATTTAGACACCGAATTCAGTAAAAATGATAAAAACGTATAATTACAGATGGCTGGCCGGAAGCTTTAACGAACATGTTCAATGTTAAGATATCGACTGAAAAATTGCGCCACAATGGCGATTTCGTTGACAATTTAGCCGCACTAGTATTTCTTTCATTATCAAGATTGCAACCATGAATAAAACCTTTCATTCCATAATTTGATTACGAGACATTCTATTTTTCGGAAGGAATTGCGAGAAGGAACAGAAGGAGACGTTAATGGTAACCTTTACTGACAGATTTTTTCAGAATCAAGTGCATCAAGCTGTTTACGCTGTGTAAAAAACAAGGGGTACACCCCTTTTGAGGCATGTAGCACGATAACGTGACCCGAATGCGACGATTACACTCTAGTTAGCGCCACTGGTCAATCACGAAGTGTTTTCCAAGAGATAGGTGTTTGTATTAGTCTATGAACCCACAAGAAATGGTTGGTGATCTCTCTAGTTAAACTCAATTTCAAAATTATTATTGGCAATGAAGTTGTGCCGTAGTGCATTCACTGTTTCGAAAGACTTCAGACATCACTAAACGAGTATTTCAGTCGTAAGATCCTCAAGTATCACTGGTTAACTGCTCAAGGTGTTGCCAAAATTTACAGAACTTATAATTCACCTGAACGTCGCGATTGCAATGCGTTTCCGGGTTAACAAATATAAACATTTATGCTACAATTTCTCTTCAACCTGGACATCCTCTTAACGCATCACACCAAAAATACTTTCATATCCGTAAGTTGTAAAGATAATCAACGATCAGTAAGGAAGTGTTATATCGATGTTTTAACCTGTTTCTGCCGCATAACGAGAAGGATTTCTTCATTTTTATCCATTGCTCTCTGCATATTTTCCTAAATAATCCACTGGGCAAAATAACAAATGATCTTCACCGAGTGTTTTTACTCTTATCATTTTCAAGAAAGCGATTCTTACCTTTTGCCAAACTTATCAAGTTAGCACATACTTTGAAGATTAAATTTAAGTTACAAAAATTTCAGTTATTGCAGCAGAATTTTCATCACAGTATAAGTGATTTACCTCAGAGAAAACAATCACCCCAATTGACCTCCAATAGATTATTTTCTTCGACTTAGTAACTAAGGCGTTAGGAAATGACATTTTCAACAAGTTTTGAAGATAAAACTCGGTTTCGTTCAGCGAAGAACAACACATTATTGACAAAGATGGACAAGCTCTGGAATGGAATGAAGCGGAAACGTTCAGCGCATGGTATAGATTACGGTAATTTAACAGATCAGCTGCAACAATAATCATATTGGCGCAGATTGGACCCATCCATAAAATCTCATTAAAAAAAATGCAAGATAATCGCGCCTGTCTGACCAGTTATTGTGGTTTATCAAGTACCGCTTGTTTATATCGGCGTATGTAAGATGTTTGGAAAATGTTCATTTTGAGCCCCTCTATTAACAGAGTGTTAGCGATAACAAACAGCACGACAGTCCTAATACGTCAGAGACTGGGTCGAATCGTAAACGAAGGAGATCTCTCAGACTTAGAGCAGTTGCGTAGAAGTTTATGCATGTCGAAAAACTCAGCCTAAAACATGAAGTTTCGGTGAGGACATGTCACAATTATCAAATGGAAAAAATAGTTGGTTAGTCACGACATGTATAGAAATAAATTGCGAAACTATCTTGGAATAATTAAAGGTGTGAAAACAAAGAAAAGAATAAACTTAAGTACATGAACAGTTTCACCGGAATGGAGTCTGTCTGAGCGAAAAAACAAAACTGTATTTGGCGGAAATTTCGGCAAAGTACAACGTGAAGGTTGGCGGTGTCTTTACTGCATTGTTTGCGCAGGTTGCGCTGGCCAATAGTCAAATTGTATCGAACGAAGGTCGAAAGAAGAAACGAAGTGAAAAGAATTCATGATTCACGATGAGATAAAGCGATGCTAAGAAAAAGTGGCAACTTCCGGAGTCATGCGCTTCGAAAGGTAGTTAATCATGGCCGTGTTGTAACTCAGAATATCGGCAGTCATAATTATTACAAATATTTTTATCACATGATGTATTCGTACTCATGACTTCTAAGTTTTGTAAAGCTTTTTATGCCGCGTATGTTCTGTGCTTTGTCAATAGGCTATAGATAGAAAATTACTGATACAGTTTCATTTAAACGATGGGACACCATAGTAACGAGGTGAAAACTTTGGTATTTCATTGGTTTCAGTCGAGCCTTATCGGCCAAAACAAAAAGTGTTCGAAATAATAGGTTTTTGTACCAGGTTGATTAACTTTTATGTGCAATTTCCAGTATGTAAGGGTATAAATAAATATGATCATTTAACAACGAAGGGCGGTCAGTCCAGCGTCCTTCATGACCTCGGGCCGAATATTTCCCTGTCGGACCCTCCCTTATTATATATTGTAACACATACCGCAACAAATCTTACCTTCCTCAGTCCCTTTAGTCTTCATAAGCTCTGCAACAAGAAGCCTCTCAGTACTGCCGTCATCCATGTTCTTGGCAAGCCAACGCCCACACGAAAATCTGCGAAGTACGAACTAAGTTACTGTGGAAACATTCAACAAATTTAACACTAGGACAAATACGGATCCTACAATTCAGAGAAAGTCGTGCTTACCTATAAATATGCGAAGTCACTTCATTCTTGACTATGATTTGTTCAATGAACCAGCCTGGGCTGTAACCTTGGAACATCAAGGAAAATAAATTAGGATTAGGTCATTCCAAAAAAAATTATTTTTGGGAAATTAAATACACACGAATAAGAGGTCAACGAAAATAAATGCAGTCACTGCCAACACTGGAAACAGTCTACAAACAACTCACAATGGTTTGGATTTCACATCTGAGTGGCAACAAAGGTTTTTTGAACCAATCACAGAACGTATCCAAGCAAAACAATCTGACAAAAAAATCGCTCTAAAATCTGTTTTCTCCTCATAGCAGCAAAAGAAAGGCAGCAAACATTACGTGGCTACATGGCTTTCCTTTAGCCTGGTCGAAAAACACTCATCCCTCTGACCCTAACCCTTTCACCCCTAAGAGTGACCAGCATCTAATTTCTCCCTGCTATATCTCCCCTGAATCACACATCAAGGTCACTGAGAATAAAGGAAATGATCATTAACTAAGGAAGTTCTTGATTGTTAGACAAATTCTCCTTGTCAGCACCTTAGGAAATGTATGATGAACAGTATGGAGAATATGCATACTGATATTAGGGTGTAGAAGGTGAACCAAACAAGGAATTGGGATGTAGTGAAAATACCTTTATATGGGTGTTGTTGTGTTCACTAAACTGTGGAGTTATTTCTAACTTCTCCAAGCGAGAGGTGGATATAATGCAAGTTGGAATGTTTAGACGTCAGAAGACTTATGATGCATGAGGTGAATACTGTGCCATTTATCTTACCAGTATTATCGTGTCCTATCCTGAGTGTTGTCAACACCCCCAAGTTAGCATGCTGTTGAGAAAGAATATTGATAGCTTACTGCAAGATACAAGATCTACAGAACATGCCTTTCTTGAACAACGATGGAGATGGCGAGATCAATCTAGTGTTGGGGTAAAAGCGATAAAAATGTAATCGTGTTCATGCGCAAATGTGTTCTGAATGGGAGCGTTATGTCAAGGGCTCAAATGCCTAGAGGGTCGTGCAAGGCTGTATAAACATCAATACAAGCTAATTTTTCGAGCGGTGGCTCAGTTCCAGGATGTAAAAAGCTACAACTACTCTCGTTTGTGCTTGTTAAAAGTGAATCAATGTAAATAATTTACTCCCTGGCATAATCCATGCAATTCTCTGTGAGCAAATTCAAACCCTGAGTCGCAATAGCTGTTTTTTCACCTTGTTTAGTTCCGAAATTGACGCAAAAGTAACTCGCAAGTGAATTCCTTACCTGAAATCTGAACTCGTTCTCATTCTTGGGTATATTCATTACACCTGTATCTGCAATGCTGCCGGCCAGAGTCATCCACGACTGCGCTGTTGTGGTGCTACCACCCAGTTGCTTACCAGTCTTAATCACCACCTTATATGTAATGGCTAAAGAGCAATCATGAAGAAAATCGAACAAAGAGACAAATACACAAATTAAAACAAAACACGTGATTAACCTGTGAGACCTCTGCATTACACTTTCTCGTTTGAGATCCCTGGGAACGTCTAAGGTTGGGATAGAGTTAGGGTTGGCCGTGCGGCCATAGAACAAACCTGAACAGCCTTTAATAGGTTCACAGAACTAAAAAGTAGCTTAACGTTTATGGATTTTAACCGACGATCTTAGTTAAAGCTCTTAAAATACCACTTACATTTTTGTTTGTACTCTACAAGATTTACTATCAGTAAGAGATTTACTATTCGTGAGATTCTGTTTTCGACAGCAGACGTACAACCTTAGTTTATTTGGCAGAAGAAAACTGAATGAAATACCAACCTGTATTTTGAAAACCATTTGTAAAACAAAAGAAGTCAACAGCAGTGAGAGAAAGAAGATGATACAGGAACTGCTCCTTTTCCTCTTCTGTCCGCAAGAAGGCATAATCTTTGTACCTCTCTCTGTTGAAAAGCAAGGATGAGAATAATTAGTGACAGTATTCACTTTCTTAAAAAGCTTTCTCTCAATGTAAAGAGTCTTTTTTCGACATTTTCTCAAAAACACTTAATGATAAGGGACATTTACTTTCTTACCTCAGAAGATTTGTATTTGAAAGCAGTTGCTTCAAGTGCCTAGAGATAACCTTCTTCTCTAAAGCAAGTCTTTGAGGTAAAGAATAAAACAGAAGTATCATAAACATGAAAAGGACAGAAACTTGGTTCTAAATTGCGTGTTTTTGAAGGGAAAGATGAAATGACTGATGCTAACATCCGGGCCATACGTCATGCTCACCTGATCCATGCTCGAGCATGTCCGATGTCAGTTTTGATTTCAGCCATACCCTGCACGTGGCTAGTGGAAACAAAAAAAATTATCATACATTGTACATACCAAAATATGCAAAGCAAAAAATTGTTCCGAACTTGTCTGACTAAGGCGCAAATAACCAAGTACGCTGTAGGGCTGCAGGTAAAAGCTTAGCTATGGCAAAAAGAATAGGAGGGCAATGCGCACTTTTCTTTAGCATTTTTGTGGCAATCTAACAACTTAGTGAAGTGCTGCGTTGAAGGTCAACCAAAACATTCCTGTTTTATCTCTTGCAGTTTAAGACCGCTTGAATAATTGTGGGAAACATTTGCCATATAAGGATGCTTCCCCAAATATTAGAAGCAAATTTCTGGCGTAGATCTCTAAGCAAAGTAACACAACGAACACAACGAGATATCTAAAGAAATTGAACGGATGCTTCTTGTCAAATTTATTCAGCAAAAAGATGAAATGATGGTAAGAACGCAATTTAAGGCTGGTTATCTGGAGCCCTAAGCAAGTCCGTTGAAATACAAGTATTCATTGTGTACAAGATGCACTCAACAACTCGATAATAATCGCTGATGTACAGATAACATACCTCATGTCAGCTAATATTGAGCCAAAAGTGGATTGCTGTTCTGACAGCTGAACAGACTGCAGCATTTTTGCGATGTCAGGTGATGTGCATCTCCTTCTCAACTGACTCTGTTTGTCTGTTTCCTTGTTGGCTAAAATAACAAATCAAAAGAGGAATTTTAACCGATTGTAGAAAACAATCTGTGATTGGTCTCAAAACCTTGCGCCAGCCTCTCCAGGTAAAACTTACACCAATCGTGACTTAGTCATTCGCGTTTTTTCGCATTTCAAGCTGTTTGCTTGAATTTGGTTCATGTTGTCACTACCTACATAAAATACACCTCTTCACACAAGTATCATACCTGCCGAGGGTGAAAGACTATTGGTGTCTTGACTGTCTACTATTTCCTCTTCTAACTCTTCACATTCAAGCTGGAAAGCTAACAAGTGTGACCACACAGCTGATTTACCCTAAAATTAAGGAACAACAGAATTTCCTAAATATTATCAACGTTGGACCCTCTTTCAAAATGGTGGCCAAAATAATGAATGTTATCATAGGTGAAAATATTGTACATTGCTACATGTAGATGGTCCATGTGGTTCACACAGAAAATTTCAACTCAATGCAACTCTCCTTGTTATAGAAATGAAAACCTATAGATGTCCGTAGTATACACCCTCTACCAGGCCCTCTCCTCTTTTCAAAGTCTCCCTTTTCTCTAATAACCTCCATCCTTGGTTTTTAGCTTGGGAACTACAATTTAATCCACACGTTTTTAATAAACTTCCACCTCCCCCCCTCTCTAATGAACCTTTCTCTCTGATTGATCCAATTCTACTAAGCCCCTGTCTGGGAGCCTTGCAAATCAAGAGCTTGTTAGAGAAATAATAGTATTTAGTGGAGTTTAGGATGATTGGAGTAGAGGTAAAACAAATAGTTAATTAAAATAGGTTATAATTAATGAAAACCACTTAGAGTATGTTTATTTTCTGGTAGAAAGATCGATGATATTTATGAAGGAAATCCCTGAAGGTTTTAAAATGAGTATATTTTCTTTGTATTGTTAACTAAAGCTACCAAGCCCAAATGAATGAGAGAGGGGAGGGGAGGTGGAGTTGAAGCTTTAGACAAGTGGTTCAAAAGAGGGGGGTCCCAATAAAGCAATGGGGATGGAGGAATACAAGTATTTATATTGAATGCAAGCAGTGGTAGCTTAAAGGCAATGTCTAGACTGTACCTCTCTTGTTTGCAGACCATGGCTCCAAATCCTTTCCACTAGATCACACAAACTGGCTATTAATGTATTCTCTTCCACTCCAGACACATTTGCATCAGAGTGTCCAAGATCCACTGCTTCTTGTCCCATCTTCTGCACCAAAATTTTTTTTGTCTGAAAATAGTAATAGGGCTTTGCAGGTAAGAGGAAACGTTACTTATTATAAAGGCAGACAAGAGCAACTATCAAGGATTCGTGTTTTCAAAACCTCAAGTGCAGGTGTGAAAGGAGCAACACCCCCAAATCATTCAGTGGACTTTCCAAACATGCAATGACTGTATAAAAAAAATTTCTCACAATGATAATACTACTGCTACTAATAAAAGTAATAATAATAATAATAATAATAATAATAATAATAATAATAATAACAGTAATTGTATGAAAAAATGATGATGATAAGAGTAGTAAAGATCAAAACAATTATTATAGTGATAACAAAATAATTTGTCATATTATATACTTGGTCACTCTGATGTGGATAGCAATGTCAGGACTAAAATCTGGAGGTCTTTTTCAAGTTATGAGCTACATTTGTCAGATAAGATGCTTCGTAAATAATCAGACAACCTTGCTTGAAGAAGGCAGAGAGTATGCAGTTGAAATGATTTGATCCATGTTGGAAGTGACTGCATCATAAAACAATTACACTTATTACTATGTGTCACGAGAATATACACACATAACTCCTCTTTTTCATAGCTAAGGGTTGCTCACCAATTAATGGTCTCAATACACATTTGCAGTACTGATACTTTTTACCACAAAAGTACAGAATTGTATTGTAAATTCTCACTTTTTCCAATCCCAAATTCATGCACCGAGGCAAATTGCTCCAACCAAAATTCCAAAATGGTGAGAGTACAGTTAACAATAACAAAGTAGTAAAACCTTTTCTTGTTTATGAATTAAGGTGAACCTTTACCTTCTGCTTGCATTCCTTTAGCAGTTTCTGAATAAAGCCAGTTTGAGTTGACTCCAAAGCCATGTCTCCAAATTGAGTATTTTTAGCTTTAGCCTCCTGCATATATTTCTTACAAGAAAAACACACTTTGATTAAAATTTTAAAAAAGTATCCACCAAAATTTCTTTAAAGGGTAATCCAAAAGTAATTCTCAAGGGCACACCAATTATAAAAAAAAGATTAAACTATTTGATTTAGAAGAGGAAAATGTACATAAAAAAGATTTCAGGAGTTTATATTATAACAGCGCTTGATAAAAAGGGTCAACACAACATTAAGCAAAAATTCTCCCCAATATAGACATAAAATAGATGAAGTTTAGGGAATAAGTTAACACAAAATCAAAGATTCACCTTTGAGGATTTATATAATATCTTCCAAATTAACGTCTTTTAAAGTAGTGAGTCTAATTAACGATTTCTATGCATATAGGAAACACATTACAGATTTTGTAACATCAGATAGATGTCAGATTAGATTTATGTATCATTATTCTGCTTCTCACAGCTGTAAAATTATTTGTCACCACTTTATTTGGGAGTTCGATGCAAATAAAAAAAAAATGTTTTTAAAGAAGTGTAGCTTCATCATTCATTCAAGCTAACAAAGCACACACAGAAAATGTCTGGTAAGTTAAGATACCTTTATGCTTGTTGCCAGTTTGTCTCTCATCTTCTTTCCATCCTAAAATTACAAATAACTGACTTTGTGATGAAATTCCAGGTGACATGAATCACGTACATGACTTGTACGTAACTCTATCAAGTGAACACAGTTTTGCTCACACTATATGGTTTAACAGTAACCAAAATGTGCTTTCACTTTAGAAATATTCCTCAGACAAGACATGTATGAGTTGGTGAATAACATCCAATATCAGGTCAACATCAATGACCTTATGACATGATATTGTGCATTCTTATATTGAGTGTCACCACACCTCTTATCAAAACAAGACAGTAATATTATTAGTATTTCTTGTCACGTCATCCATATGAAATGAAATACATTCAAAAGCATATAATAATCTAATCTGTAAATGTAGATAACACTAAAAACCAGCTACAGAAACCCTACTTGTGATAAAAAGCACATCAGTTATAAATGTTTGTAAATACAGTTCATCCCAGTATTGAACATTGTGTTACTGTGTAGCTTCATTTTTTAAATGTTTAAAATATTTCACCGTTTAGTTTGTCACACAACTCATAAAGCATGTCAGGTAACAAACAAGAAAACTGCAGCAGAATAACACTCCACCAAATTTTGCACATTTTTCAGCTGAACCTATGTTTGGGTTTCACTGAAGTCCAAGAAACCAATCAACCAGAATATGTCTTCATGTATCTTTACTAAATTGAATATAATTACAGATTTTCTTGGAATCATCATTCTCTTAGAAAAAAAACAAACAGTGTAAACTATATACATGTAGCATGATAATGAAAAGCACAAGAAATACATGCATCTTTGACAGACATGCAGGTTTGTGGTACTTTGCAAATTTCAAACCATAAAATTTGTGTAAGTGATAAAAAACAAAAATAATTGTCCTCTAGAATGCAGTTTTGAAAGACAAATGTGTTATACCTGGGTGGTATTGAGAAAAATGTGTTCAGATTGCTGCTGTTGCCGACTCTTTTTTCTCCATTTCACTTTGGACTGATGACCACTACAAAAAATAAAAGTTTTCACAAAGCACATATAAATAATTATAAACTATTATCATAGTTGTCATTTTCAAAATTACAAAAAAGTGAAAACAGAGCAGACAGTATGTGAAAGAGATAATCCATCCAAGAAAATTACAATTTCCTATTGGAAAATCTTCACATTTCACTTAGAGTAAACTCTCTCCATTCCTATTTGCCTTTACTAACTGTACTTACTAATTGTAGAAATGTCACAATACATGTGATACTGAACAATACTGTAATCTTTGCAAACTTCTTAACCTTCATGTACTCTAAAAAATAATGGGAAAACTTTTTACATGTACCTCTTGGAGTTGGGCCCATCACATAGAACCGCTGAACTCAAGTTCATGAAGTACCCACTGCTGCTGACTACAAGGTGTACACACAAAGAATAAATTAAAAAGTTAATCAAAAAGGACCAGATAATTAATGATGTCACTAAAACATCCTATGAAAACAAATGAATGTTCTATCACACATAGTCTGAATGATAAATACTGAATATTAGTATATACAACACAAGTGAATAGTGCTTTTTGCATGTGTTGATTGGCCTGTGTGGAAGTGAATAGCAAGTACTATTCACCTCTGAGTAGCCAATGAGACAAAGTGGCGAGATAACTATCCATCACTATTCACCTTCACTTGGCAAAGAATTGTTAATTATTTAAGACTGCATGCCTATTGAGACAGATGTAAAATTTCAAATTTAATTTATTGTTACCAGCAGCCATATTTTTTTTCTTTTCCTATAATATAAATTGAATGAATAGGAATTAATAAGATCAGACCTTTCTTTTCTGAAATATTTAGATTATGGGGTTGTGTTGCCATGTGATCTACAGAGTTGGAACGGCGCAAGAGAACTTGAACTAAAATACAAATAAAGAAAATAAAATTATTGCATGAGTAGTTATTAAATGATGAGAGATGCCTTATACTTAAAGTTACAATGTATCCAGCCCATATTGCCTTCTTTCAAGCTAAAAGCTCCTTTGAATACTGAAGGTGTGATATGGCACAAAATGCCAATAACAATAATTGCACCTGTGTATGTTTACTTAAGAATAACCAAAATTTCACCATTAACTTTAAAATAAGAGACTACTAGGAGACTATGTTTAGACATCTGAAAGATCAGAGTTAAATTTTTAGCTCATTTGCAAATCTTTTCTCCAAAATAACAATGCATGAGTTTTGTTATGAAATGTAGTTACAGTCATACAATGTCCAATGACATGAAGGTAAAGATCATGTTCTATGCCTGATAGAGTAGCTGAATATAAGGTACATTGTAAGAGTGCTTTGTTATTCCACAATTCTTTTCTACTGAATAATTGTTTTCGTGTTTCTCTTGATTTCTTTTCTTGTGCAACAATAAGCAACCCCCAAAGGAGAACTTCATGGTGGTGAAAAATGTTACTCTGACTAAGAATTTCATTTTAATCACTCGCCTGCATTTCTAAAGGTCATGCATTTTTCATAAGAAGGTGATCTGGTGATTCCAAGTCTTGTCTTCAAATTCTCCACACGCTGATCAAACACAGCCAATCTAGGGTCTGGATCTTCCCAAGTTCCCATTATTTTCATGTCAATGAAGCTTGCAAACATCTGTGTCTCGGTAAATGTTGAAAGAAATGGAAGAAATTGTTGAGGCTGGTCAGAAAGGAAGGAAGCCTTGTCAAAGTTTTGCATTTGTTCCCTATTTGAGGTCCAATCTTCTAAGTCTTGCTTAGGCTGAATAACAAATGACTCATACTCAAGAAGAAGCTGTGTGAATCGATTGGCAAATATCTCCCTAATGGCAGTATTGAATTCATTTTTGTGTTGTTGACTTCTTGAAATTTCTTTTGCCTCTTCTCCTAAAATAAACTCATTTTCTGAGCCAGCAAATTGCTGTAGCTGGGTATCAGAAACAGATTTTTCTAAGTTTGAAGCAACTGTTGAAATTGGTGCTATTATACCAGTCCTCTCAGCAATTGCTGCAATTGCCTGCAATCTGGGATTTTTTGTAATATCCAAACTGGTAGAAGATTTAGACTTGGGTACTTTAGATTCAACTTTTCCACGAGCCTTCATTCTGTGAGACCTCTTTGGTGAGTCCTTATGTTTGATTTTCTTGGCTTCTAGAACAGGTGACCCAGAGCGGGGTGACCCTGAGTGTGGTGACCCTGAGAGTGGTGATCCTGTGTGTGGTGACCCAGGGATAGGTGACTTGGAACGAGGTGATCCTTGTGGAGAGTCACAATTGCTCCCAGTTTCATAATCAGAACTGCCATTTGCGGTTTGTGTGAAACTATTTTCTGGTGGAATTTCTAATGAGTTTTCCAAACTATTCATTCCACTTCCTGGTTGACTTAGACTTTCCTGGGGTAAACACACATTAAATCGCTTTAAAGTATCTGTCAGCTCTTCAATCAGCTCCTGCTCATCTGGAAACACAGGAAGATCTTCTGGCATTGATACAGTACAGTTGTCTATGTCAACTAAGCAGAGGGAAGCCTGGGAAAAAATAATTAAACACAGAAAGTAAATACATGTACAGTAAATGGTTTGTAGTACTCAAATTCTACAATGTATTTTGATCAACACAAAACTTCATAAAACATCTCAGTCAAAAGGCGAATTCCACCACTGATAAAATAAATAAAAGAAATACAAAATGCACCTCAGACGGAAGACACAGGTTATTTTTATCCTCTTCAGAAGCACAATAAATTCCCATAAGGAAAGGTACTGGTGCATCTAAAAAATGTGACAGAGCCGCTGGTAGAATTGGAACATACACATGTTGCCAAACAAAAGGAAAAAGAATTGCTGTCACACTCTCAGCCACCAACATAAACTTGTGGAAATCTGTTGAACAAATGATAACATTTTTAAGGTATATATTTATACTAACTGTAAACAGTGCTTCATAGGATGTACAGTACTTTTTAGTCACTATGTTCTCTTAAAACATGGTAAATTATGACATCAAAAACATACAATAAAGGTTATAAATAACTTTATTTTAAATATTGAATAGATCTGCCAACAATCCTCCTGATAAAACTCTAGACCTTATAGATAATAATCTTATCCCAATGGCAAAAAAGATAGCTATGGAAAAATTTCTTACCAGTACATAATTATATGATTGTTTAATCATAGCAGAAATAATCATTTCAGAGATTGAAGCTTGGCAATGACCATAAAACATTTTACCCACATCTTACATTTGTATGCCTTACACATCATCTCACATACATTGTGCTTTTGCAATAGCAATTAGTATCATCCACTGATATTATTATAATTAATTGAGCCTTGCTTCAAATATGGTTTTACGAAATCAATTCATAACATGAGCTTTCTAATTTAGGTTATCATAAGACAAGCTTAATAGTAACATAATTTCCAAAAACTGTTAGGTCATCTTACTTACCATTTGATAATAACAAAATTTGTTGTTCCAACAGGGTACAAGTAAACAGCTTCACAATGTTCTCAATACCAAGCAAAGTAAAAAGCTTCTTGAATGAATAATCAAACAGAGGGAGCTCATTTACACCTGGTCTTTGACAGGTGATGCTTGAGTCACAGCAATTGAACCTCATTGTTTTTCCAGGAGGTGGAAGAGGCACCTCAAACAGGAGATTATAAATGTATGATTCCAAAGGAAGTTGTAAATTTTCTTCATTCTGCACTGCCCTCAAAATCTGCTCCAGGAAACCCTTTCCAGCAGAGATAAATGGGAATGGCATTATAATAGAGATTGATTTTGAAACTAGAAGAGTATCTTCTCTAACACTAAATGATTTTCTATTCGAAATATTGAGCATGTCAGAGCTGGTGTTTAAATATTCACTGCGATTATCTGTTTCCAATGGTGCAACACTATTATTTGTGACAAAGACTGGAGATTTTGAACGAGACCGTGATTCTGCAATGGCTAGCTCTGCATCATGCATTGCCTGTAGTGTGTCCATTGCTTTGCAGATCTGAGCATCTTTGACAATTTCATAGAATGTAAGAGCACAGCCATAAACCCTGGAGCCATCTTCACGAGTAATCAGAAAAGAGTGAAAATGTTGTTCATGATATTCAGATTCCTTCTTGAAAGTTAGTCCTTGAGGCAGGCAAAGCTGAAAAAAAAAAATAAAAAGGAAATAAATGCAGGATGGATTGACACAATTAGAGAACATCCACAGTATAAGGTCTAGTTTAACCCTCTAGTAAATGGCCTGTTCCAAGGCATTCAGCACAATTATAATAAATAGTGTTAATAAATGGCTGTGAATATATGCAAGTCATATATTTGAACTGCGGATAAAGATGTGAATATGAAAGCGATCTTCACAGTAATGAACACTACTTAAGCAGTAGTGAAAAGAAGGCCTGAAAAAAATTCAGGCTTGTACGGGATTTGAAACCATGACATCTGCGATACAGGTGCAGTGTTCTACCAACTGAGCTAACAAGCCAACTGGGAGCTGGTCACTGTGTTGGTTCCAAAATAAACCCGTGAAGTGGTGAAAAAACAGCTGTAAATATATGCAAGTCACGTATTTGAACTGCAGATAAAGACGTGAAAATTCACTACTTTTCACTACTGCTTAAGTAGTGTTCATTACTGCAAAGATCACTTTCATATTCACATCTTTATCCACTGTTATGACTGTTTATGACTTGCATATATTCACAGTCATTTATTCACCACTTCACAGGTTTATTCTGGAACCAACACAGTGACCAGCTCCCAGTTGGCTTGCTAGCTCAGTTGGTAGAGCACTGCATATAAATTTCATATTTGAAAAATCTGACATGATGAAGATGGGATACAAGTGTAAAAGTTTTTGTGCATCATCAAAAAACACAGGTGATCAAATATCTTCAAATAAATTATCAGTGAGAGTAATTTTGGGAGGAGGCTTACCATACGAACAGCATCTTCATCAAAAGGATTCCATTCAACATTTGAAGGAAAGTGCATCAAAACCTTGGCTTTGTAAGAGCGCTCCAAAGGAGATATATGCAATGAGTCACCTGCAATGGACAAATCATTATCATTGTCAAAAACAAAACAACGACTTCTTGAAAATTATACAGGCGAATTCAACTCTATAGTCAACCCTCTGCTAACAGACACTCTTGTATGCAGATGGTTCTACTTACAGACACATGGATTTGTTTATTGTTCATGCTTTCTTGTAAGCCAACACCCCATACATAATAATTGACTCTTGGCAATAAACTTTATCTTGAATTTGTCTTGATTTTTGACAGACCAACAGAACAGTGGCGATTGGTTTTATAAAATCTCCATTTGCCCATGGGAAAGTAAGCTGCCCATTTGTTTAACATAAACAAGAGTCTGACATGACACTCTCTTGTGAGTCAACAGACACTTTTCCCATTACCATAGGTGTCTGCTTATGAGAGAGTTGACTGTACAAATATAGGGCATGCTACATGTTCAATACAACCGTATCTTAGAAAACATCCTACACCTATACAATATTTAACTATCTATAGCTGTATATTCTTGGACTCCATTATTGGAAACCTGCTTAGCACTTATCCCTGGTTCACTACAACTAATTTAGACTGTAAGTAACAGTGACATGACATTTGTGTCAGTTGAGGCTAAAAATATTTTCAGGTTAAATTGAGTTCAGTTATCAAGGCAGTTTAATTCAAACAAATCATGGTACATGGCTTTGTTGTTTGACACCAGTTTGACCTAAAAATTTGGTTTAAACTACAAAATATAATTTATGGTTTAAATTTCTTCATTTTTTTTTTGGTCTCAATTTTTAAAACCAGTTTGATTCTTATTTTCTATTTTCATCCATTTTCATAACCTGAAACTAGGGAAACTAACAATGCAAATGGTTTGAACAAATTTGAATCAAGAAATTATCCAAATCACAACATATCATGGTAACAAAACAACTCTGAATTGATTCTTTTTTGGCTCTAAACAATTCAAGCCTAGGTAGTGAGACACTGTAAATCCTTTTTCAGCTAATATGTCTTTTAAGGGTGAAACATTGTGCACTTAAACCAATTGGTTGTCACCAAGAGAAACAAAGACAGACTGAAATACCTTCCCTTACAAGTATAAAATTATGACCAATTAATGGCAACTCATCACTGAAACGCAAAGGCTGGACGATTTTAGGGTTAGAAGTTCACAAACTCAAATGTTACATTCTCGAAAAGCCATCAAAAATTAAATACAATGCATTTCTACTGGTTTGCAATGTCTTTAATTTATCAGCTTTACTCTGCTAGATTAATACTGCAGAAATATAAGGAAACGAAATCAATGTAAATATAGAAAAAATGTACAATAGAGTATGACTGTGCATATTAGAATCATAAATCAAACCACATATGCTAATTAAGCTTAAATAGTTTTGTTCTAATTGCAAGCAATATACATATAAGCCTAATGTACAAAAAAAAAAACAAAAAAAGAAAAAAAAAAACAAGCAAACAAACCAAAAAATAATAAAATTTTTTTTTTGCAGATGAATCAAAATGAATACTTTAGAAATTTCTCCTTTTCAAATAACATCAAATGAAAAGCCACTGAAGCAATACAAGAACACTCGTAGGAAAGATGCTGAAGCCAATATATGCACATTATGTTAATGTCACCGGTTTGGAAGAAGTGATATCTCATATGTCTAAGACAAATTCAAGGATTATAAAATGAATTCTAGACATATGATATCTCTGTTTGTCAGCTGCTGAGGAAACCAAGCAGTTCAACTACTATATGCGGCCAAACTAAAGTACAGCTACAGTAAATGGATTCATGAAAAATCTAAACAGATGTAATGAATCCACAAGAACCTACACGGTAGTTGTGTATCATCTGCGATTGTGACAGAAAATTTGTTTTCAAGTGGAAATTATCCATAGGAACTAAAGAACAGCCGTGAACCTAGCCATATCTTATTTCTGTGGTACATAATATAACTTCGAAAATAAATTTACCTAAGTTATTATGAAGTAAATTTTATAAACTGTACTTCTCATTTTAAGTATAAATTTAACAGATATAGGCACCTGTGATTTTACTTTTTGACTACCGTCGCTGCTTGACGTTGGGACAAAAATATATTCAAAAATAAATATGAGCTGACATACTAAGATCTAGGATATATAATTATAACATTCTAGAATAAAACTACTACTGCGTATCTCTTAACATTACAGTTTCTAACCGTGGAGGCGTCATGAACGTTTCCGAATGTTAAATGGTCACTAATCAATAGTACTGGCACAAATCAAACGAAACGACATGTCAAAAAAACAAATCACATCTGCCTCACGGGTCTGTGACGAATCGTTAGTATGAGCACATCGAGAACAGCGAAGTAAACTGTGTATAAATTTCTCACAAACCTGACAATTGATCAGCTTCTAGTCCAGTTACAAGATCTAATCCGCTGACTACAAAGTAGTCGGTAAATCTTCGGCCACAACCGGAGGAAGACATGTCTTACACATCAGGAAAAATACCCTCACCTTGGGAAACCAGCCATTTTTTGATGATTACTACCAAAGTGAGTAATCCCCAGATCCCTCTGCGGAAAGGAAGCCTTATTACACGTACACGATGTCTAAGGTGAACATTGCCTTGTGGGAAACAGCAGTACACGCGCTTGACACTAAGAAGTGAATCGATAACTCTGTTCGCCAGCGCCGGAAAATGGTATGTTTTGAATGTAAGAGAAATGTATTTACCACGTGAAAGATGCAGAATTTCCTAAGGTAACTCCTCTTTGCTCTTTTCAGGCGTCTGGAGGATACCCTTCTTCCTCAGGAAGTGGACAAGGTTACTCTGGAAACCCACCGCCTGTAATGATGCCCGGTGGTTATCCGGTAAGCTAAGAACGATCAGTTTGACAACAGTTATGAACGTGTAATTTTTATTAAAAAAGTGTTTTCGGATAATTTTAGTTGATTAATACGACAAGGAAATCTGCAATTTGAGCAGTTTCTATGTACTTTGAAGATAGGGAGGTGCAATCAAACTCCAGAAATAGGAGTGAATTTGCAAGACGGAATTGATGAAGAGTGGAAAAAACAGATCACTTGGGATGAAGGGCTGTAATGTGAAATCCAAGGGAGGATCTCTTGTGCATCAAAGAATTCTCTGTCTTTTCTCCTTTTCACCCCATGCCCTTGTGTGTCTACCCTTTCACTCATACTACAATATCATTACTTCAGCCATAAGTTCAGAATTAATGTAAGGTTGATGGTTGTTTTCAATCTGATGGAAAACCTGATTGTTTACCCTAAGGAATTCATTGGCTAATTTATTTAACTCAACTATCTTATATAAACTTTAGTGGCTGAATTCATCATTAATGGAACACCTCTGGGGAAAAAAATAATCCTGGGGTTTTTCCAATAAATACAAGTCATGTAATTCACTGCTGCCTACCTTTAATTTCATCCAATAAAAAATAATTTTAAAAATTTTCAATTGCTATTGTTTTTCGAGACAGGAGACTGAGAGGTTTAAATTATATTGATTTAATATGCCAAACTGAAGGATCCTGTCACAAAATAACAACAAATGAATGCTATTTATTCTATTCCTTGCAATGATTATGAGAACAAATACATCAGACAGACCAACCATCAGTTTGGTACATGTTTGAAAGAGCATCAAAAAGCAGTTTTCTTTTGCAAGAAAGAAAATTCAGCTTTACTGGAGCACACTTGCTCAACTAACTATACAATTGGGTGGGATAAGTCTAAAATTATCACCACTAATTGGCATTACCACTAGTACCTTTGTCTGGAAGCTTGGCATATTAACTCCACCCACGCTCCTTTAAATTGTGATGATGGCAGCTTGCTTCCTGATGCCTATTTAACCTCATTAGGAAAAAGGCAGCTAAATAGTGATTGTGTAAAAGGACCTCTTGTTGTAGTGTTTAGATCACCCCTGATGAAGGCACTAGACAGGAGTGTCAAAATGTTGGATCTATGAATTGTAACTTCTTTGGTTACATTCATTAAATCTGTAAACCAGAGTAGCATCAAACCATGTCTGACTGAGGGGTTTGTTTCCAATTGCAAGCCAAAGGAAACTCTGCAAACAAAGATCATACTTAAAGCAGCTGTGAGTCTGAAAGTGATGCATGAATCACAAACAATAGAATCAGTCTTGGCTAGGTGAAGGGTTGGATTGGGAAAGGGTTGGATCTTAGGAAGGATTGGGAAAGGGTTGGATTGGGAAAGGGTTGGATCTTAGCAAGAAAATTTAAGAACAAGTGCTTATTGAAAGTTGATACACAGGATACTATCTTGTATTGTCTTTGTAGACTCCTGTTGAAAGTGTTCAGTATTATGCAATTTTGGGTGGTTGCCATTATTAAAAGTCTTTCTGTGACTTTTTGGAAGCTTTCAAGCAAACTCCAGCAGTAAGACCTAAAACATCTTGAGATGTTTTAGAGTTCTTTCAGTCAACTTTTACCTTTAGAAGAAGGTTTTGGTAAAAAAAATCGATAATGTCTTATCATATACCACATTTCCAGCAAAAAAAAAAAAAATGAGCACAAATCATTCCTTTGCATCACCTCTATATCTGTAGGTGATGCAGTACATTTTTACAGCAATGTGTATGTAGAGACGTGAACTCAATGCATTGTATTTGTTTAACAGGTAGCAGGAATACCAATGATGCCACCTGGATATGGTCCCCCCGGAATGCCTCCTTTCCAGCCTGTTGCCATGCCAACTGGTCAGCCAATGGCTTATCCCCCAGGTGGCATGCCTGGAATGCCTTATCCTCAACAACTTCCCCAGCAGACTATGGGACAGCAAGTGACTGGAACATTTCAGCCAATACCAAGTAGTGGTTCACCAGTAGTGATGAGTAAGAATACTATTAGCTTTTTAACAACTTTTTGTTGAGTCCTCTACAAATTGTTTAAAAAATTGTGTCAGATCTTCTTGTGTGTTGCTATTATAGCAATAGTGTATGTAAATTTAAACCAGTGAATCAGTTAGTTAACTTTTGAGTGAGCTATTTTTTTTTTTTTTTTAAGAAATTTCCTGGTGCTTGTACCATGTTCTCAAATCTGTTGAATTCCAACCTCAACAACCAGCCAAGCTGTCCTACAGTTTTTGTCTAAAGTTTTCTATATGAATGAAAATAATTTATTAGAATTATAATCTGAGGCAGAGTTGTTGAGGTGTTTTGCATCATGACTTACACAATCCAGAGACACAAGTATTTTAAAGGGTCAATCAGTGTTTTTTTCCAGCCTCTCAGTGTGCATGGTTTCAAATTTGTTTGTTTGTCTGCGATTTTCTTAGTGCCTGCTGTTGTGAGACCTATGCAAGTGGCAGCTGAGTCTGGGGGCACCAGCTCCCCTTCAGTAGTCAAACAAATCCAAGAACAAGAAAATAAACCTGCCGACAGCCCAACACAAACCAACAAATCTGAGCAACAACAGAATGAGAAGGAAGAGGTCAAGAAAGAGAAGAAGAAAGTCAAGAAACCAAAACCTCCAAAGGTACAACTGAAAAAATATTATGTGCAAGGCGTGAAATTGCGCAGGCACCAATGTGACTAAATTTTTCACTTTGACGACCAAATCCTAAAAGTTAGTCGTCAAATTGGCGACTAGTATGTTTCATCATAACCTTACCAAGAGATATAGTGAATTAAAAAGATTTGCATAGATAAATCCGTGGCAAACTTCCTTGTTAAGTTTGTTGCCAAAACGTAGCACATGCATCTTGATCAATAACTAGACGCCATCTTGGATTTAGATGAGCTTTAACATTGCATATCATCCATCCTAGTGTCCACTTTGTCGCACATTAAAGATCTTTTCCCTAACTTAATTTTGGAGGGTCTATCTAGAACGCTGACAGCATAAAGAAAGATTTTGTTTGTCTTTGAAAATGGCGACCAAATTTTTTTGAATTGGCTACTACTTTGAAGAATTAAGGAGCCAAGTGGCTATCAGAAAAAAAAAATTAATTTCACGCCCTGATGTGTAGGTTGATTATTTCTACAGCCAGGTTACATTTTAGGATGATGGCCACTGTCCCTAGCAAAAGTTATTATAAGGTTAATAATTCTATGTAAACTAGAAAGTTACAATTTGTGACCTCTCAGGGAGAAAGGTATACTAATGGCTTTCTGTTAAATGGGTGAAACGCATGGCTACTGAACAGGTAACAAACGAGTAACTTGCCCATTTGAACAGATGCTATCAAACAGCTGAATGGGTTATCAAGTACTGCGAAACAGCTTGTGTAAATTTTCAAACAGGTTATCCAAATGACTGAACAGCTTGTCAACATTTCAACGTTTTCAAACAGGTAACCCAAGTGACTGAGTAGCTTGTGAAAATTATCAAATGGGTCACACAAATGACTGAACAGCTTGTGAAAATTTTCGAATGGGTTAACATAAACAGATGAACAGGTTTATGATTAATTTTGAACAGCTCATGAAAAACAATTGTCATAAAGGCTGAAGGGTAGGTTATCACTCTGAACAAATGGACAGATCTGGTCTGATCCAGGTTTTGTTGGAACCTCATGTTTAAAGAATGTTCGAATGGATGGTCAACTGTTCTGATGTAACAAAAATATTGACTTCCCACAGTTACTATAAAATTGCCTGATGAAGTATTCAAATTTGGTAACTGAGACTTAGTTCTGCATCTTCTATTAAAAGCAAAACTTGAACAACCCTTGAAGGTCAAGTTGTCATTATTTATTTTTGTTGTGTCAAGTGTTTATTGCCACTTTATTACACAAAAGCACGACTGCAACTTTTTTCTAGCAGCTTTGCATGTTGCCAAATTGTTCCCTTTATCTTTTCTTCTGACAGTGAATTCGATGCCGTAAACATCTGGGCATGATTCCATTTCTGGTTTTAATATAGTACAATCTTGTGATATTTGCATAAAGTAGACATGTGTGACAGGTAATGCAACACTATCCAATCCATTGTTTCTAAGCGGTCCTATTGACTAACAAAAGAGTTGATGGCAAAAAAGATTTTGTAATATTAACACACAAACAGCTAAAGTCTAGGTGTTTGACTGGCTTCTTTTGAAATGCATTGTTAACATACTTGTGTCTTTGGCATAGATTCTTTGTCTAATAATGAATATTATCGCATCAACGGTGAAAAAGTGTTTTCCTTTTACACTCGACTCAAGCTCTAATAAGCCGAATACTGTATAGGGAGAATGCTGGGTATACAGAAAGCTAAAGTGTTTATCGTGTGGGGTTGTCTGAGAAAGATCAGGAAAAAAATCTGTGATTGCCTGTGTACACACAGTGTCGAAATTTGAGCATGATGTTAGATACTCATTTCTTTCATTTCGAAATTTGAGCTAATGAAGTTGGACAAATCTTCTAAATATTAGAACAGATGACTGATGCTGCTTGAATGGAGTTATCTTCAATGAATGAACCTTTGAACCTTCCAAATGGATGATACAAGTTGTTTGACAGAAAATAGTCCAAGTCGTTCAAATGGGCTGATGTTTTTCATCACATGGATGACCAATCCATTTGAACGGGCTGATGTTTTTGATGAATGGATGACCAAAGCCATTCAAACGGATGCAAATTTTTCTGAACAGCTGACAAACAGGTTGTAAATGGAAAGCTGTGTGAAAACAGAAAGCGACTGGTGTACGTTTTGCCATGAGAGGTCTCATTTTTTTAAGCACTTCTTTTTCAAATAAATGCATATTTCATGTTAGAAGTGTCTTCTTCAGCAGTTCAGTTGTCAGTTTTATTCTGATCTTATTAAACTTTTATGTGGATTGAAATGCACCTTGTAGGTCCCACCTGGGGTGAGACATATGTTGATGTGTTGTGACTAGATAATGAGTGCTAAAGATGAAGAAACTATCTCAAGCCTCCTTTAAACCCAGCAATATGTTTTAGCCTCTGGTAGTACAGGTGTTTTATTTTAAGCACCTTTTACATAACACAAGCAATGAAAGTTTAGTGCTACTACATGTAAGCTGGAGTGGTGTGTTGATGAGGGCACTTCCTTCCTACTGTGGCTTGGGCTTGACTCCTGGACCTGGTGTCATTTGTGGATTGAGTTTGTTTTTGGTTCTTGTCCTTGCTCTAAGAGTTGATCTACAAGTCCTCTGGGTTTCCAGCCTCCACATAATGAATATTCTAAATTCCAATTTGTCTGGGAAACTGTAGACAAGAAAAGCCACTTTTGTGGAATATCTGCAGCTAACTTCCTAGTATCTCATAATAAAACAGTAAATTGTTATTTTAGAGATGTTCTTTCAATACTGTAAATTTGAAATTGTAAGTTCTCTTGATATTTGCTATGACTTGTACGTAGTTCTGAGTGTTGTGTATGTGATTACATTTCAGTGTGTTTGCTTTCTGAAGTGAAGTAACCTCTTGTAATCTTACAATTTGCAGAAAAAGACCCCATGGACAGAACACAAGGCTCCTGATGGAAGAACATACTTCTACAATACAGACACCAAAGTGTCCACATGGCAAAAGCCAGCAGAACTCAAGACTCCAGGAGAGGTACATGTAGGGTGTTAATTTGGAGCATGTACATGAACAGTTGTAGTGTAAAACTGCTAGGCAGTGGTATGGATGTATAGGAGCTACATGCATGATGGGAGGCTTGAGGAGGGAAGTTATTCTCTAGGTGGCAAGGAGGTCATCTTTGGAAACCATTCCACAGCACCCCTCCAGGCACCTGTTATGTTTACAATTTTTCCAATCTTATATTTTTTTTCTTAGTTTGGTGATGGATCTGAGACAAATTAAAACTAAAACTTGATAACATCTAGTTTGACCAATTTTTGAATAAACAAAAACCTGAAGTACAGCATACATGCACATGTATATATGAATGTCTTTTAAGACCAAAAGAAAATACTTGTACATGTTTGTTGAAAATGAATGTGAATGAAGTGAAGTGCTTATTTTTCACTCAGGTATCAATTGCCATACTGCAGTCCCTTAGTCTGTAAATTTATAGATTCGGTTTTGGTTGATTGTTGACAGTTGATCCTTTGACATGTTTCAGGTTCAACTTGACTCCTGTCCTTGGAAAGAGCACAAGTCAGACTCTGGTAGAATTTATTATCACAACAATGAAACCAAAGAATCAACTTGGACGATCCCAAAGGAACTGGCAGAACTTAAGGGTAAGTTTGGCTACAAGGAATGCACTTATTGATATTTTAACACAAATATATTAGTGGTTAACTTTCATGGGAATTTCAAATGCTTTGTGTTGGAGGAGGTTATGTACATTTTTGTTACAGAGCATGGTGTAATGTGGTTCTTGTACATAATTACTAATGCTATTTTTAATCTTGTGGCAGAAATAATAAAACAAGAACAAGAACAAGAAGAGTAAGTATTTGGTATGAATTTCTCAATGATGCAAAGTTTGCTTCCTTTACTTGGTTGTTTAGTTATTTTACTTAATGAATATGTACTTGTTCATGTAAGGCATGTTGACACACTTGCAGTATTTCCATTTTTGTCAGCTTTGGGTCACAGAGTAAAGAGATGTTTATCTTTTTTACAAAGAGTGAAAACCTTAAAAGTACATGTATTTCAAGCATTTTTTCTGAGTTTGTCTGAAAATCCTATTCAGTGATTGCAGGTTTATATTTAGTTTTGAAATCTTCAATACCAGCTTTCATGTCTACATAAATGATTTGAACATGCATGAATGACAAAGTTACAATGTAGGAATTGGCAATGACTGGCAAACGTGCATGTCAACTGTTATGCATTCTTTTATTGTTCATTATGAAAAAACTATTTACAAACCACCTTAGAGGTCAAACAGTTTTCAAATATAAGCTGGGCATAGGATGCTACAGAGATAATAGTTTAATTGTGATTACTTTTTTAAACAATCTAGGGAAGAGGAAGTTTCAGAAGAAGAAGATGAAGATGAGAACAAGGAAAGTGATGAAAAAGATGGCAAAAAAGCTGATGAGGGAACTGCCCAAGATTACCCCATGGCAAGGTCAGTTAAAGAAGTGTTTCCTCTGTGAGTGATTTTTATTTTTGTCGTCAAACGGTTTTTATTTATATTCAACAAGGAGCTATAAAATGTGTCAATATTTGCATTATCAGTCAACTTTGTTGACTGGCAGAGTTAGCGTATCGAATGATGTTGTATCTGTGTGATGATTTAACCATTCTTCCTTTCTGGACCTCACAACACTATCAGTTTAAAAACAAACAGCAAATTATTTAAGAGTTGATAAAATTAGACATTTGTGATAATCCATTTTGTTTTACTCTGACATAACAGTGCAGTGAATGTAAGTGAAACTCCAGCTGTTGCCACTGTGGAGAAGAAAGAGTTTGTTTATGAAACAAAGGAAGAAGCTAAACAAGCTTTCAAAGAACTCCTGAGAGAAAAGGCAAGTTGATATGTTTTCTTGTAAGAAAACAATAAAATTAATGTACATGTGGTAGTTCATGTACATGTGCCAATAATCTTTGAGCCTGTTTAAACCTTAAAGAAATGGGGGTTTAATTTTGAAGCCAAAATGGTAATTTTGCAATCCGATGAGGTAGGGTCTTTGTCCTCTCGCATAAAACAATGTAATGTACATTTTGTACTGTAATTTAGCAGGCTATATTTGTTATCCATTCTATAATTTCCAAGCAGCAAAGTTAAACATGCACATGTTGGCAACATTATGCTCTATTTTATGTGAAGTACTGATCTTTGTTAATACAACCATGATTTAATATAAATTTAGTCCTTTTAATGGGATGGTTAGGCTATTAAAGAGCATTTCTCAAATTTCAGTTCATTCAGGACACTGTCTATGGCAGTATCCCACTGTGATAAATTTTTCTATTGGACTGTGCTATGTACAGTAGAGTACAAATAATGTGCAAACAAATTAAAAATATCCTGGATATTGGACAGTTGGTTATTCTGTGCAATGAAAAAACCTGTCTGACACGTTAGTTACTCTTTCATGAGTTGTTTCAAGGGAGGAAAAAATGGACAACATTTTAAATTAGTTGGATAAATAACTTTTTAGATGTTCTAGTGTGTAGTATTGCTTAGCATTTTTACTTGTTGTTAATTTTTTGACTCACCTTACAGCCTCTTTAACTTGTTAAAATACCCAGTAATACTACACACCAAAAATGTATCTTCTGTGCAATATATTTAAACTTTGATACTTAGTAATGTGGTGTTTTTGACTTTACTCCTATGGACAGGAGGTTCCATCTAATTCCACTTGGGATAATGCCATGAGAATGATTGTTAATGATCCCAGATATGGAGCCCTGAAGAAAATGAATGAGAAAAAACAAGCATTCAATGAGTATAAAACAAAAAGGGCCAATGAGGAAAAGGTATCTTATTCTTAACAGTTTCCAAACTACATTTATATTTCAATGATATACAGGATGTATATGCATTATTGACTAAGGGTGAAGTCAATAAGGTGGGATATTGGCAGAGTTCTTTTTTTGTGTTTTTATGGACCAAGACAAAGTCGAGGTCCATAAAAACAGAAAAAAGAACAAGGCAGCCAGCCATATCCAGCCATCTTGACCAAAAACATTTGGTCAATAGAGGATTTATTTTATAGCAAAAATATTACGCTCTATAGAAAATCAAGAATGACTTGATTATTTGGAGTGTTTGTAGTACAATAAACCCACAAAAAAATGCATATTTGTTCTTTGTTTTGACTTTCTTTGGCCACTATTTGTGACTCCTTCTCAACATCCAAAAATTCTGTAAATCATCTCCAAGCCTTTCTTGGGTGGAATCAAAGCTGGTAAACTTCAGCAGGCAAGATAGGCTTGTCTTGCCTGCTCAGATAGCCAATGAAAAAACAGGATTCACTTCATATTGCCCACAGTCACTGCTAGTGATTTGATATTAATAAGTCTTATTGCTACATATAAACATGATTTTTATTTGTGGTTCAGATGCACACATATGTCTATCACCAGTAACACAAGCTAAGCATTTTGATACTTGTGGCTTGATTTTAGTGTTTGCTAGTATCCATGTCATTTCTAAGCTAATCAACATTAGATGAGCTTGGAGGTCAGTTCCTAAAAGGGTGGTGTTTAGAGCTGGTAGCAATCATGCATGAGGAATAAGAACTGATGTACATACACCTAGCAACCTGCCAAGAATGTACTGCCAAAGTAGCCCTCACACCAAACTTGCTTGTTAAATACTTGCCAAAGTGGAATTTATTTGGAGAAGGGTAGAGAAATCAATAGCTTTTTCAGTAAGCAGAGTACATGACCTCAGTCACCTGTCAGTGAGGATGTTAGGGCTAGTTCAAATCACGAGGTACCCATTGCAGAAGGCCTAAAGGTTGAGCCTTATGTATTGGGGGATTTAATTGACGAGCATCTTCTCAAGGTCAGCCTTATCCATTTTACGGTAGCCATGTTGTATGTATTGAGTTGGAGAGAAGTAGTTAGGGAGTATGGTTATTGCCCTAAAATGCAACCCGCCGCTGTGTGGAGGTACCTTAAGATTACCCTAGACAGCTTGCACTAGAAATTGGCAAATCATTACACTTCATAGATACATGTAGCATATCAGTTTATTAAACACTTTGTTATTACAATATACTAAATAAATGAAAAATTGATTAAATCTTTTGCTTGTGTTTCTCATAGGAGGAACAAAGACAAAAAGCAAAACAGGCTCGTGAAGACTTGCGTAGCTTCTTGGAAAAGCATCCTAAGATGCACTCTTCGGTGCGATGGCGCAGGGCAGGGGAATTGTTTGATGGTGAACCAATGTGGGAGGCTGTACATGAAAGAGACAGGAAAGATGTGTTTGAGGATGTAGTTTTCTTCCTGACAAAGAAGGAAAAGGAAGAGGAGAAGGAACAACGAGCACACAACAGAAAGCTGATGTTAACAGTGTACAATTCCATGCCTGGTATTACTTACAGGACCACTTGGGCTGAGGTGAGCTTTATGTTGTCCAGCTAGTATTTTATTATCATTATCAATTTTTTGTTATAATTATTTAATAAGTATTTACTTGGGCTTGATAAATATTGTTGAATAATTCCCTTAAATTCATCCTGGCAAATATTCAACAATATTCGGTGAGCCTGAGACAAAGAATAGTTTTAGTATTTAATGCATAGGTGCTTTCTAATTCTGTTTTAATATTCATCTTGATATTGAAACCATTCTGTTTCAATTGTTTTGATTATTCATATCAAGATAAAGAGCCAGTTTCCACTAGAATTTGTTAAATTAATTTAATTCAACCAGCAGAAACTTCATGTCTTTCTTTTGAAGTGTTACTACAAACTTAATAGCATTTTTGTGCTCTTTGGAATTGTGTTTTCTTTATTTCCTTCATTGCTTCCTCTGTAATACTGACAAAATACGAGGCAGCCATTCTGAAATTTAGCACTCCTGCTATAATCACCATGTATGAGGTGATTATATTGTGATACTATGCCATCTTCTTCCAATCAGAGTATGTGCATCTCTATGATCACTGGAGTAATTGTACTAAAAATTAATTTTGTAATTATCAGTATTCAGGTTTTTTTTTTTTTCAGCTGTTTTTTTTATACTGTTTCATGAAGGCTTTTATTCAGCACCTCAGTAGAGCCTCTGCATTGTGCCTGCTAGTTTTATCTTTAAGATAATTCACTGTGTTTTTTCATACTCAAAAAGGGCAGAAGAAGTACCATAATTTCTGGCTGTTTACCCATGGGTAATCTGTTGATTTTGCATTAAATGCATGCCACTGCGGGTAATAGGGAGGTGTGGGTTATGTGACAATTTTAAAATCTACTGGTAGTTGAATTTAAAAAATTATCACCTACATGTGTTTCCACCTCTCAAATAAATTTTATTGTATTAAGAGTGCCACAAAGCGGCATGAAACATGATCCCGACTTGAGTTTATTTCACACATAATTGGTTGTGTGACGAAAAAATTGTTATCAGCACATGTGAAAACAAAACCTTGATGGTGACAAAAATAATCCAAAGATATCCAGCACATTAGTAACAAATTTCCATTTAACACTAGCTTGAGCTAAAGATCATTTTCCCATTTTAAGGGACTTTTTAGGCCCAATAGAACTGGAGATATCTATTTTTTTCAGAAATCGCCGACAGTACCTTATAATTCAAGTTTTAACACTCACCCAGCTTTCTTTCAACAAAGCAACATGGCACTGAATGATCGCTTGCACAAAATGTGGCTGCAAATTTGCATTCTGTCAAGTATGAAATGTTGAGATTTGGTTATGGGCCGCTAGTGTTTTTACCGTATAATTTTATCAATAAAGTACATGCTAATATTGACACAGAATTGTGCATGCGTCTGAATTTCTTTGACCTTTAAACTCGACAAAGAAGCTTTTAAGTTTTTGAAAGTTTGATCAGACAACTTTTAAAAGACTGAAATGTATCACCTTAATGTCATGTTTTTGCCACCAAAAAGTTGAATAACAAAGTGCGGGTTATCCACCAGTGCGGGTTATCCACCAGTGCGGGTAATCTGTTGACTTTTTTTTTTGCCATATGCAATAATCAGCCGTGCGGGTAAACAGCCGGAAAATTACAGTAGTTCATTTCCTCAATTTGATAGTCAAAAGATAAGGACTGGTAGAGTTCTGCTGTATATCTTATTACAATGCAGGGTAGAACAATGTAATAGCTTATATTTTCTTTAATAGTTTCAATTAGAATTTGATTGTATGCTCTACCTCCAGAATATGTACAATTGTTAAGTTGGAGTGTAGAGGATAGAATGTAGCTAAGACAATGGCAGTCCAGTTTTTTTTAGTCCTGATTTGAATGAATTTCTCTGAACAGGCCTTGCAGATGCTTAAAGAACACCCAACTTATAAAGATGATGATGAAATTCAAGGTAGCAAAACTTGATTTTTCTGATTGAGTTGTGCCATCTTTAATACGAGAGGCATGGTAATGTAATACCTAATGGTTTTAATATCATTTGATGTTCAGACTGTGAAAAAGAAGACATGTTGATATCATTTGAGGAGCACATCAGGGCTCTGGAACAAGAGGAAGAAGAGGAGAAACAAAGAGAGAAGAACAGAGTGAAACGACAGCAGAGAAAAAATAGAGAAGGATTTCTGGTGAGTTAATTTGTTTGGATCAAATTCCACATATTGTTTTGAATTTAAGAAGATTGTGTGAATAGCTGCATCTACAATATCAGGAAAGCTGTTTTCTGTCTCAGGTACTGGTATTGAGCTGTTTGAATTGACTGAGGAAGATTGAATATGAGAGATAGTTTGCTCTGTCACATTTAACCCAAGTAAACATACTTAATGAAACTGTTCCTAATTTTGAAACAACCACAGTTCTTTAAACAAGATGTATTGCTGCTTATGAAAATAATAGTCATGGTATACAATGCAGTTTCTCTTGGGGGGTTTACTTATAATGCCATATATACATATGAAATCTTTATTTCAAATACTGCAAAAAGAACTCAAAATGTCAAAAGTAACCCCTACTATCCTTTTAATATAAAAGCTAACTTAAATTGCCATTGACAAGAAATTTTGCCTACAGAGAGTTCTTCCTTTCATGGTAATGTGCGAGTTAGTTTCACCCTTTATGGGCAGTTTTATGTTAACTGTTTGTGTTCCTGTTCTCATTATATTGGAGATGAGCTAGCTAGCGTTATGGTGAGCTAGAGCCTAGGTCAATAGGTCTGGGTTTGGGCTACTGGACTCTGGATGAGGGATCTGGGTTTGATTCCAAGCCTTGTTCATGTGTTACAGTCTTTTGCAAGACACTTTGCTGACACAGTGGCTTTCTCCATCAGGGAGTATAAATGGTACTTATGAACTGCAAGGATGATCTGAGGGTAACTTTCCTGCCAAGGAAGGGTACAAATTCCATATTTCTGGTTGCTGCATGTAACAGCAACCAGGAAATGCTGTAACAGGATATGCCATCCCTTTTTATGCTCACTCTGTCTGCTGCAAGTTAGTTGTCTCTATCTACTTTTACATGTACTCTCCTTAAATCCCATCATTTATTGGAAGCAACAAACTGACTGTACTTTTCATCTTTCATGTTAGGTGCTGTTAGATGAGTTGCACAAGAGAGGCAAACTTCACTCCATGTCGTTATGGATTGACTTGTATCCAACGATCAGTGCAGATGTTCGCTTTACAAACATGTTAGGTCAACCTGGTGAGACCATTGATTGCTATTTCAGTGTACATTGCAGGAAGCAAAATGAGGAATGAAAGAATGGTCATTAAAAATGTTTTAAAACTTCCACAAACAAATAATAAAAAAAAAATAAGAGAGAAACATTCTAGAAATTAAGTTTTTACTCAACCGATTAACCTAAATGATTTTGTTGCATCTGAATTTATTCATACCACTAATCATCAATTCCTTTCTAATAGGGTCAACTCCTTTAGACCTTTTCAAGTTTTATGTGGAAGACTTGAAAGCCAGATTCAGTGAAGAAAAGAAAATTATAAAAGAAATTTTGAAGGTGAGATCAACAGTCTGCCAATGGTGAGTGTGATTAGAGTTGTCTGAAGTCCTTGGTAAACTACTTTACACCCTAACATCAATATGCATATTCTCCTTTCTATTCTCTAAATATTTCTTATGGCACTAATAATTTTACAATTAAGACCTGAAGTTGATGATAACTTTCTTAATTCTTGTGACTTGCATATCTGATTCAGCAGTGATACTGTAAGTAGAAGTTAGATACTAGTCTCTCTTTTAAGAGATAAAAAGTGAACATTTGTCCTGTCTTTACTTTATGTTGGTTGAATAGGGTGGAGGTTAAAAGCTTGAGCTGTGAAAGGCTTTGTCTTTGCTTGACCAATGGAAAGCGATTGTCTAGCTTGTTAACATGTGTATAGTACTTCAGGATGGGGTTTGTTGGGGCTCTATTGAAGCATTTGTAACAGAGAGCCATTTTTTGCCTACCCAAGTGACAAAGCAAACAAACTTAAGATTTAATTATTAACTTATCAAATGTCCCATACCTTAAAAGAGTTTTTTGTTGCTGGGTTTTTTTTCTTTTTTTTTTGTTTGTTTTTTGCTCTCAGAAACAAAGAATTTAGATTACTAAGAATATTTTTAGTTGGGTTCCAAGTACATGTTCATGAAGGTAGACCAAAAACAGATACTTCTTTTCTCGGAATTACATTTCTAATTAAAGAAAATTGAATTTCAGGATCTTGACTTCACAGTTGATGTTAACACTGGTTTTAGTGAGTTTAATGACCTTGTCAAACGAGATCCCAGGAGTGATACACTGGATCCTGGAAACATCAAAATGTCATTCAATCATGTAAGTTCAAAGCTTTTTATTTTTACTGCTGCACAAATCTTGACTAGGATCTCTGGTTACCCACAACACCTGTAACAAAATGTTGAGACATCCTTTGTGGTAAAAGTGTAAAAAAGGAGATCATTATGTCAGCAATGTTGTGGTCAAATGTTCAATGTGTTCAGTAAGAAGGACTCTGAAAAGTTTGCATATGGGCCCCAGTCAATATGAGCTCTCATTGTATGGGCCAATTGGTTCCTGAGCAAACCTACATTTTGTTTTTAATATTATATATAATTCTGTGGCAGCTAATTGAAAAAGCTGAAGCAAGAGAGAAAGAACGAATGAAAAAGGAAGAAAGAGAGGTAAAGTTTTTTGAAGGCTTGTACTACTAAATTCTCTATTTTAACTAATTTGGTGAAAAATGACCTAGACATGTTATAGAGAAAATTAATATGTAAAAATTAGGGAAGGCAGCTATTTCCCTGACATCCACAAGCTCTAATTTGGTTTTAACAATTGAGTTGAAAATTTAAATTGACCACTGTAAAGAGTTTAAAGCTGACATTTTGAGTGTTAGCCCTTCACTCTGATGACTTAGTTGAATTACACTAAATTACCTGTTGTACTCTCCCACCGATGCAACACCACAGTTTCTTTAGAAACTTACCCTCTGTTTGTTGTTGCCCACTCACTCACCTACACTGACTGTAGGCCTGGAACAGGTGAAAGGTTACTTAGGGCTACCTTTTTTTTTTTTTTTTTACCCTTAGCAAAGAAGACGAGAAAGTTCCTTCAAGCAGCTCCTCAAGTCATGTACTCCAGTGATTGAGGCGAATTCTACTTGGGACGAGGTAAAAATTATCTTTTGTTTAAGAGCAATTGCTTGATTACCTACAGGGTGTTTCAAAATTCCATGCCCTTTTTTGAACATGGAGAAAAAAACTGCCTTCTAAACTGTTTGTTTTATGAAACCTAGCAAGTCAATAACCCATGTTTTCCATGGACAATTTCAGTAGCCATTATGTGCCTTTATGTCAGGTGGCTGTAATCAGACACTTGTAATCACCCTGTAAAAGCAGCCAATCATACTAAGTCCACTCAGCTAAATCCACCCAAACACAGAACTGATTACAATTACAATGGCAACAACTTCTTCCCTAAAAATCTGGGTAATTTCAAAAATGGAGGAATTTTTTACTTCAGACAATGTTCCTAAGGGAGATATTTTTCTCATTGCCAATTTTCACTTATTTCCTCAGCTATTTTTTTGTTTTTTGAAATTGCTATAGTTATGATTAATTAGTAACGGGACTTTGTGTCAGCCCATTCTGTCTGAAATTGTACATGTAACTATCATTTTGTACTCCTATTGTGCAGCCAATCAATTCTGTAAATCACTTGTATGATTATAGACCGGATTGGACTCCACTTGGTCCTATTATCTGATTTTTTTAGTTTAGACACTAGCATCCCATTTTTTTATTTTAGACGCTAGTTTCTTTTGATTTTAAACACTTGTGTCCAATTTTAGAGTTTTAGTTTTAGTTTTAGTTTTAGTTTTAGACACATCTGATTTTTATTTTAGACATTTGTGTCTGATCTCTTACTTTGAGCACTAGTGTCCAATTTTACACACAAGTGTCCAATTTTTTATTTTCAACACCAATGTCTCATTTTAGACACTACTGTCCAATTTTAGTCACTATTGTCCAAATTTAGACATACAGTAGTGTCCAATTTTAGACACTTCAAAATACTGATTGCAGAACGTGAAAGTGAGATGTAGGTTTTAAGAAAAAGGGCACAAACCATTAAAACACCCTGTAATAACAGGTCATAAAATGAAAGCAAGGAGGATCAGGGTGTTAACCCTTTAAACCCTGAGAGTGACAAGTATAATTATAATTTCTCCTTCCAACATTGCCCCTCAATCACATATTAAGGTCATGAGAATAAAGAAAATGATCACCAACTAAAGAAGCTCTTGATTGTTAAACAAGTTCTCCTTGTCAGCACCCTAGTAAATGTATAGGGAGCAGTAAGGAGAATATGCTTACTGATGTTAGGGTATAAAGGATTAATCACGTTGCTTTACAGATTAAGCTTTAACAGTGAAGGGCTTAAGCTTCGTAAACATGTGTGGATAAAATGTGAGGACATCTATGTGTGCTGAGCAAAGGGAGCTGTTTTAAAAATACTAGTTTACTCGACCAGCATGTAAAATTTGTAATAGTGTCAAGAATAACGGAAATGTCTTTTTTAAAGGTGAGGGAAAGACTCGAGGAAGATCCTGCATTTGCAGCAGTCACAGTGGAATCTGAACGAATAAGGCTTTTTAATGAACACGTTGGTTCGCTTGAGGTAGTTATATCACGACAGGTTGGCTTAAGTTATTCATCTGATTTATCTAACTGGAATGATGGGAGAAATATCCAATTGTTACACAGTTTGCGCACTATTCATCGCATAAGCCTGATTTATACATATAACGTAAGCATAAGTACAAGCAAACACACACAGACTCAATGAACCCGCTAATCACAAATTTCTTTGGCTGAGATTGTGCTATAACTAAATCTTATTCTGTCTGGGCGGCTTGCAAAGGAGACTAAGCCCTTTGCGCACGCTCTTCACTTCGCGCTCTGACCGCACTTCACGCCATCTTCACACTTGGCGTACTGTCTGCGCTCCATGCTTCATGTTATCTTTACGCTTCTTCTTAGTGCTTCGCTTCTTGGGCTGGTCATTAGTGGTCTACACATTATTGTTTCGGTGCTACTGTGGTTGCTTAATATGCTTTGCTTGCGTTATTTGTGTAAGCTTACCTTGTGCACTCGCAGCCTCGTTCATGTTAGTTTCATTGATTGAAACCAGAATCGTTATAATCCACGTGTTTACATGTATTAACACAGCCAGTGGAGAAGCTTACATGAACGCAATTGTATCAATTTTTCATCTCTTTTGAAAGGAATTAAAATCTGCTTGGTTGAGGTTTTCCACACTTTGTCACTTTGTTTTGTAACACACTACTGCTATTAGAGAGACATATTTTTCATTACTTATTGCCTCAGGACTTTTCAATCAAACAACAACACTTAGCATGGGTAATACATCCTGAGATGTACATAGGGTGCTAAATTGATTTTGTTTGTTTGAATACGATTTTACCTATAACCGAAAGTACCTTTGTGGCAAGGATGTACACATACAGACTTGGAAAATTGTGAATTGTAAAAAACCCCAAACATTTCTCAATTGTCTCATGCTGGTTCAAGTGACGTCCTTGTTCGTAGCAATTTTTGGCCTACTTATTGCTCTTGTAAATTCATGTATTAATCGTAGCGTCTTTTCCTCGCTTAGTGATTTTTCCATATTATTGAGATCAGGCTTTGATCAACTTCTTACTTGTGACTTGGTTAGGCATGTACCCATAATCATTCAAAATCACACAAAAAAACAAAGAAAGCCAAGAAACATAGGAAAAGGTCAAGATCTCGATCGCCCAGTGGGGTAAGTTATTGCTAAGTGATTTATTGATTGATTGATTGATTGATTGCTTTGTTGATTGATTGATTGATTGGCGGACTTGACGGGCTGTGTTACTGACCAATTAAGTGACTGCTTTATTAATGGTTTCCACAAACAACCTAGTCCTAGCGTTTATGAAGTTAAGATCCAAAATTAAAAATACCTGTAGTTAGGTCACAAGTAATTAGAAGCACCAGATGAGACCATGAATGAATTGAGGCTTTTCTTATTTTGATTTAGTCTTTTTACATTTATAGGAGTCGTCTCAATCTGAAGAAGAATTTCCCAAAGAAAAAACATCGTCACACAAAAAGAAACGTCACAAGCGGTCACGCTCCAAGTCACCAGAATCCTCTGCTTCCGAATCAGGTTAGTTCAATTCTCAAAAACATGGTTCAGTTTCGGAATATGTAGTCACGTAGTCACAGCAAATGACTTCCTGCTTTGTCAGTCATAATTCTAAGTATTGTTAACTTCGTTGATTTCAGAACAAGAAAAAGAACCAAGTTCGTCAAAAAAGAAAAAGCATAAGAAGGTGAGATTTGATCTACCTTATAGACATCTATCTTCATTGAAGTTGACACTCTTTTGACTTGCGTCACAACACACTTGTCCTTCATGCCTTTTTTTCCGGGAGGTCCTTGTTTTCTTGTATCTCTTGTCCCAAGAGAACCTAAACAGAGACCTGAACACAGGTTAGCGTAATCGTTTTTCTTTTACTTGCTTGCCATTAATCCTTCGTATCCTCTCTTTTAGTTACAATATTGTAAAATTTATTAAAGCCAAATCAGAGTTTCAAGGGGCCCAAATTGTAATGACCAGACCTGTCTTGCCTTGTGGTGATTCCTCAGAATAAAAAGTTATTGAACAATTTTCTGTAAACTTTCGTTAAATGTTCATTACCAATGTCTATTTCGAAAATTGCAGTAAAAAAGATAGGTCGCCGTGCTTGTTTAGCAGATATAATGGGCCAAACTTGCCCCATTTATGCGTGTACTGGCACAAATCATGCGCGTCAATCATCGGTTCACGTTACATTTTGCTGTAGCTGGAAGCAAGGGTCTTTAAAGTAACACTTAAAAAAAACTTGATAGGTAGAAAGTGTCGAGATTATGGAACAATATGATGTATAATATGTGGGAAATCACGCAAATTTAAACGACATCGACTCAAAACGTTCCTCGAGTCGTTCCTTTCAAGGTCATAACTTGCATCCGCGAGTAGCGGGCTTCGTGCTCGCTTTTAGTTTTATCTCTTTTTCCCTTCGAAGAATTTTTTTTAATTTCCCCAATTTAAAGGGGATAAATTGTACACCAAAATTATGCAAAAAAATATAGGTCACCGTGCAAGAGCTGAAGACACTCGTTCCTCTTCAACTGGTCCATGGATTGTAAAACAATGCCGTGTTCTCGGAATGTGCGCGCGCCTATTCACCTGATTACGTGATTTTTATGCGCAATAGAGGATGCGCCGTGCAATACTGAGGAATCATCTTAATTAGTCCTCACGGCCAAATCGAGCTTCGAGACACAAGGCCAATTTGGCGTCTAGGGTCATTTGGGCTCTTTGCATCGTAAATTGTATTCTTTTGTGTCTTACACGCATTGAGGAAGCACTGAAGGGTCATTTACAAACATAAAAAGTATATCAGTGAGGCCATCCCTTTAGCGTAGAAGTCTGTCGAATTTTCGTGCCACTTTGTAGGAACTTTTGGTGGAAGGTTATGGTTTGTTGTGGTTATTTTATTCCTGCAAGCTTTCTAAGTGACAAAGTTTTGTTTCAATGCTTGCTGTTATCAGCTTTGATAATTCTTTTGTTACTCAAAGCTTTAAAACAGTGTCCATTGTGACAGGATATTTCGTTCTTTTGTTTCAGAAATCAAAGAAGAAGAAACAACGATCGGTAAGTGCTGATGAGAGACAGTAAAACGCAGCTAATGTGAAAAAATGGTTGGAAAGAGCGAACAGCATGTTAATCCTTAACCTCTAAGAGTGACAAGCATCTAATTTCTCCCTACAATACCACTTCTGAATCATGCATTAAGGTCATGAGAATAAAGGTAATGATCACCAACTAAAGAAGCTCTTGGTTATAAAACAAATTCTCCTTATCAGCACCTTAAGAAATGTATGGAGAACAGTAGGGAGAATATGCATTATGATGTTAGAGTGTAAAGGGTAAATCCTTAACCACCTGGTAGAGAAAAGGGTATCCATAGTGCTTTGCGAGCGTAGTTGTTTGCTGTCTTTTTCTATTCTTAACGTCTTCACTATTCTCCTTGCGTTGTTAAATTGTTATTCTTAGCTTGTTTGTTTGTATTTGTGGCTAGGTTTTGCAGCTTGTGAACTTTTTTAGCTCATTTCCATTTAGATATCTTGTGTGTTTGGTGCCCTTTTCCTATCCCGCTCGTGTTTGGGAACAGTTTGAAACACTTCGCGTGCAGAAAGCTTTTTACTAATCTAGTCATAATAACAATGATGAGAATAAGAAAAGAAGAGGTCACAGGTCAAAGACTTGTAGATTTACGAACACCTTTATACCGTCTTCAGTTGGAGTTTATAACGAATCCTGATGTATAAATCATGAACTATATTTTCCAATAGACTTAGAGATATGATGCCCTTTTTTATAACACATATTTAGATCACATAGATTAAATCCAATTTTGTAATTCACGTTTTCAATATTATTCAATTTATATATTTATTAATTTTATTTAATATTTTGTGTACACGTAATTCAGCCCTCCAGCTGCAAGTTGCACTTTTTCAATAAACATACATACATATATACATGCATACACACATACAAATACACATTATCTTGCTAGAATTACTTCAGAATAGTGGGCTTTATGCTTCCCAGACCTAATTCGAACTTAATGCGTGACTAGTGCCAAAGCAAGTGATTCGCATCATAAGAGCAAAGGAGGATTTCCTTTAGGACCATGGGATTATAAAAAAGTAGCGCCTCACCTATGTAGCCGTTTCTCAATAAGTCTCTGAACTACCTCTGGCATGAATGTGACATTTTATGTTTACCCTCTTGCCTTACCAGCCCGACGAAGAATCTGAGGGTGAAAGGTACAACAGAGAGAAAGAGGACAAGGAGAAGGAGAGGGACAAGGGCCGCCGAGAGCGTGACAAAGTTCGAGAAAAGGAGGCGGACCGTAGCAGGGAAGGAGAAAGAGAACGAGAACGTGAGAGGGAGAAAGAAAGGGACTACAAAGAGAAAGACCGAGACAGGGACAGAGAAAGAGACAAAGATAGGGATAGGGATAGAGAAAAAGATCTGGATAAGGATAGAGAAGCTGACAAAGGAAAGGACAAGTCCAAGAAATCACAGGATAAGGTGCTGACACCATCACCTTAGTTCACTATTTCTCAGTCTTTACCATAGGTCATGCGCAGCTATCTTGTGAATCTAACGAGGACTTAAAAGGAGGGATCGGGATTGCGTTTTACAAGTACTTCAACAAGCGGACAGTCAAGATACTTCAAGGGGGAATCACTCTTGAAGCTGAGAGTTACTCGAGCTTTCAGTCTTTCCAAATTTTAAGAATTCCACAGCAAAGTCGCGCGCTTTTTGTGCGACAAAAAAAAAGGGCGACAAGGAATTTAAAACCGAACAAACCAGAAAACATTTCTATAACGATTTTCGCCACTTCTCCAAGCCTCCCACACCTTTCTTCCCCTTTCTTTTTCTCCTCTGATTTTGAACTGAGACACGAGTTAGTGGGGGGCCCTTGGGACAAGATCAATACAGGTTGTTAACCGGTTAAACGGGTTTGAGATCCAGACATTGTTGGTGCCGAGATAAATTCTGTTGAAACGGAGATTTTACTGTAATTCAATGGGTGATTTATCCCCTCTGATGACTTGAACAAAACATGTTTTTGGAGAAGCGTTTTGAACATCTTTTTTTTTTAATTGGTATTATATTATTTGTGAGATTATTCAAAGTTAAGATAAGTTTATATTTTCAATGAAATGAATTATATTGAGGGCAGTTTATTGATGAGTTGTATTCGTAGCTGCTCGTTGTTCTCCCTCCGACTTGCTTGTAAAAGCTTATAGACGAATTAAAATGTTGTGAAAGTAGTTTTGTGATCTTTCTTTTCGTAAGTTTCGTTTTGTGTTTGGCAAATAGTTTGTAGTAAGTCTTTTCACTTAAAAAACTTATCTCACAGTCAGTTGAGGCTTTTAACAAAGCATTAAGTTTACGCATAGTGCTAATTTGCAGTATTTTTTCCCAAAATTTACATTTGTGTGAGAAAAAACCTTTAGGAGGTCATTGAATTGGTTTTTATGCCTGTAAAGAGTTACATTTGTCCCTTGTAGTGGAGGTGCGCCAGTAAGATTGGTTTTCCTTTTGGCGGTGTATCTTATTACGTCATTCAACTGGATCACTTGGAGATCACAGCTGAGACCAGGCATAATTTGTAGTCAAACGGCAATTGTGGTGTATCTTGGCAGTACCTTAAAAAAATAAACTTGCAATTATTTTCAGAAAGACTCAATTCAGCTAAGTTTGTGTTGCGGCCTGGTTATTTGATGAGAACAGTTCATAAAACTGAGCCTTACTCTGTTAACATATGCCTAGCAATAAGTTTGAAGCATTTATATAGAGTTAAAACAAGCGATCGGTTTATTCAACGTTAGGTAAGTGAGAGACTAAGTCTGGTGGACTGATGGCTGGTTTGCTGTTTTCTCTTCCAGACCGCGTGGGATACTACCTCGAGTGAGAGCGAAAGTGAACTGGAAAGCAGAAGAAGAGCCCTGCTGAAGCAACTTGGCGCTGATGGGGACGACCACTAGACTGTGACAACGAAACCAAGTTGAAACGAAAATAGAACTACGATTGGTAGTTTGTTTCTCTCCTCCCTCTCCTCTGAGATGGCGAATCGAAATAATACCTTCTTTAAAGAAATTTGTTCCTTTATTGTCATGCGTTGTTTTCTCTCCTCAATATTTATCCTTTTTTCTTGCTTTAATGTATCATGTCACGTGTTGTCTTTTAATCCCCTATTTGAATTACGATGCTCAGGTCTGCTCACTTCGAGATTTACCTCTTGAAAAGTCATGTAACATAGGTGTAAATTAGCAAACGCTTCATCACAGTAACACCAGTCTACCCCAAGTCGTTATTCAACGACGTTAAAGATCTATAAGATTTGAACGCTAGTGTTTATCACATGACCTTAACGATGCCGCGTGTGCTTTTTTCGGAGAAGCCATTTAAAAAAAAATCAAATCCTAGTATGAGAGCCATATACGGAAGCGGAACCGTCAAAACCACACAGCCCTTAATGTGGCCCCGCAATTAGGAAAATACAATGAAAAAGTAGGGAAGATAAATGGTGGTCGTTGGATAAAATGTGTATGGACTATGTCAAGCAAGCATTACAAGTTGACTTAGTTAGGTTAAGCCTAATCGCGGCCGGACCCTGTCAATAAGTTCATAATATTGCATATCTTTAATGTTTAATCCAGTTTAAAGCATGCTTTGTTACCTTAATCGTTTATTTCAGTTCGTTGGTGAAAATACTTGGATAACAAGGAAATGTACTTCGTAGAGACCGGTGTAAATGTCACCATACATCATTTGTGGAGACCGTCTCCTCAAAGTAGTTTAAATACCGTACGACATTAGTTGGCGAATGTCCCTGCTCTTCCTGTTAAATAGTTGTGCTAATGATGTACACAAGCAAAGGCTGACTTGTATGTCACTGAATTAAAACTCCGTCAGAAAAACTTCCTATATCCCTTTTCGTACAAACATTGCGGGCCAAGAGCAGGTTTGCTCCATTCGCTCTCACTAAGGGCTAACGCCCAAAACGTCAGCGCTAGAAAAACTTACGGTGGCCAATTGACATTATCAAATGACACAGAACCGCAGTTTAGAAACCAACCCCTTTGTTTAATAACAGGTCTGCTCGTTTTGCGCTTTAACCTCTAAGAGTGACTGGCATCAAATATCTTACCGTATCACCCCTGAATGAAACATTGAGATCAGGAGAATAAAGGAAATGATCACCAACTGTAGAAGCTCTTGATTGTTAGACAAATTATCCTTGTTAACACCTTAGAAAATGTTTAGAGAACAATATGGAAAATATACATACTGACGTCAGGTGGTAAAGGTTTAAGCCACGTGGGTAGGGATCACGTGCTGTAGAGGTTACCCACGGTGTTCACTCTTCTTTCCCAGTTGGCCAGATAATTGAAATGCGTTTGATCCCACTTTTGGCTGCGTTTTCACTCGTAAACACGAAAAAACTAAATATCTGAAGAAGTGTTGATTTCAATTCGTCCAAAATGTGTGTGTCACTAACGTGTTTCTGCAGCAGAGCCTCGACTCTGTAGAAACTGAACTGGTTCAAGACCCAGTCTGTTTAAATCAATATTTGCTTCGTATTTCGATGACCTTATCTTACAGATTTCGGAGCTCACCTCACTTCAATCGTTTTACTAAATTTCTTTCTTTCGTTGCTAATTACCACTTTTTGGGACCTGGTCATAAGCACGATTTTCAAGTACTGATCTATTTCTGGGAAGAAACGCCTCGGCAATAAACTTAGTCAGAGAGTATTATAACAAGTAGAAAAAGTTGTTTCACAAGTAACAGCTGGTAAAGAAGGATTGCGAGGGTATTCCAAGGGGAGAAGATCACTTGTTGTGTGTTCTTCTCAGAGTTAGCCATCTTCCTAAGTTGATCAAGGTGGCAAACTGAACGGTGTTTGTAATTTTGTCCTAGATAAACTTCCTTGCGGCGTTTTTGTGTGCTGATCATAAAGTGAAGACTAATACGAAGGGTAAAACCTCATTGAGGTCCTTTTTCAATTTCATTAAAACACAAACAAACACAGTTTGCCCGAGGTGTCGCTTTTATTTAATGACAAGTTTTTCAAGACATTGATGTTAATAAACGTCCTCGAATTCGTCATCATGGTGAAAATTTTCATTTTCCTGCTCTTGGAGCTCAGTTCCCAGGTCAATATCCATGTTATTCTCTGGCTTCTTTCCTCTCTTTCTCTCCATCCCACTACCAACTCTCTGGTCACTCTCTTGGGCGATTAGACGATTTTGAACAATTTTCTGCTCGCCTCGTCGACGACGACGACGACGCCAAGCGCCACTGAAAACAGAGAGGAGATCGACAGTGCTCATCTTTTAACGTCTTTTTCTCAGTCTGAATATGAATTCTTTCCTTGTGATTGCCAGTTAAATCTTATGCTTGTACCTAATTCTCGCGTTTGGGTGTTGTGTCTCAGGTCTCTCGGAAACTTTGGAATAGGCTCAGTTAGAAAGTGTTCAAGAGAGAAGCGAAATCATAAGTGTTCCTTTTGATCTGGACTGGGTTTTTTTAACCAACTAGTGTTACTGAGATTGGATTGACCTATTTTATTTTCATTTTTGGGTGATGGCGTCACCACACTGACATATTTATGTGGCAAGCTACTCACCTTTCGTGCAGGAAAGCGGCAATTAGGCAAACCACGAGAAAAATGGCTGTAACACGTCCCATGTCAATATTTTGTTTCTGCAAAGAACCAAGAAAATGTAAACTGTTTGAAATCTCTTGAAAGAACGTAACAATTCAAGAGGAGATCGTGAACATCCGCCTCCTTGAAGACTCCGATTGACTCGCTCAGACAGGATGGTGCGAGCCTTTCCGAGAATTCTTCAATGCCGGTTATAACATAACTAACAGAGAAAGGCGTTTTAACGTGGAAATATGAAAATAGTCCTCGATTCCTAACTTGGTAAGAGTCATTCTACTTACTAAGCTAAACTCTTTGAATCTCTACATTCCTATATCGAAAAAGAGAGAAGCCAAAACTACTTCTCCCAATAAGGATTAAGAAGCTTGGTAAAAGCACTGTTCCTGTACCGACAGTTGTTTTGTGTTCTCCTCTGAATGATTTTTTGGGCTTAACCATGTTGAAGAAAAACCCAAAGAGACTCTTAATAGTGTTGTCTGGATGAAGGGTGCAATGGCAATTCTTGAGCCGAAGAAGTAAACACTTTAGACAGCACAAGTTAATAGCAAGTGGAACACAGTAATTATAGAGGGGTGATGAACTTACTCATGATCACGAACGACCGCGATAGCTGATGTAGGAAAGTTTTCCGATGTTTCACTTTAGTTGGAGAGGTGGATAGGTGATAACTCTTGCTTTAATGATGTGGGCTCAATTACTCAGAAAAGGTTACTGAAGACGTTCGGCGGCCAAATTTTGTGAAAAAAATGGTTTCGCTCATTTTTCAGCTGAAACATTAATCTATAGTTTGATGAAATATTAATCTTAAATCAAGTAATGGTAGTGAGATATCGTTGAAAACCTGTTTTTGAGATTATTTGAGAAACAGCGGAAAGTGTATAATCACTTTTTAAACGTAAGCTACTCCTTTGCTTTCTTTCGCGGTAACTCCAATTACAATGATCTGCATATTTGTTGTGGTAAAAATAGATTTGCTCTTTCGCAACCGTTAGCCGGGCCATCAGCATCGGGGAAGTTTGGAGCAAGGGTCCGTGAATAAATGGTTTGAAGGATTTTTACGAAAATTTGCCGAAACGTTCCAAAATTTCTGAGACTTTCTTTATATACCAAATATTATACTCTTCCATTTGCGCCTTCTTGTCAATTACAATGATTTGCAAATTTGCTCTCTCGCGACTGTTAGCTGGGCCATCAGCATCGGGGAATTTTGGAGCAAGAGTCCGTAGATAAATGGTTTGAGTTGAATGAAACAGACGTCTGGGTGAGGTGTGATAAGCTTATAAAACTTTATTTTTGCGTGGATTTCCTAACTTCGCGCGATTTAATAGGGTATGTAAATTTGAAGGACTTTTACGAAAATTTGCCGAAACGTTAACTGGTTATTAACACGCCAACATTTCTGAGACTTTCTTTATACACCAAATACTATACTTCTCCATTTGCGCCTTCTTGTGTTAGGTGTTAACACGTAGGTATGTAATTCGATTTATCAAGCATAGCAATTTGCATACAAGCCACTATTATTGACAAAAACATTGCTCTTTAGAGGCTGAATACCCGTGTGACACTCACTTAAACAGCCGAGGGTGGAAAAATCAATAGAATATAAGTTTTCTTGGGAGAATCAAAAGGTAATACGGTAATTAACTGTCAGCTGAAGGAGACTGGCCGAGAGTCATGTTAAAAGTTCTTCACTCCTCAACTTCAGTATTATCATGATTGCCAATTGGTGTTACGTCTTGGAATAAAATAGTAGCGTAAGAGGCTCATTAAGAATATTATTTATGGCACTGAGAAGGATCGAGAGAAAGCCAACAAGTTTATTTGAAAAATTAACCAGCGGGTAAGAAGCAGTGTTAGTAAACAGAATGTTAAAAATCAGTTTTATTTGTTTGAAAACGTTACTAATTAATTTTCTTTGCTTTCTTCTTTTTTTACCACATTTATGACCGACCGTTTTCTTCTCAGGTCAATTCAGGGGTATGGAAAAAAAAAACTTATAGCAAATAGCATACTGCTTTAGTGATAATACATTCAAACCTCTCGTTAGCGACACCTGAAATGTTAAGTTAAGCTGACTTTCGGGAGGTGGTCACTTAAGGGAGGTGGTCGCCAACCAGAAGTCAGGCCACAGCTCTTATCAAAACCTGTAATGATAACTTTTAGCGGCTTATTCAAGGAAAAAAAATATAAGGATCGATGGCGATTGTTTTGTATCTCACGAATTACTTAATGCAGCGTTGGGGACAATTCACGTGAAAGAAACTTGGCTCGTGACATTTGCAATAATTTCCACTTTCCGCCCGTAAGAGATAAAGCCTATTATTTGTGAAGTGGTCGCCCAAGGGAGATTTAAAACAATTCGAAATTGTAAACAAGCATCTCTAAAGGCGGTCTCTTACGAGAGGTAGTCGCTTGCGAGATGTTTCATTTATAGTGATTTGACTTAGAAACTTTTTTGGTATTTTGAAAAAGTGATCGCAAACGAGAGGTGGTCGCGAAGGGAGGTTCGATTGTATAACTATATGTATAGAAATATAATGAATATAAAACAGTCTTAGATTTTGACATTCTCAAAATGAACTGACTTTTTTGCGCCTTGAGATGAAAATCCGTTCATTTTTACGTCTAGCGGTTCAATTTTTGGCTATTTTTACGGCTAATTTCGACCTCTTTGAGGCCTTTAATGATGTCTCATCATCGACAAAGATAATTCTAGCAAGAAACTCTCTTTGTTCTGATAGAACAAAGAGAGTTTCAAAACATTCCAGAGACATTCTAGAAGAATGTGTCGAGGACAGCTTGAAATCTCAGGGCCTGTTTACATGGAGGTGGGGGACACCGAGGAGGTGAGGTAACCTGCCTAGCCGTGGTCGAAAAATAGCCCGTGTTTACATACAATCTTACAGCCACGGGATGCCGGGGTGAAGTTTCTCGAGGTTGTGGTCGCGCTTGCAATTAGGGTAAAATAGTGCTGAAAAAACGTGATTTATAAAAAAGGCCCTTGTGCACATGATTTATACGTTATGTCATTGAGAGTGTCCGGCTCAGAGATTTCTGTCTAAAAAACCTTACCTTCAAAACGCCGAATGACTTTAAGCTACCAACAAGTGGGTATCCCAACTGATTGAATGATAAAACAAGAGGCTACACGGAGCCTATATTCTGACCGGATTTGCGGTTCAGAGGAAACAAATTGAAGGTCTTGCGGTTTTTAGCAAAATTGCTGTTTGAACGAAAAGGTCATATACAGGCCTACACAGACTCCCCTGTGTGGTTTTATGTTTGCGACGCAAAAGCCTTTAATTAAAGCTTCGCTCTGACGAGTATGTCTTTGAGCGATTTACCTCTTTTGTATGATATAATCGGAGGCGTTTTGTAAATTGTTTTCAGCAGTGGCTGATTTTGGATGAGGTTCCATTCTTGCATCAGTATTTGTTTTAAATTTTTAACCCCTGGGTGGTATGCTGTCACAAAAGGCAATATTTTGCCTGTAGTTTTTTTGGTTTGTTTTTTAAGTGTCGACTGCCTTGCG